AAACCCCAAACCCAAACCCAAACCCCAAACCAAACCCAAACCCAAACCCAAACCCAAACCCAAACCCAAACCCAAACCCTTCCTTGTAGCCTATCTTATAGACAGTTCCACTGATTTTATCGCACTAAATGTACATCAGTCCCACAAGATCACATCGATAATACGTGAGGGTTGCTGAAGGAAGTAGGTTAAATTTGATTTAAGCACTGAACTATAACCGTACACGGCAACAAGGGGTGAAGGAAGATGTTCCTGTCATTGCCAGGGCGGACGTCCACTCTATATCTCATAGTGTACCAAAAGTGAAGCCAATATGGAATGCGCTCTTGGATCCAGGCATGAAAAACTCTCTTTGAATATATTAACTATTTATTATTATTATTTATAGAAGGCCATAATTAGGATATCAAATTCAAACCTTACTCTAAATTCTCTTTAACATTAGATGATCCTTTATATATAATGTAAATATATTTTAATGGATCTTCTTTTTTGACTAAATCTTCATCTAGATGGAGCCTTTGTGGTATTAATCAATTTTGCTAATGGTACTAATACAATTGGTAGAATTAATTTAAAAATTACAAAGATTGGGCATTTTAATTTTCTGTTCAAATTCTTCTTACATTACAACCATAAGGATATTTTTGAAATTTTTTCTGCTAGTGGCCAATGGATGAAGTTTTAGAAGGCCATTCTGTATTAAACCTTATCAACTTTCTTATACTAAATCTTTAATATTTTATTTTTAGATAGCTTATTCTTATCGTCCGAGAACTTTTAGTTAATGTTTTATGAGTTAATCCTTGACATCCTTGAGAGATTTTGCATTTATATTCTCTTATTTTTCTATTTATTGACAATATTTTTTTTGTCGCTTCAAAATTGTCTAAATTGCATATTGTAATAATTAGGTTTGTTATCACATTACTAATTTTAGGAGACCAATCCATATATATTAATAGGATAAGTTTCAGAACTTATTATGAATTTCAAATTCAATTTTTTATTAGTAGGTCAAAGGGTTAGTAATTGAATTATTTTTAGTTATTCTTTTTGATACAGATTGAATTAATGGTTAAGATTTCAGAATTGATTATTAAATACTCATGTGAGTTGTATTGTGGTTGAGTATTTATTGGTTAATAGCTTCTTTTTTTTATGATAATAGACATCTTTATTTTTAGACTCTTGTAAATTATAAGGGTGTTTAATGGCAAATAATTTTTCTTGAGATTTTGATGTAGTATGAGTCACACATTACACTTTGTTTATGAGTTTTATTAGACATCAATAAATCAATACTTGATTTCGATGAAGATTTTACTAGTCTTGCCTCAGTAGGTGGTCCTTTCAATCTAAACATTCCATTATTAATCATTTAGAATATCAATTTTACATAAAATTAAAATGTTTATAATCATAATAAATAATTGATATTGTATCATTATTATTAAATTAGTCATATATATATATCTATATATATTATATTATATATTGTATCAATCTTTCTTAGATTTATCATTATCTTTTTTTAGGAGACTCTCCTATTCTTCATCCTTATTAACATCATCTAATAATTCATTAAGGAAGTTTTAATCTTGGAATAATTAACTAGATTAGATTAAAGGCTTACTTCTAGGTGTTCTGGTTTTATGGTTATGCATTTTAATTTGATTATTTAGGTTATTCTGGTTGTTCAGGCTATTCTACCTACATACTCAATAATCTGGCCTACTCTAATAATGCATCATTCTCTTCTTCAATACCAATTTCTACTTTTTCTTCTTATATTTATTCCTTTTATTATTATTAAGTTTGTTAAGGCTGCTCTTATTATTACTAAGTCTATTATTATTAATGTTGTTGGGGTTATTATGATTAAGCTAATTGTTATTATAATCTTTATGCTTCTTCTTCAAGACTCATTTTCATTATCATGGCCAGTTCTGGATCTATATTTGGATCAATTCCACCATATTCAGAGAATTATCCACCTGTTCGTTATTAGGGAACTTATTGTTCTTATCCTGGTTCAGCTTGAAAATCAGAATTATTTCCTAAGGATGAAAACAGGGTTTCTGTTGCACTCATTCCTGGTTAAATATTAATGAATTTTGAGGATGATCCCTTCGATACATTCTTAAAGAAAGTTTCCAATTTCTAAAGATGCTCTTCATTCTACTCTCCAAAATTGATTAAATCAATTGCAATGTTGTTTTTCTTTAATCTCTTTGCTAGACTATAATTATTTAAATTATGTCATACTTGACTAAGGTATCTACTTCTTCTTCAATTGGACTTGCAACAAATGCCACTATACGTTAATGTTATTATTTATTAATTCTATGTTTCAAAGCCAATTATGCCTATTGAATGGCAACAGAAAACTTTAAGTTTCCTAATTTTTAAATTTATTTGCTTACCTTCTAATCTCGTTTTATGGAATTATCCTTATATTAAATCTCTATCATTGGTAGGAGTCATCAACAATCTAACTTATTTGCCACCTCCTAAAATCAATCCCATTCCACTTTCCATGTTTGAATCAATAACTACATTAATATATAATTCAATGGCTTCTTGCTAAGCATTCCATCTAGATGGCTCTAAGTCACCATTTCTTGAGAATTCTGAGTTATCTAAAACTACTACGGCTGCTTCTAGAGGCATTTTTATTAAATTTAAATATATAATAATCACATTGGGATTGTTTTTAATCTTTTCTTGAAAAATTAATTTTTCTAAAATTATCATTCAAAAATAACTTAATCAGCATTTAAATCATATCAAATATTAAATTAATTTGTTTTTTTTTGTGGATGATTAATCATCCCTTATTCAAATCTAAAAATAAGAATCAAACGTATAAACAAAAGATAAATAATTCTGTAGCTGATTAAATATCAAAATATATATATATTGTTGAAATTCGATAACACATAAATAATAGATAAATGTTAATTTTCAAAATTAACTCTTTATGTTAATTTTAACTTTCAATCTTTATCTTCTGATTAAATAAACAATAAATACAATTAAAATTTGCAATCCAATCAATATTAAAATATAATAAATAAGCATCTCTTTGGATTCTAGTTTATTAATAAACATTAATTCAACTTCTATAGTTTATAGGCTAAAGGTTGCTGTTAAATTGAATTTTTCAAATTCCTTTTCTACTTTTAACTATTCGATTTCATATCCAAATTTGCCAAGATAAAATTCAGGGTTGTTTGTTGATTTAAGTATTAGATTTGTAGTATTGAAAAAGTAAAATTTATCATCCTGTTGTTGTATTTGATGAGTAGGATCATAAAATTATTATTCCAATCTCAAATCATAAACAAAGTCTTTACAAATTAGGGTTTAATTCTCCAAATATAGTAAGAAGGTATCACATTATCTAACTATTTTAGTTACAGTTCCCATTTCCAACTAATATAATTTATTAAATTTTAATTTATAGATTACCAAATATTCAGATAATACTTAGCTGATTTAAATTTAAATAGAATCCTATTAAAACTTACATTATAAAAGAGTGAAGCTGTTCTCGGCTAAAAAATTAACATTTTTAATATATTGATTGATTGGAATTAAGGGTTTAAGAAATTTTGAAAGTTGAAGATAATCCAAAGCGATTTGACCGAGAACTAAGAAGTTTGTTCCTTCTAATTGTAATATAGAAAATAAAATTTAGTTTGACATTGCAGTTCGAACTAATTTCATCGAAAGCATAAGATTTTCATTTTCCTCAAATTTGATGACATTGTTAAATTCAATTTTAGACTAAATTGGTAATAAAGAGTTAAATTAAAAACTAAACAATCGTTGCGAATTCCCAATATTAATTATTATCAATTTCCCAATTCTTTTCACAAAAAGGGGATTTTTGTTATTTTTCATCATTTCTATCTTATTACTAGATTCCATTACAAAGAATCCTGTTTCAATATCATAAAAGAATATTTAATAATAGAAATATTGTGCATTATCATTCTACCAAAATTAAACAAATTGATAGTTTGACATCTAAATTATATTTAATGTATTGTTATTGAGATTTGAATTAAGAATCTAACAAGTTACAAAATGAATATGTTGATCTAAAGATATGAAATAGCATTCAATTTCATTTTCATTCTATAGAAGTTTTGTTTTTAATAAGCAGCTTAGTTCAGATATATATTTGCATTCGAATAATTTTTGAATTCTTATAAATGGTCCTCTTAAAATTAAATTCGTATTATTCGATATGGATGCAGTAAAGATAGTACCATAAAAATAGTTTGCCAATATTATATCTTTGCTGGCTAACTTATTTTCTATAAAATAATTACGTTGTAATTAAGGACAAAAGTTTTGAACGTATAAATTTAATTGGCACTCTAGAGATTAATCAGTAATTTAAGAAATAACCTATATAGGGTAAGATTTATATTCTACCAATGTACTTTGAGTAGAATTTAAATTTTTCATTTATAATCCAATTTCAATTAGACTAGATTATCTCATTTAATTATTTTCATCTTAATATACTATCATCTGATTTTGGAAAAAGAAATATTTACTATTACATTTAATACTTGAAATCCATTAAATTTNTACAATTAAAATTTGCAATCCAATCAATATTAAAATATAATAAATAAGCATCTCTTTGGATTCTAGTTTATTAATAAACATTAATTCAACTTCTATAGTTTATAGGCTAAAGGTTGCTGTTAAATTGAATTTTTCAAATTCCTTTTCTACTTTTAACTATTCGATTTCATATCCAAATTTGCCAAGATAAAATTCAGGGTTGTTTGTTGATTTAAGTATTAGATTTGTAGTATTGAAAAAGTAAAATTTATCATCCTGTTGTTGTATTTGATGAGTAGGATCATAAAATTATTATTCCAATCTCAAATCATAAACAAAGTCTTTACAAATTAGGGTTTAATTCTCCAAATATAGTAAGAAGGTATCACATTATCTAACTATTTTAGTTACAGTTCCCATTTCCAACTAATATAATTTATTAAATTTTAATTTATAGATTACCAAATATTCAGATAATACTTAGCTGATTTAAATTTAAATAGAATCCTATTAAAACTTACATTATAAAAGAGTGAAGCTGTTCTCGGCTAAAAAATTAACATTTTTAATATATTGATTGATTGGAATTAAGGGTTTAAGAAATTTTGAAAGTTGAAGATAATCCAAAGCGATTTGACCGAGAACTAAGAAGTTTGTTCCTTCTAATTGTAATATAGAAAATAAAATTTAGTTTGACATTGCAGTTCGAACTAATTTCATCGAAAGCATAAGATTTTCATTTTCCTCAAATTTGATGACATTGTTAAATTCAATTTTAGACTAAATTGGTAATAAAGAGTTAAATTAAAAACTAAACAATCGTTGCGAATTCCCAATATTAATTATTATCAATTTCCCAATTCTTTTCACAAAAAGGGGATTTTTGTTATTTTTCATCATTTCTATCTTATTACTAGATTCCATTACAAAGAATCCTGTTTCAATATCATAAAAGAATATTTAATAATAGAAATATTGTGCATTATCATTCTACCAAAATTAAACAAATTGATAGTTTGACATCTAAATTATATTTAATGTATTGTTATTGAGATTTGAATTAAGAATCTAACAAGTTACAAAATGAATATGTTGATCTAAAGATATGAAATAGCATTCAATTTCATTTTCATTCTATAGAAGTTTTGTTTTTAATAAGCAGCTTAGTTCAGATATATATTTGCATTCGAATAATTTTTGAATTCTTATAAATGGTCCTCTTAAAATTAAATTCGTATTATTCGATATGGATGCAGTAAAGATAGTACCATAAAAATAGTTTGCCAATATTATATCTTTGCTGGCTAACTTATTTTCTATAAAATAATTACGTTGTAATTAAGGACAAAAGTTTTGAACGTATAAATTTAATTGGCACTCTAGAGATTAATCAGTAATTTAAGAAATAACCTATATAGGGTAAGATTTATATTCTACCAATGTACTTTGAGTAGAATTTAAATTTTTCATTTATAATCCAATTTCAATTAGACTAGATTATCTCATTTAATTATTTTCATCTTAATATACTATCATCTGATTTTGGAAAAAGAAATATTTACTATTACATTTAATACTTGAAATCCATTAAATTTCCTCATCAAAGGAAATTGCAAAAATTAATAAATACATTTGTTCTGACTTCTTAGCAAGCAAAATCAAATAATTCCGCTCAAATTAGTAAATAATGGGTCTAACAAAATTATAATCTTTTTAAGTTATATTTTCAGAATGGTGTATCTCAGAGTCATATAGATAATAAAAAAAAAGGACGCTTTAAGACCTATGTATACCAATTAATTATTGTCCTTAACTAAATTACCCTACTTGAATTATTTATACATCTTAAATTCTTAAATAATGTATTGATTATTACTCTTTCTACAATAATAAAATTATTGTTTAATATTATATAGCTGCTTACTAATTGTTTTCTTTGTAGAACAAGATATCCTAATTTAAAAATATTTTTTCTGGTAATTATTATTTAATTTAAGATAGATAATTTGGAATTAGATGGTAAATTATTGGAAGTTAATCTTTTTAAAAAATCAACAATAAGGGTCCAAATTAGGTTATATTATCTGGAGAGTATTCAAGTTACTATGTGTACTTTGACAAACAAGAATTATGATCAAATTTGAAAACTATAACTTAGTTTACCCCTAATTTAAATAACCAAAACACATTAGTTTTTGAAANAATAAAATTTAGTTTGACATTGCAGTTCGAACTAATTTCATCGAAAGCATAAGATTTTCATTTTCCTCAAATTTGATGACATTGTTAAATTCAATTTTAGACTAAATTGGTAATAAAGAGTTAAATTAAAAACTAAACAATCGTTGCGAATTCCCAATATTAATTATTATCAATTTCCCAATTCTTTTCACAAAAAGGGGATTTTTGTTATTTTTCATCATTTCTATCTTATTACTAGATTCCATTACAAAGAATCCTGTTTCAATATCATAAAAGAATATTTAATAATAGAAATATTGTGCATTATCATTCTACCAAAATTAAACAAATTGATAGTTTGACATCTAAATTATATTTAATGTATTGTTATTGAGATTTGAATTAAGAATCTAACAAGTTACAAAATGAATATGTTGATCTAAAGATATGAAATAGCATTCAATTTCATTTTCATTCTATAGAAGTTTTGTTTTTAATAAGCAGCTTAGTTCAGATATATATTTGCATTCGAATAATTTTTGAATTCTTATAAATGGTCCTCTTAAAATTAAATTCGTATTATTCGATATGGATGCAGTAAAGATAGTACCATAAAAATAGTTTGCCAATATTATATCTTTGCTGGCTAACTTATTTTCTATAAAATAATTACGTTGTAATTAAGGACAAAAGTTTTGAACGTATAAATTTAATTGGCACTCTAGAGATTAATCAGTAATTTAAGAAATAACCTATATAGGGTAAGATTTATATTCTACCAATGTACTTTGAGTAGAATTTAAATTTTTCATTTATAATCCAATTTCAATTAGACTAGATTATCTCATTTAATTATTTTCATCTTAATATACTATCATCTGATTTTGGAAAAAGAAATATTTACTATTACATTTAATACTTGAAATCCATTAAATTTCCTCATCAAAGGAAATTGCAAAAATTAATAAATACATTTGTTCTGACTTCTTAGCAAGCAAAATCAAATAATTCCGCTCAAATTAGTAAATAATGGGTCTAACAAAATTATAATCTTTTTAAGTTATATTTTCAGAATGGTGTATCTCAGAGTCATATAGATAATAAAAAAAAAGGACGCTTTAAGACCTATGTATACCAATTAATTATTGTCCTTAACTAAATTACCCTACTTGAATTATTTATACATCTTAAATTCTTAAATAATGTATTGATTATTACTCTTTCTACAATAATAAAATTATTGTTTAATATTATATAGCTGCTTACTAATTGTTTTCTTTGTAGAACAAGATATCCTAATTTAAAAATATTTTTTCTGGTAATTATTATTTAATTTAAGATAGATAATTTGGAATTAGATGGTAAATTATTGGAAGTTAATCTTTTTAAAAAATCAACAATAAGGGTCCAAATTAGGTTATATTATCTGGAGAGTATTCAAGTTACTATGTGTACTTTGACAAACAAGAATTATGATCAAATTTGAAAACTATAACTTAGTTTACCCCTAATTTAAATAACCAAAACACATTAGTTTTTGAAATTAAATGCATACCTTATATACTTATTGATAAATCTTGACATCTCTCATAACATGATGTAAATTTAAGAATATCATTCTTAAGAAATAGAGCTGATGTGTTTTCATAGCCTAGTAATGTATAATTAAGCTTTTTGAAGAATGGTTTACACTAATAAATTGAGTCAAAAATGTTCAAGCTATTATTCTGTGCTTCTAATGATTTTGGAGCAGATAATTCATAATAGTCATTATTTACTTTGATATACCTCTGAATATTAAAATTGGTTTGAGGTTTGCACTAATTTGGTACATAACCGAATATTTAACAAAAATTTTCATCATTTTCTTTCACTTTGATAATCTTATAGCACATTATTAAAGTTAAAGCAAGATTTTTTATGTTGAAAATAAATATATACTATTTTTTCGGTTTAATAAAAGGTTAATTAATATGATACTTATAGAATTAAATTAACCCTAACTCTTCATCAATTTAATAAAAGTAACTAAGAGATTTAATAAATGTGATTTATAAATTTGGTATTTACATTGTATATTTAATGTCAAGTGTTAATATTAAAGAGATCTCATATTCATTATAAATAAATAAACGGCCATTTATATATTTCATTTCATAAGAAGCGTTGTAGCTAGTTCTTTATTGAGTTTCCCAAATATAAATTTCTCCTGAATCTGATTAAGTGAGGATTTATTATAAAACACATTTACTATTTAGTAACAATTTTTTTATCTTTCTCTAATAGACTCTACTCAAGAATACATTTGATTTAGAAAGATCAAAGTATAAATAAAAATTATCATCAACTAACACTAAATACTTTGAATGTTGTTCACAGATTTAAATGTCGAATAATAGGTTAATTTAATATCCAGTATTTATTTTATTGAAAGTAGTTTAGTTTAATATTATTTGATTCAAAGGTAAATTTATAATAATCCAATTCTCGCATTAATAAAAAGCCAATAAGAATTGGAAATTCTACATATCAAAATAAGTTCTTTTACATTAAGTTATATTTAGATTGGTTATATTATATTAGTATATAAGTTAAGTTTAATTATATTTAAAAAATACTGCATACACATTAACTTATGTAGGGGAGTAACAAAAAATAACAAATGAATTATTTTTATTCCCAAAAAACTCCTCACAGATTTCCCCATAGTTAGAATCAATCTAAACCACAAAGGGTTATGCTTATTCATTATTTGCATCAGTATTTTCAAATAGATTTGAATATGTGATAAAATAATTTGAAGATTGAATTAAATTACATAACCATTTTTTAAATTTCTAAGTATCATCTAATGTTTCCATTACTTTGGATTGAATTACTTTACCTGGTGGAAATAATTTCATTGTAAATGATTTTTCAATTAAATTTTAATTAATTCTATATTCAGCATTGTTAAAATCATATACATCCGACTCCATCATAATGGTTTAACTTTATTAAGTATATATTATCTAATCTTCTTTGATACGATAATCCTAGCAATCCTAATATGTTAATTAAATTAAATTCAAAAGCACTATTGATATCAATAACATTGTATTTAGTGATAAATCTATAAATATTTATATTATATATATTCATTAATAAAATCAAATTGTATTCTAATCATTAATAATATTAATTAAGATCTAGATTAATTTTGTCAAGTTATTTAGCATAGTTTCTAGAGTATGATGATATGAGATCAAATTCTCCAAATTTATTCTCGTATTACTCGATTGATTAGACAGAACTAAATTATTTATGAATTGGTTTTATAGAAAATTAGTTTATATATTAAATGATTTCTTTCTTCTTTGGGTTTAAAGTTCGCTTTAATTCAACTTATTTAAGTTTGTTAATTTTTATTTAATCCACTATCTTACTTTGTATACCACAGAGATAATGTTCATGTATTTTTTCCATTTCGCTATAAAGTAATTCATCAAAATAGGCAAACCATTTCATAAAATTTTATAAATACAAGGTTTACTAGGATGGTTTGATTTATAAGGTGTTTATGAAGTGAATAGTTCTATTCAGTAAAATATCACGATTTAGATGAACAACAGGAATGCTAAATATTTCTTAGATATCTTGAAAATTTGATGTTGACGTAAATATTTTGTTAAGGATATTCCTTATATATCCTTCATTCTTATATTATTGCAATTCTTGTATATATTTACATATTCTGTTAATGTAAAGAATGAGGGTATTCTTATTTATCAATAACAGATTTTTTTCTTGAATTGGTCGATAGGTAGTAGATTTGAATTTGCTTTCATCTATGCTATTGTAACGATTACGCTACGAATATATTCTTATTCTATTCATTAATAAATGTAAAATAAGTGTTATTCAGAATAATAAATTCATTAGATAGTTATTCTTGTAAAATTTGTAAATGCTGATACATTATGTTCACTATGATAATGAGGAAAACAATAATATATATAATTATGATGTCTAAGTTAGCGGTTTATTTATAAAAAAAGGGAAATGCTTGAAAAAATAATCAAATTTGAAAAACTAGATTATCTTATAACCATAAATTAAATGGCATAGAGCATATAAGTCTTATATTGCTATTGGGTTTTAAGAAACATCATTTTATGAGATTAAAAAGAGATAGAAAATGGTTTCTCTCGTTATTTAGAGTAGTTACAATGTAATAAGATGTGTATCATTTATTTATTTTCTTCTATTTGAAATTTCAAAACTATTTATTGTAATTGAGAATTCAAGAGCAATTAATTAGCAGTAAGTTAATTGATTACAATTGTTTCAATAGTGTAGAATTTGGGAATTGGGAAGTGGAAACTTATAGGATTAGATTATTAAATTGAGTTTTGTTATAATTTATGAAGTTAATTTGATTGAATATCATACAAATTTTTATCTATTTAATTAATAATAAGAAAATTATAAAAAATAAAGGTTTTATTCTTGTATTGGTTGTTCTTAATTATCACTTGATAAGTTGTCTTCATTGCTTTATTCAATTCTCATTTAATAGATATTCTTTAGTGATGGTTTGAATGAGGATTACTTTAGAAAATGTCCTTTTTTATCCATACTCTAACTTTTGAATCTTCTTTTCTTTTATTTATATTCTGACAGTTGACTTGAATGTTCACTTGCTGAATTTTAACTTTATTAATAAAATGATTTTAAAGTGTTTTTGGATTGTAAATAATTAAAGCTCATTCCCACAGAACCCTCAATGATAGATTGAGTAGAAACGAAATTACCAAAATGTGAAACTAATGTTTGAGCTTATAATTGAGCCAATAAATCCTAAACTGTGATTCTATTTTCTGGTTATTTTTATAACATAGCTTTCAGTAAATAAATACTTTTTTAACTGACATTAAGAAATTTAGATTCCGAAAAGTCAATTTGACATTCTTTATTTAATTTCAATAATCCATCATATGTATTTGATCGAAATGGTGCTCTTCCACATAGCATGGAATAAAATATTATACCTAAACTAAAAACATCTCCAACTTCTTGATATGGTTGTCTAAGAAATACTTCCGGTGCTATATAACCAGCTGTGCCTTACCCATTCTATAATCTATCCCTCGATATTTTTTCAGTGAACCCAAAATCAATCAGTTTGAGATTATCTTTATCTATTAATACATTTTCCAATTTAATATCTCTATGAACATAGCCAATTCCATGCACACATTAGATAGCAATAGTTAGTTTAAGTAGGATTTATGTCGATTCTACTTCAGTTAGCTTCTTCCTATCCTTTAAGTACTAATACAAGGATCCTCCTTTGATGTATTCTGTGACTAAGACTATAATCAAGTTATTTTGATATTTACTTAGCATTTCGTCAAGTTATATGATTTCAAATAATTTAATGATGTAAGGTGAATTCAATTTCCTAAGCACGTAACATTCTGATTGAATGAAATTATGAAATTTTTATGAATCCTTCTTTTAAATCAGTTCTTCTCTATAATATATTTTGCCTGCATAATTGAGAGGTTAATTGGGGAGACGAATGTTCGGAGTGAGTTAGATGACTTTGGAAAATCCACCTTTAGCAATGACATCAGAGAATGTATAGATTTAATCCAGATTTTAGATAAAGGAGAATTAAGAAAGGTTCTTGAAGAATTAAAAGGTAGATTTTCTATAGAAGAGATAGTTAATAATTTTACTAATCATTATTCCAAATATAAATGAATATATCTTTGGTTCTTTTGATTCTGATTACTTTCATAAGATCAGATTTTTTATTAGAAATTTTAAGGTCAATGATTTTCAGACTGATATCATGATTCAGCTAGACATGCCCCTTAGTTTTGTTATTGTGTTAGTAAAATAGTAAGCCTTCATGATTCAATAGAAATTGATATTCAGTGGGCTTACTACATTTCCAAGTTATTCGATTCATAGTAAACTATGAAATGATAGATTGCGCAATGTTGAGTTATAGTTTTTTATTCCAGAATGCTTTGGCCTAGTCGTTTTCCTGGAATATGGGCCAATATTGGAATTGATGATCATACATTTTTTAAATTAATTAATAAATTTTTATATAGACTAAGTTATTATATATATTATTAGAAGCGGCTTGAATTAAATTCTTACTTTTTAATATAATTTGATTGAAATGGGTATATGTTAATCTACTCATATTTAATACCTGGAAGATTTAAAGATTAGATAAGCTCCTATACTCTATGTTAAGAAATCACCAGTGTTGGGAATGCATAAAGTATATCTCGGCAATCTTCCAACATTAGATGAGTTTAGTCATGAGGATGATTAGATTAGAAGAGCCTCATTTAGTTATAACGATGACGTAATATATAATGGACAATGGACTAGGAATAAAAGAAATGGTTTGGGTATATTGGAATGGGGAGGTAGAAATATTGATCTAGCAATTTAGATGGAACTTATTATGAAGGTAACTGGAAGGCTGATGAAATAGATGGAAATGGAAAGTTTGTGAGTAACAATGTGGTGATCGAAGGATAATGGAAGAACAATTAGTTGAATGGCTACGGAATTTATAAGGTGGATGAACTCTATAAGTATGAGGGTTATTGGTGTGATGATTAGAAACTTGGTATTGGGAAGGAGTATTATGATGATGAAAGTCAATATATTGGGAATTTCGACCAAAACGTAAAATCTGGTATTGGAATCTATATTTGGAATGACGGGAGCAAGTACGAAGGGAGTTTCAAATAGGATTGCTTGAATGGAATGGGAGAATTGAGATGGGCAAATGGAAGTTGGTATAAAGGGGAATTTGTGAATAATTATTTTCATGGATAAGGGTGTTTTTAATGGAGTGATGGCAGAAGATATGAAGGCAATTATGTGTATGATTACAAAAATGGATATGGGAAATATTTCTGGGAGGATAATCAAAAATATGAAGGGTATTGGAAAAATGATAAGTGGAATGGTCATGGTATACTAACCAAATCAAATTGTATAATAGAGGGAGAATGGATTCATGGTAAATTGTAAAAGGTAAAATGATTATTTATAATTTATAATGCAATATAAATCATATATTGATCCTTATCTAAATAAGCAAATCAACAACCAAAAACCTTATCTGAATAGAATTTCTAGTTTTCATAACCCCATTCAGAATTGTATCTAATATTTAACATTACTCTTAGCAATTTTATGTAAGAGCATCTCTGAATAGAAACTCAAGCTCTCCAATGATCAAGAGAGCCAGACCAAATTAAACAATATTGGACAATCCCAATGGGAGAAGTATCTCCATCATGCCTAAACTTTAGAATTGGATCCAAATTGCCCAAAAGAGTCTAACTTCAATATAGAGAAATCATCAAGCCTAAATAATTTGAAATCAACCTCTCCCAACCTCGAATTCATAGTCCAAATGCCAATTAACGATTCAATCGATCTTTCTATATGGGTCTCCAAGAGATCAATTCATCATCACAAAAAAGACCTCTCTTGAATCTCACTAGTACTGTTATCATGGTACTTCCAATTCATTTTAACTAAGATTTAGGATAGCACATAAGCCACTTCAGAACTCTAAACATAGAAAATCTAATAGAAGTTCAGATATAATTTTATATTCCATTATATAATTGGATTTGGAGGATTTGGGAATGTTTGGAAGGTGGAATCCAAAAAAACTAGAATGATTTATGCAATGAAAGAGCTCAAAAAAGCAAAGTATTCTTCTTAACCTATTGAGAATTTTAGCCAAAAAATCTGTCAAATCAGTTATGAATGAAAAACAACTGTTATAAAAACTAAAAAATCCATTTATTATCAATATGGTAGGATCCTTCTAAGACAGAGATCACTTATGTCTAATTCTCGATTATCTATCGGGAGGTGATCTTAGATATCATTTATTGCTCAATAAAACATTTAGAGAAGAATAAATTAGTATTTAGATATAAATATTATAGAATTTTTTGTGGCTTGCATGATTCTTGGATTAGAATACATAAACTCCTATTAAGTTATTCATAGAGATCTCAAACCAGAAAATTTAGTATTGGATTGTAAAGGATATTTGAAAATAACAGATTTTGGAATAGCTAGATATTATAAAAGTGAAAATAGTAATGAAACTAGTGGTACTCCTGGATATATGGCACCTGAAATAATTCTAAAATAAAATTACAATTATTGTGTTGACTATTATGCAATAGGTGTAATATGTTATGAAATGATCACTGGGAAAAGACCTTATCTTGGTAAAACTAAAAAAGAAATACGTGATGAAATGCTGGGCAAATAAGCTTAATTAAATGTCAAAGAGTACTTGTAGTATTCATTCAATCTAATTGAATTTACAAATAAATTGTTAGTGAGAAAATAATAAAATCGATTGGGTTATTAAAATGGGATCAAAGAACTTAAAAATCACAAATTATTCCACTCATTTTAATGGGAAAAATTGATAAACAAGACAATGATTGCTCCATATCAACCTAAATAAGAAGATAGGAATAGACCATATCAATAGACGAATGATTCCCAGCAAACAATATTTAACGAATAACTGAAATAACTTAAATTTAAAGAAATCCAAATGCTTTTTGATGGATACACATATTAAACTGAAGACAAGATTATTTGACTATAAATTTGATTATCAACAATTATTCAAGTATCTCTACATTCATAATTAAATGGATTAAAATGAAGCACTACCCACATCTTAACATACTCTCGCTAAGTCTTCTTTATTCTTGAACATATTTACTTTACCTCTACTTAAAAATTGAAGTCTTCTTTACTAAAATGCCATTCAATTTATTCTCTATTTGCATCAACCTCAATCATAGTAATTGAATTATCAAACACTTACCCACGATTACTATGTTTTATTTCTTCTTTTCCTATATTCCAAATAAATGTGTATGAAAAAGCTGATTCCTTCCGAAATGACTTTTTAGAAACAATTAAATTCTAGACAATTCATAGATGATGTTAGTGTATACTAGTTTCTTTTTTGCTTATGCTACCAATTCTTTACATATCTTTAGGTCTTCCTTATCTTTAGACTTTTTCAAGTCTATGTAATCCAAGAAGTAAAACTCAAAACCATTAATATACTCATTATTAATCCAACTTAGGCTAGTAGTATTTCACCTAATTTTGAATAAACAATCTAAGTATCAAATGACATCGAATCAAGTCGAATAAATAAATTAAGATATGAATTCTTAACTAATAAAGTAGACCAAAATTGATTAGTTGTTGCGTTTGTTATCAACTAGGCATTGTAGATGAAGCTTTTTGACTCAGAATTAGTGAATAAAATGCCAGTATCTATAGTAGATAAGGTTTAAGTCAATATCAATTAACCCTAATGAGAGATCCAAGAATCAAAGGTTAAATAATATTATTTCTTCACTACCTAGAACTTTTATGAATATGGATCATACTATAGATTTGATGCATGGTTATTGCAATATACCAGANATAACAGATTTTGGAATAGCTAGATATTATAAAAGTGAAAATAGTAATGAAACTAGTGGTACTCCTGGATATATGGCACCTGAAATAATTCTAAAATAAAATTACAATTATTGTGTTGACTATTATGCAATAGGTGTAATATGTTATGAAATGATCACTGGGAAAAGACCTTATCTTGGTAAAACTAAAAAAGAAATACGTGATGAAATGCTGGGCAAATAAGCTTAATTAAATGTCAAAGAGTACTTGTAGTATTCATTCAATCTAATTGAATTTACAAATAAATTGTTAGTGAGAAAATAATAAAATCGATTGGGTTATTAAAATGGGATCAAAGAACTTAAAAATCACAAATTATTCCACTCATTTTAATGGGAAAAATTGATAAACAAGACAATGATTGCTCCATATCAACCTAAATAAGAAGATAGGAATAGACCATATCAATAGACGAATGATTCCCAGCAAACAATATTTAACGAATAACTGAAATAACTTAAATTTAAAGAAATCCAAATGCTTTTTGATGGATACACATATTAAACTGAAGACAAGATTATTTGACTATAAATTTGATTATCAACAATTATTCAAGTATCTCTACATTCATAATTAAATGGATTAAAATGAAGCACTACCCACATCTTAACATACTCTCGCTAAGTCTTCTTTATTCTTGAACATATTTACTTTACCTCTACTTAAAAATTGAAGTCTTCTTTACTAAAATGCCATTCAATTTATTCTCTATTTGCATCAACCTCAATCATAGTAATTGAATTATCAAACACTTACCCACGATTACTATGTTTTATTTCTTCTTTTCCTATATTCCAAATAAATGTGTATGAAAAAGCTGATTCCTTCCGAAATGACTTTTTAGAAACAATTAAATTCTAGACAATTCATAGATGATGTTAGTGTATACTAGTTTCTTTTTTGCTTATGCTACCAATTCTTTACATATCTTTAGGTCTTCCTTATCTTTAGACTTTTTCAAGTCTATGTAATCCAAGAAGTAAAACTCAAAACCATTAATATACTCATTATTAATCCAACTTAGGCTAGTAGTATTTCACCTAATTTTGAATAAACAATCTAAGTATCAAATGACATCGAATCAAGTCGAATAAATAAATTAAGATATGAATTCTTAACTAATAAAGTAGACCAAAATTGATTAGTTGTTGCGTTTGTTATCAACTAGGCATTGTAGATGAAGCTTTTTGACTCAGAATTAGTGAATAAAATGCCAGTATCTATAGTAGATAAGGTTTAAGTCAATATCAATTAACCCTAATGAGAGATCCAAGAATCAAAGGTTAAATAATANATAACAGATTTTGGAATAGCTAGATATTATAAAAGTGAAAATAGTAATGAAACTAGTGGTACTCCTGGATATATGGCACCTGAAATAATTCTAAAATAAAATTACAATTATTGTGTTGACTATTATGCAATAGGTGTAATATGTTATGAAATGATCACTGGGAAAAGACCTTATCTTGGTAAAACTAAAAAAGAAATACGTGATGAAATGCTGGGCAAATAAGCTTAATTAAATGTCAAAGAGTACTTGTAGTATTCATTCAATCTAATTGAATTTACAAATAAATTGTTAGTGAGAAAATAATAAAATCGATTGGGTTATTAAAATGGGATCAAAGAACTTAAAAATCACAAATTATTCCACTCATTTTAATGGGAAAAATTGATAAACAAGACAATGATTGCTCCATATCAACCTAAATAAGAAGATAGGAATAGACCATATCAATAGACGAATGATTCCCAGCAAACAATATTTAACGAATAACTGAAATAACTTAAATTTAAAGAAATCCAAATGCTTTTTGATGGATACACATATTAAACTGAAGACAAGATTATTTGACTATAAATTTGATTATCAACAATTATTCAAGTATCTCTACATTCATAATTAAATGGATTAAAATGAAGCACTACCCACATCTTAACATACTCTCGCTAAGTCTTCTTTATTCTTGAACATATTTACTTTACCTCTACTTAAAAATTGAAGTCTTCTTTACTAAAATGCCATTCAATTTATTCTCTATTTGCATCAACCTCAATCATAGTAATTGAATTATCAAACACTTACCCACGATTACTATGTTTTATTTCTTCTTTTCCTATATTCCAAATAAATGTGTATGAAAAAGCTGATTCCTTCCGAAATGACTTTTTAGAAACAATTAAATTCTAGACAATTCATAGATGATGTTAGTGTATACTAGTTTCTTTTTTGCTTATGCTACCAATTCTTTACATATCTTTAGGTCTTCCTTATCTTTAGACTTTTTCAAGTCTATGTAATCCAAGAAGTAAAACTCAAAACCATTAATATACTCATTATTAATCCAACTTAGGCTAGTAGTATTTCACCTAATTTTGAATAAACAATCTAAGTATCAAATGACATCGAATCAAGTCGAATAAATAAATTAAGATATGAATTCTTAACTAATAAAGTAGACCAAAATTGATTAGTTGTTGCGTTTGTTATCAACTAGGCATTGTAGATGAAGCTTTTTGACTCAGAATTAGTGAATAAAATGCCAGTATCTATAGTAGATAAGGTTTAAGTCAATATCAATTAACCCTAATGAGAGATCCAAGAATCAAAGGTTAAATAATATTATTTCTTCACTACCTAGAACTTTTATGAATATGGATCATACTATAGATTTGATGCATGGTTATTGCAATATACCAGATTTTTCAAATCCAATATTAAATAGAGTTTCATTGCAAGAGGCGATTACTATCATAAGTTCTGTTGTATCATTCAAATCATTATCAAACCCACTATTTTGATCTAAGGATAGATTGTCTACTTTTAAAAGACTAGTATTATTGGGGGAAACTGTTTGTGACTAAGTTAAGAGAGAAAATGGTTATTATGGAATACCATTAATAAAATAGATTCCAATAGGAGTTAATATGTTACGTTACAATCTGAATGGATCTACCTAGTGATTGCTATACTTCCAATAACAAAATTCAAATAAGGCATCTTGATGATACAAAATTTGAGAGTAGTTCTATACTTTCATGAGATTGGTTGAATTTGGTAGGATTTTGGAACTCCATCATTCATTTATCACATAGATAAAATAGCTAAAACTAGCTACTAATACTAATAGTGAACATATTCTACTAAGGATTGACTTTTACTCTTTTCATCTAAAGAGATTTGTGGTTTATATTGAACACTGAAGATATTGATCATTTTAAAGTATTTCATTTTGAAATATAGTATTTTTAATGATGTCCTGATGTGTCAATTAGAAAAAGACACATTTTGTAAATAAAATGATTTTAATTAATTTATTATATGACACAAAGAGAAGAGGTATTGTATATATTATTTTAATTATAATAAGACACCATATTTCAGAGAGTGTTAAAAATTAGGTGGTATTCAATAGAAGGACATCTATCTATCTCCAACAAAGGCAGCAACATATTTGTATCTACTTAATCATGTAAGAAATATGAAGTATGTCAAAGTGTGATAAGAGTGTTGCCATGCAATTTGCTAAAAGACGGGTCTGCAAATGGGATACAACAATTGAATAAGATGGACCAGCCACTTGTAGAATCCTTGTTCCTGTTCAGAAGAGAGAAGTATTGATCAAATAATAATTTAGAAATGCATTCATGGTTGGCAGAATGTAGGGTATGAAGTGTTTTATTAGAACAAGGATACAATTGCAGATCAAAAACAGTTGAATTTGGATTATGAAAATGATGAGATCTAATATTAATTAGAGAATAATGAGAGGATGCTCACCAATGATTTTAAGTATCAGATGAAGAATTTAGCGAAGTTCTACAAGGAACTAAATCAAAAATATAGATTGAATGTTCAGGATCCGGATTTTAAAGAAAGAGTTTAGAAAGCGAAGGAATAGTTACAAAGACAAAGAAATAAACCGTTGCAGTACTTTAAGAAAGATGGTGTGAAATTCGTAGAATTGCTGCATGAACTTATTTAAGCTGATAAACGACAACCTACATTGTTAGAAAGATTCAAAGCATTCAATCAATTAAAAGCATCGCAATTTAGAATCAAAGAGAAACTGCCTGAAAAGCTGTATAATAAAACAACGAATGATGAAGATTCAACTCCTAGAAGCAGGAACAAATTGCTGAAAAAATCTTGTAAGTTTATAGGGTAAACAAGCAGAAATGTGACAGATACATTGAAAATGAAATTTCAATTAAAAGATAAATCCTATCATATGTCTAAACAATTCGATAATTACACTCCAAATCTCCTCAAAGTATAATCCCAATCATCAATATCTTTTCATAAAAAGAATAAAACAGACAACGAAGAATATCTTGATCAACAACTCGAAAAATTCGCAAGTAGAATGATATAACCTCAATCTAATGTTTAAGAAATTAGCACTGAAAACATCAACAGATTAATTGAAGTAATTATTATAAAATACATTGAAAGAGTAAATCTAATTTAAAGTAATTATGTCTCAAAAAGATATAATCCAAAACGTTGATTGCTCAATCAGAACATCGTAGTAAAACTGAGAGACAGGAATCAGATTGTAATGTTTTATTCACCTCAAGATCAAGAGATAAGGATTCTACAAAGGCGTCTATCATTTTTAAGCGATCTTAATTGCTTACATCTTTTACCAATAAATCAGATTGTATTAAATGATGATTTATATTTATAAATAATAATTCAAAAGGGAATGTTTTGAAATTAATTCATAAATAAATTTTATTATTATTAATTATAATGTACAATTCAAGATCCTAAGTCTCATGTATCAAATAAAATTGACCATTTTTAGATCCCTAAGCATCACCTTCAAGTGGAAGAATTCAAAAGATCTCAGAGAAATTATCCACAATCTAAATTGGAGTAGAAAATGAGAGATTTCAAAAACTTGAATAAGCTGAATAAAGAATTTAATAGGCTGAAGATGCTTTCAATGAATTCTAAGAATAAATCTTTACTAAATTGAACGGATTAAGAGATCAAGTAATTTATATACCAATATTTGTGTAGTTAGGCAAATTACAAAAACAAGTAGAAGAAGATAAATTGGCTAAGGAATAAGCTAATGAAACTAAAAACAGAGAAGTTCAAGCATTAGAAAAGAAATTTGAAAATGCTATTCAAAATGAAACATAAACAAGAAAAGAAGGAGAAGCTAAAGTATTGAGATTATTGGAAGATAAAACAGCATTGTTGAGAACTGAAGTACAAAAGGAAACTGCAGCAAGAGTAGATGCTATTGAAGGAATCCACTAAGGATTATAAAATGATCTACCCAAAATCTAAGAGGCCATCAGAAATGAAGCCAATGAAAGAGATGAGTCTGATCAGAATGTAAGTATATACTAACATATAGGTTATGAAATCCATTACTGACGAACTTGTTAAATTGAGTAATCTTATCAATGTTGAAAAGAGAAATAGAGATGAAAGTGAACAATCCATATTTGAAATGCTTAAAGATATTGTCAATAGAGTCAAAGTAGAATTAGATCAAGAAAAAAAAACAAGGTATAATTAATTACATAATTAATAGAGAATAATCAGAAGAGCATTTACTCAGTTTATTGGAAGATACTTGTAATAAACTCAGTATTGCAGCAAATCTATGATATTGAAATAAATACAAAATATAAAGAATATATTATATATAATATAATGCAATATCATTAATTTGATAAGAACTTGTCTCCCTTACAAAGATTGACTCTCTTTCACGATGGTTCAATGACTAAATTCTTAGAATTATACTTTGCGGAGAATGTTTAAACAGAAGTCATCAAAGAATCCTCTCAATTTGATGATGAATATTTGTATGATTGGAAACAATTCATACCAGATGCTCAAATCTAAAGAGAAGTCATCCTTAAGAATCAATCCAAAGGAAATCTCATCTATGCAAGATCACTTTGGACTAAACTTAATTATGATAAAATTATGTAAGGCAACAAAAATAATGCTATTGGCAAGAATCTTGAAAAAAAACAAATCTCTTAAAGAAGACAGATTTTAATTGCTTGTTAAACTAAATTACCAACATCAAGTAATCTACCTATTAGAGATGTTTTAAGTAGAGCCTATCTTATTTATTAAGAAGATGACCTTCTTATGTATATTGAAGAATACATGTTATTTTGATAATTTATTTTAATGTTTTAACAGCATAATAATACTATTTCAACGTCCCGATCTAATTCATCCATAAATCAAACTCCGAGGAGATTAATACGTGTTGGCACTCCTTCTGGTATTGACAATGCCAGTGCTATGAAAAAGAACGAAGAATTTAACAAATAAATAGAATTATATAAACAAAGAGAATCTCACTACAAGAAAATCATTTTTGCCAAAGATTAAGAAATATCAATGATGAAATCACATATCTAATAATTAGAAGAAAGTAAGTTCAAAGATAATTTAGATATCAATCAGAATAATCTGTCCAATCAAATATAAAAATAAATTTAAGATCTAACTTAACAAGTCCAAATCTTGTTAGAATCATACAAGTAAAAATCTATGTATCAAAATTTAGTTAAAGGATAATTGAAATTGAAAATCTCAAAAAATCGTAAGGTCATGATCATACAGAATTAGAAAGGCAAGTCTTATAATTACTAAGAGAGAATTCTCAATTAATGAATAGTCTAACCGTTTCACACACTCAATAGGATGTTTTATCCAAAAAGAATAGTTTATAGAATATATCTAAAATACATCCATCCGAGACTTCTTGGAAACAAAGGTTTATTAAATTGAATAAAGAATATTATGAATTACAAGAAAAGCATGCCTTTTTAACAGCTGAATTAGAAAATAACAGATCTAACTTTCGATCCCCAAGTTTAGAAAGCTTTGAGGCTATTATCAGATAATGATTTTTTTAATTTCTATAACTTATTTTATTAATCTTGTTAAGTTGGACTGTTTTTTGAATAAGTAATTGGTCTAATATGATCTTGCAAATAATCTTATTTCATTTAAACTTACACCAGTTAAAAAGTTATACCTTAATATAATATCTTTTCAATAAAAATTGTGATTTTCATATCTTAAACCAATAATTCCATTTAAGAATTGGTATCAATAGAAGAATTGAAATAGATAACACATTAATTTAAAATATATATTTATTTGCATTTATTTAATTTTATATACTCAATAAGATTTTCTTATTAGATCTACAGCTTGATTGATTTACTCGTTCAAATAAGTTGCATCCTAAAGCATTTTAAATTAATCTTCCAATCCATAATTTTCAAAATCCAATAGAATTCCTGTCACTTGAGGTGCCTGAAGATAATATAGATAAATTACCAATTTTTACTCAACCTATTGGTTAACTAAAGGAAACAAGATTGCTCCAACAATTGCAGTGATTTTTTTCTCATTTCCTTAAGCCTACAAGGTTTGTAAGAATTACAAATCTGGCATTCTTGGTTGATGTGGTCTTTGTTGGTTGTGATATTGATTAGATTATTGATTTGGGTATTAATTTCTCTTAGGTCTGTGTGGATTATAATTACCTTGTTATTGAGTGAATCCGACTGGTTAATAAGGGGGTTATTGAGGAGGATAACCAGTAGGATATTGGGGTTGTTGTTATGGATAAGCACCATATGGAGGGTTTTGATAGTTTGGATATCCTTAGAATGGTTATTAGTATGGGAAAGGAATGGGTTAAGGATAAGGTTAAAAGGCTGGTTTTTATTGTGTTTTTTTGAATTGGATAATTTCTGCTGGACTCAACATAGGAGAGATTTGTACAGTCAATTTATCATACAGATCAAATATTTTTTTAGTTTTGACAGCCAAATCAATGACTTTTTTACCATCTTCAGCAGATTTCAAATAGATATAAGCTGTTAATTTATTAGATTTATTTGGTGGTAATAATTGAATATCATCTAGAACAATAATGGATTCATATGCTTCTCTGAGCTATTGTTCAGTGACAGTTGGTTTCAGGTTTTTGGTGTATAGATTTGCTTCAATATTGTCATTTGAATTGACAGCCCATTGGATGGTAATAGTTTAATTTTGAAATGTTTTGGAAGCTTTGACTGCTTTATATGCATCTTCTGAATTTTCAAATCTAACAAATGCAAAGTATGTTTGATTTTTGGGATTCACATTGACTTAGATGGATTCAATTTTGCCATATTCAGAGAAATAGTTATCCAATAATGGTTTAATTTGATCCAAGGGTTATTAGGACTTAATATTGGAGATGAAGAGTTGATCTCTCTTGATTTGTTATTGCTTACCCTTCTTGATTGCTCTAAATGGATATTTTATTGAATTACCTTGTGATATGCAATCCCAAATTTGCCTAATCTGCCAGACATTGTTCAGCGGATTTCCTTTATTCAAATTAGATATAAGCCACTCCAGCCTTATCAGACATCTAAACTTTGATATTCAAGATCTTTCCGTATTTTTATAATTTCTCTTTCAATTACAATTGGGTTGTTGTGGGACTTAATCCATCGATGAATATATTTGCTTCTTCATCCAATTTATCCATATCCAAGTATTCATTCACATCCAAATTCTTTCCTTCTATTGTGACAGTCTTAGATGTTGCTCTTTTCACTATTTGATTAAATTATTTTGTACCAGCATCATGAGAATCAAATACTATGAATACTCCATTTGACTTGGCATTTTGCTATAATTATTCGATCTTTCCGAACTCAGAGAATGCTTATTTCAATTATTCAAGAGTAGTTTCAGACTTATACTAAGTTACATACACACACCTATCATGAAGAGTTGATTAAATCATAAATAATTATTTAATGATGAGTAATTCACTATTTTTAATTATTAATTAATGGAAACTAAGTGTAAAAGAAATGGTTGTAAGAAAGCTTACAATGAAAATGAAAATAATGATAAAGCATGCAGACATCATCCTGGAAAACCCATTTTTTCAGATCTCAAAAAAGGATGGACATGTTGTAATAAGATAGTCTACGATTGGGATGAATTCATGAAAATAGAGCCATGTGCAGTAGGCAAACATACAAATGTAGAAGTCACTGAAGGGGGTGAATTTTATTAGTCAAAGACTGTAGAGAATGCATAAAAAGGTATTAATGCAATTTCTAGAATATTAGGAATCGATAACTTTGCTAATAGTGCTCCTCAGCCTGTTAGAAAAATAGATGACTACAATAAAGAAGAAGCTGAAAAGAAGAAACTGCTAGAATAATAATAAGGTTTCACTTTCTAATTCTACTAATTTAGCTAAAGTATAAAAATAAATCTTTGTTACTCCTGCTGGAAAATATAAATGCACCAATAAGGGATGCTTGAAAGAATATGATCCTAATGAAAATACTGAATGCTTTTATCATCCAGGGGAACCTTGTTTCCACGATCTCAAGAAATTTTGGACTTGTTGCAAGGTAGTGTCTTTCATTTATTTCAAAGGTTGAAAAATATGATTGGGATGAATTTATGAAAATACCAACTTGTGCTAAAGGATCACATACACCTAAAGTAGTTTGAAAATCAATATTAAATTATCATCATACAATACAATTTTTAATTTTTACATCCATAATCTGGCTGTTATTAAATTAAATTAAAAAATGAGAACTAATCAGGGATCTAATAATGATCTTCTTAATAGAAACAATCAAGCAAGAAGAGACATAGATCAATTGATCAGTACCTCGCCTAATGGATGGAAAGATCCTACTGTCTAAAATACTTAAGGATATGTTTCGAGAGAAAAATATAATAAACTCAAAGATCTCAACTCTAAATTGAAAGTACAGCATCTACTAATTTGTAGTCTACATTAAAAGAGTATATTCAAGACACCAAGGACAAAGAAAGATTATTACAAATGAAAGAAGAACAATTAATTAAGTATGAGAAAGAAAGAGTCGACTCCTAAAGTAAAGGCAATGAAGAACTCAAAACATAGCTAAATGATTTAAAAATTAAATTGTAAAAGAAAAAGACTAAAATCAGGTTACTTAAGGAATAATCAAAGACCATTGATTCTCGATTCGTCGATAAGAAATCCAATTATTAAGTCGAATTGGATAGAGTGTAACGTATGTATGATTCCTAATAAAATGAAATGTAACTATTTTGATGATCATTTAGAAAAGAACAAGAAAAAAGGTATTTGATTTTAAAGGATGAAAATAATATATTAAAACAAGCTTTATAATCAAAAGAAGATTAAATAAGATATTATGAAATGGGTGCTCAAGAGGATAGATAACATTTGCAATTATTGGAATCAAAAATTAAAGAATTATAAGAAGAAAAGAAAATATTATAAATAGCTATTGACAATTAAACATCTAAAATTGATGAAACAGAAAAGTTCATTAAGTTAAATGATTCACGTCATTAATAAGAAATCATTAAAATTGAATCAGAGAAACAACAACTTCAGAATGAATATCTTTCATAAATTACTCAAAAAAAAGACAAAGGCAAATCTTTATAACATCAAATCTAATTATTGGAATAATAACTAGCTCAATAAAAAAAAGAAGAACTATAATTTAATAAAATAATTTAAGAATAAAAACAAGATTACTTAAAGTTGCAATCATAACTTGAAGATTAAAAATATAAGACTGACTAAGCCTTAAAAGAAACAAACTTTAAAGTTTAAGAAGCTAAGGAATTGAAATAGAAGTTCGAATCTCAAAAATCTATAGTCTAAACTTATGAGGATAAATTAGCTTAATATGATATCTAATATTAATTGGATTAAAATGAAAAATAATAGATGTTATTTGATATTGATCAAATTGATTAAGAAAATAAGAAGTTATAGCACCTACTCTATGAATCTGATAAAGATATTTCATACCTAAAATAATAACATGAAGATGTAATCAAATATAAATATCTCTAGGATTTACTATAAATAGAAAGAAAAATAGAATCTTTAATTCGTTAATTAAATGAGTCTAAAGAGGAGATACAAGAATAGAAAAAATTAATTTAAGAATTGAAAAAACAAGTAATATCTAGCGATGAATAAGCAAATGCTTTTAAAAACAAATATTTAAAGGTTAAATAAAACTAAAAAACATTATAATCAGAATAAAAATACGTAATCATAAATTTCATAATACTTTTAGTTAGAGGAGAAAGTCAAATTGATGGAAAATGAAAGAATTTTTGAAGAAAAAGAAGCCTTAAAAACAAAAGATTATGCCATATAATAGAGATCAGTCTAGTAAAGCAAAGTCAGAGTACTTGATGAAATCTAAAGCATGATCAAACAACATAAAAAAATTACAAGTTGATGAATCTAATATAATATACNGATTTAAAAATTAAATTGTAAAAGAAAAAGACTAAAATCAGGTTACTTAAGGAATAATCAAAGACCATTGATTCTCGATTCGTCGATAAGAAATCCAATTATTAAGTCGAATTGGATAGAGTGTAACGTATGTATGATTCCTAATAAAATGAAATGTAACTATTTTGATGATCATTTAGAAAAGAACAAGAAAAAAGGTATTTGATTTTAAAGGATGAAAATAATATATTAAAACAAGCTTTATAATCAAAAGAAGATTAAATAAGATATTATGAAATGGGTGCTCAAGAGGATAGATAACATTTGCAATTATTGGAATCAAAAATTAAAGAATTATAAGAAGAAAAGAAAATATTATAAATAGCTATTGACAATTAAACATCTAAAATTGATGAAACAGAAAAGTTCATTAAGTTAAATGATTCACGTCATTAATAAGAAATCATTAAAATTGAATCAGAGAAACAACAACTTCAGAATGAATATCTTTCATAAATTACTCAAAAAAAAGACAAAGGCAAATCTTTATAACATCAAATCTAATTATTGGAATAATAACTAGCTCAATAAAAAAAAGAAGAACTATAATTTAATAAAATAATTTAAGAATAAAAACAAGATTACTTAAAGTTGCAATCATAACTTGAAGATTAAAAATATAAGACTGACTAAGCCTTAAAAGAAACAAACTTTAAAGTTTAAGAAGCTAAGGAATTGAAATAGAAGTTCGAATCTCAAAAATCTATAGTCTAAACTTATGAGGATAAATTAGCTTAATATGATATCTAATATTAATTGGATTAAAATGAAAAATAATAGATGTTATTTGATATTGATCAAATTGATTAAGAAAATAAGAAGTTATAGCACCTACTCTATGAATCTGATAAAGATATTTCATACCTAAAATAATAACATGAAGATGTAATCAAATATAAATATCTCTAGGATTTACTATAAATAGAAAGAAAAATAGAATCTTTAATTCGTTAATTAAATGAGTCTAAAGAGGAGATACAAGAATAGAAAAAATTAATTTAAGAATTGAAAAAACAAGTAATATCTAGCGATGAATAAGCAAATGCTTTTAAAAACAAATATTTAAAGGTTAAATAAAACTAAAAAACATTATAATCAGAATAAAAATACGTAATCATAAATTTCATAATACTTTTAGTTAGAGGAGAAAGTCAAATTGATGGAAAATGAAAGAATTTTTGAAGAAAAAGAAGCCTTAAAAACAAAAGATTATGCCATATAATAGAGATCAGTCTAGTAAAGCAAAGTCAGAGTACTTGATGAAATCTAAAGCATGATCAAACAACATAAAAAAATTACAAGTTGATGAATCTAATATAATATACTTTATTAACAATATTATTAACACTTAAAATAATTCCTATGCACTCTTATGAATCTATTGCAAAGTAATTTAAATAAAATTTTAATTTGATAAATGACAAAATTTCTAAATAAATGTTTCGTTATAATAATAAAATATCTTTTTCAATAGAACACTGCTTGTATATCCCAATTATATGGTCTCTTAATGTAATTTGGACTTTCTAGATATTTCTTTATTTATGGGAATTCAGAAATTCTATTGTGAAATTCAACAAGCTTTGGCTTTGAAGTAATTACTTCTGGAGCCAATACGAGGAATTCATCGACATATTCCCATACTAAAAAGTCTACATAGGTAATTGTATCTCCAGTTAACCATGTTGAACTTTCTAATGTAGTATTGTAAATTTTAAAGAATTCACCAGTTTCTTTCAACATTGCCTCCTTTTTGGCTTCCGCTGTTTCTTTTCCTCCATAAACCCATTAAAAAAATGAGGCTCTGAAATCTCCTACAGATCCTCTAATTGTTGCTACCATTGTTTATTATTTGGCATCTTTTCCAAGTAATTCAGGCTTATTTACTTTATGGGCTAAGTAATAGTAGATGGCATCTGATTCAAAGACAGTCTATGATAAAATCATATGAATTACATGATCTCCATCTTTAAGATAGGGAAGATTTGTAAATGGACTATTGAATGTTTGATCATCCTTTCCAAACCATTCTTCTGGATTAGTGTATCTCTTATCTTCATAGGGAAGTTCTATGTATTCAAGGAAGAACCTTAATGGTTATGCTAATCCTCTAATCGACCAATACCCAAGAATGACTTTGTTTTCCATGTAATTATTTATATTTGATATTACATATTTTAGTAAAATAATGGGTCATTTAAATTTAATTATGGTAATTATATAAGATTCAAACATTCTTTTGAATTCTAATTAATTAATTTACCTTAAAACTTCATGAAGATTTATTGAATAATATCTTTTATAATATATAAATAATAACTTAATTATTTGTTATTAAAGCTGGAAATTATAATTGTTCAACATATTATAAATTGTTCGATTGTGTTTTAATAGAAATTAAAAGGTATTTTTAATTATTTACTTTATTCAAATGAAAGTCATTATATTTTAATGAAAATCATATTTTAATAAAGCATACCTGTTCTTTATAATTTTAATATCCATTCATTTTATTAGGTGATAATTATGACTTAAATTTTTGATTGTTGAATTTATGCAGAAATAATTAAGCAATATATGTTATATATGTCGTAGTAATTGCAAGAAAATATTAATTCAAAATTAACATAAGAGGACTGTTGATCTTGTTTATTTTGAAACACATATTTTTTTTGCTATACTTTTACTAAAACCTATATAAAGCACTAATACTTTGATAGTTTGATTATTAATTGATTTTAAGAATTAAGAAAATTTCAAAGCTAAAATATTATCCTAGTTCTATATATTACTTAAAATATTTATGTTTAAATCATAAATTATAAAATGAAGTATGTTAAAATGGCTGATATTTTTGGAGTATAATTGAAATAAGAAATACATTAAAATGAAAAGCTTTAAAAATCAGTTTTTGGAGGAGTGTTATCAATTATTGTAACTTCTGTTAGTCTTGGGTACTTTATTTATATAATGGATTAATGGAGGAATTCTAACATCCTACCAAAATCAACAAATATCATAAAGGCAGAAAACTATTCATCAATATAATTCAATAATGAGAACCTATTCGAATTCTGTTATTGGAAGTACTAAGAGGGTGTAATTGATCCGTTCAGAACTATTGATAATATTTTAATGCCAATAGGAATGTATATTATTAATGGCATTCCCTAAGAACCATTTTCTATGTTAAGTAATATAACTACTTTATCAGCATATAATAGTAAATTAATTTTTGTAGAGAACTTGAGTATTATATAAAATAGCGGATTCAACCCTTAATTAAACTAAACTAAAGAATTGCTCATTATTATTACAAAATGTAAATAATACCTACTCTCTGAAAATTAAACATGCGCTAGCGATATTGAAATCGAAAACTTTTTTATTTAATAAACTAATATGTTAAGCTTTTGGATTAATACTAAGTATTTTAATTCAAAAAGTTAGATCTTCGATGTAGTCAAAAAGTAATACTACATTTCATTTGAGAAAGAAAGAGCACAATAAATATAAATAATCTTAAAATAATAAAAAACAAGAATTGATTCAGGAATATTATTTGGAAATTATGAAGAAAATGATTTTGTATTTGATGCTCAATTTTTAATGACTACATTATCGATCGACTTTTTTAAGAGAATGATAAACATGGATGCATATTTAACATTTACTATACGATTAGACCCTTTCTCTTATGATACATAAGTTGTTTATCCTAAATTAGGCGAAATTTTAGCTTAAGTAGGATCAATTGTTAGTATGATAATGATAGTATAGTATGCAGCATATTTTTACAATGAATATCTTTTATAAAACACACTTGTAGAAGCTGTTTTAAAAAGTCTTGTTCTAAATTACGACTCTCTCAAAAATTCACAAGAAAAATCTAAAAAAATTACATATAATAATATACAAAAAATAGCAAAGTAAAAACTACTTTTTATAAACATAATAAATGAACTTTCGAGAATTGAATTATTTTTATTGAGTCTTTATGACAGTATCTAAATTAGTAAAATCTCATAGTTAAAATTTCAGATAGCTAATGAACCTAAGTCAGAATCATTTGAAGGAGTATTCTCTATGCTATCTAATAAAAGTTTAAATATAATAAATGAGGAAGAATTTAAAGATTTGTTCAATGCATTTATATTTAACCCATTAGAAGCAAAGAAAATCATGATTCTAGAAAATATTTAATGATAAATTATTTGATAATAAAACTATAAAGTTCTGTTTACATTAGAATATTTTGTGTAATATATTGAATCATTAATTGTAATTTTAATTTAGAATTATCGTATTCTAGAATATAAGTCGAAAATTAAAGGATAAGACACTTTATAATTAATGATCTCTATATATATAATTCAACTCAAAAAAATACGGCATAAGGAGGGGAGTTGAATGGTCTCTTAATGTAATTTGGACTTTCTAGATATTTCTTTATTTATGGGAATTCAGAAATTCTATTGTGAAATTCAACAAGCTTTGGCTTTGAAGTAATCACTTCAGGAGCCAATACGAGGAATTCATCGACGTATTCCCATAATACAAAGTCAACATAGGTAACTGTATCTCCAGTTAACCATGTTGACCTTTCTAATGTAATATTGAAGGCTCTAAAGTATTCTTCAGCTTCCTTCAACATGTCTTCCTTTTTGGCTTCTGCTGTTTCCTTATTACCATAGGTCCAAGTAAGGAATGAAGCCTTTAAATCTGCTATGACTCCTCTAATAGTTGCTACCATTGTTTATTATTTGGCATCTTTTCCAAGTAATTCAGGCTTATTAGCTTTATGGGCTAAATAATAATAGATGGCATCTGATTCAAAGACAGTCTATGATAAATAATATGAATTACGTGATCTCCATCTTTCAGATAGGGTAGATTTGTAAATGGATTATTGAATGATTGATCGTCTTTTCCAAACCATTCTTATGGATCAGTATATCTCTTATCTTCATAGGGAAGCTCTATGTATTCAAGGAAAAACCTTAGTGGTTAAGCTAAACCTCTAATAGCCCAATATCCAAGAATGACTTTGTTTTCCATTTANTATACGATTAGACCCTTTCTCTTATGATACATAAGTTGTTTATCCTAAATTAGGCGAAATTTTAGCTTAAGTAGGATCAATTGTTAGTATGATAATGATAGTATAGTATGCAGCATATTTTTACAATGAATATCTTTTATAAAACACACTTGTAGAAGCTGTTTTAAAAAGTCTTGTTCTAAATTACGACTCTCTCAAAAATTCACAAGAAAAATCTAAAAAAATTACATATAATAATATACAAAAAATAGCAAAGTAAAAACTACTTTTTATAAACATAATAAATGAACTTTCGAGAATTGAATTATTTTTATTGAGTCTTTATGACAGTATCTAAATTAGTAAAATCTCATAGTTAAAATTTCAGATAGCTAATGAACCTAAGTCAGAATCATTTGAAGGAGTATTCTCTATGCTATCTAATAAAAGTTTAAATATAATAAATGAGGAAGAATTTAAAGATTTGTTCAATGCATTTATATTTAACCCATTAGAAGCAAAGAAAATCATGATTCTAGAAAATATTTAATGATAAATTATTTGATAATAAAACTATAAAGTTCTGTTTACATTAGAATATTTTGTGTAATATATTGAATCATTAATTGTAATTTTAATTTAGAATTATCGTATTCTAGAATATAAGTCGAAAATTAAAGGATAAGACACTTTATAATTAATGATCTCTATATATATAATTCAACTCAAAAAAATACGGCATAAGGAGGGGAGTTGAATGGTCTCTTAATGTAATTTGGACTTTCTAGATATTTCTTTATTTATGGGAATTCAGAAATTCTATTGTGAAATTCAACAAGCTTTGGCTTTGAAGTAATCACTTCAGGAGCCAATACGAGGAATTCATCGACGTATTCCCATAATACAAAGTCAACATAGGTAACTGTATCTCCAGTTAACCATGTTGACCTTTCTAATGTAATATTGAAGGCTCTAAAGTATTCTTCAGCTTCCTTCAACATGTCTTCCTTTTTGGCTTCTGCTGTTTCCTTATTACCATAGGTCCAAGTAAGGAATGAAGCCTTTAAATCTGCTATGACTCCTCTAATAGTTGCTACCATTGTTTATTATTTGGCATCTTTTCCAAGTAATTCAGGCTTATTAGCTTTATGGGCTAAATAATAATAGATGGCATCTGATTCAAAGACAGTCTATGATAAATAATATGAATTACGTGATCTCCATCTTTCAGATAGGGTAGATTTGTAAATGGATTATTGAATGATTGATCGTCTTTTCCAAACCATTCTTATGGATCAGTATATCTCTTATCTTCATAGGGAAGCTCTATGTATTCAAGGAAAAACCTTAGTGGTTAAGCTAAACCTCTAATAGCCCAATATCCAAGAATGACTTTGTTTTCCATTTATTTTTAATTGAACAATTGTATGGATATTCAGCCACTATATAAAACTAGAATTAATACGCAATTCTGATTAATTCAGCCAAATTATAGAATCTGGATATTTTATTTTATAGTTTGATGAATAAAAAGTAGATTTTTTAAAGTTTTATAACAAACAGAATTATGAATTTATGGTATTATTTTGATCTTTAAATTATGCTTTCTAGGCTTTTTGTCTTATGATCAAACGTAAAATTAATTCACTTTAGTGTCTCAAATACTAAAGAAGTTATAATATAAATTTTATAAATTCTTGATATATATTTATTAATAAAATGAATAAATAATTCAATAAAACTTCCCCTCCTGAAATATTTCTTACTATCTAAACAAAATAAGTATAGCAAGAAGATTCTTTAGATTAAATTAAATAAATTAGATCAGTCAGTTTAGAAAAGGAACTGGCTTAATTGAATGATGAATAAGAAACTTATGATATGATAAATGAAATTGAATATAAAATGCTTAATTTTAGATCAGATTTAAGAAGAGAGAGAGCAGAAATAGAATCGACAAAATCATAATAGAAATTGTTAGAGATAGTTGCTCAATCTAAAATTAAGCAATTAGAGACATCATTGAAATTCACTGTTGAAGCTTTAGAAAATAAGTTTATTAGAGAACAAGGCACAACTAATGGCTATGTGGAATACATTTAATAATCAATAAGTCAATAAAAAAAAGAGGATGCATCAATTAATCATTACATAAAATTACTTGAGAAAAGAGTGGCAGCCTTAGAATTCGAGTTGGGAATCGAAAATGTAAATAATTAGTCAGGATAATGAGAATCGTTGACAATAACGCATTCCTACTTGATTGAATTGTTGATATATATATTGATAAAATAAAATGTAAATCGAGTTTGATTGATACTTGTCTTTGTTAATTAATTTGGATGAAGAAACTACTACAGTCTAATTAAGAAACATTTTTTATCATTCAAATATTCTTACTTAAACTATTTTAGATAAATAAAGATTTCTAAAATCTGCATGATAAGGTCATTGTGATGCAATAAAGAATTTACATTTATGAAAACCATTTTAAATCATGGGAAAAACTGTTTCAGCTTCTTTAATGAAAAATCATAGAACTGAGAGTTCTGTAAAATTAAAAACTTTAATATTTAAAAAGGCTTGAAATAAAGGAGATTAAATAATTGAATAAATAATAAATTTAGGCTCTTTAAACACTTGAGTTGTTAATTTATAGGGATTGAATAATTAGGGCAAAATTAATTAGTTTTATTTTTCAATCGAAAGGCATAATTCATAGATTTGAAATAAACATAGTTAAAATGATTAAGCAAATCAGAAAATTTAAATTGATATAAAAAATAGCTAGAAATTGAACCTGAAAACATAAAATATATAAAATAATTCTCGAGCTACGAATATATTATAGAAAGTCTTAGAATAAAATAAAATAAATAATCACTTTTTCGACATTTTTGCTTAAAAAGGGAGACACTTTAAAAATAGGTGAAGAACCTTCAGATAATCTGTCTGAAAATGATTAAAAATGATTGGTAAAATTTATAAAATTTCCTAAAACTCAAATTTCTTATATCCCTAATATAAATGTCTTCAACTAATTAATTGCCTATGATTGGTACTTAAATTATGGGTTAAATCCCAGGATAAATGGTCGGCCCTATGCAAACATAAACGATGAGTTAAATTTCCCAGGAAATAAATGGACAAATTCCAAAATATGATATAGTATTAAAATCCTAATACTCGAAATAATTAACAGTTGATATAACTAAAGGTTGAAGAGAGTTATATGAATTAGATATAATTGTAATAAATCTCTACTACTTTGATGGGCTAATAAATATTCTCTTCATGTATCAGATTAAAACTAGTTATTAGGTATCATCCTTAACTAGTTTATCTGTAATAACAGTTGCAATAGATGACTTCGTAATGTTCTCAAGCGATTTCATAGAATGCAATAGGATACTTTTAATAGACATCCTAATAATAGTTGAAGCAAAAGAATAATCAATCATTTTTCCTTGATACAACAATTTGGTGATCAATACTTTCAGTTGATTAAAATGAACTAAGGATTTAGTAGATGTAACCAAATATTTCTCAAGTTAAGCAAAAATAGAAGATTACAAATAAAAATAATAAATGACTTATAACTTTGTGCTTATTCTTATAATATTCATCACTTTCTATATTGATTAGCTTGATATTCTGGATAATATATTTTTTTATCTTTAAAATTAATTAAATATTAGTGATATTATAATTTGCAAATTGAATATAATTTTACTTAAACATTTATAATAAGATTACTTTAACATATCACCAAATCTTGTTATTTATAATTAGTCTTTGTCGAAGACATTATTAAGGTATTTTAATAATTTGTAATTTTTTTTAACTGAGATTGAAATGTCATGAGAATAATCCAGCTTCATAATCCTATCAATTTCTTGACAAATTAGCGGAGGGGTATATGATATCATTTTGAAATTATAAGTTCCTTTGGATTTATATGGAAAGTCAAGCATATTTAGACTGGGCGCTTTTAGGCTTGTAAATTAGTCAAAAATTTGATGAAGAAAGAAGAAATAAATTAAAGTAGGCTTTACTCAATTGATCACATCAGGTTAGGATCATATGAATACCTACTTTATAATGGATTTACTAGGAGACAATTTAGAATAAGTGAGAACAAAATTTGGGAATTTTAATACTGCTGCTATATTAGAAACAGGTTAATAAATGATTCTGCTTCTTAAAGAGCTGCATAATGCTTAAATTATCCATAGAGATATAAAGCCTGAGAATTTTGTAGTTCATCATGAGAAACTATATCTAATAGATTTTGGACTATCAAAACTAGTTATTTAGGATGGAATACATTTAGAATTTAGAGAAAACAAAGGTATGATAGGAACAGCTCGTTATGCTTCAATAAACGCATTGAAGGGATACGAATAATCAAGGAGAGATGATCTTGAATCTGTTGGTTATTTGCTAATATATTTTATACATGGGAACTCTACCATCGAATAATGTTAAAGGCGATGATAAGCAGAATAAATATTATAAGATTTAAAGGATGAAAGAGGTATTTAAACCAGAAATTTGCATAAATTTGCCTCTTGAACTCATAAAGTACATAAAATATGTTTAACGTTTAAAGTTTGACTAAAAACCTAATTATGAATACATGGAAAAGTTGTTTAAAATAGAGGTGGATATAGCTAAAAGTCCTAAACTATAAATTTAATAAAACCAGTTTAAAGTTATACCAAATTTATTGAATTTAAAAGGAATAGTGAGGGAGTAAGGTTTGACAACTAGAAAATCATTGCATCAATAAGATAACACAAGTCGAAGGATTTCATTAGAAGATCTAAGTTCGACAGGTGCTGACATAATGTAAGAGTTGGACAAAGATGAAGGTATACAATTATAAAATCTATCAGTTGGCATCAAACAGCCACAAATACTAAATAGTATAAATAAACTGAGAACAGAATCAGCTTAGATTTTTGAATTTAAGGCTAAGCTAATAACGAATTAATTACCTATTTCCTTAAAATAATCATCATGATATCTTTAATAATTTATATAATAATTATACTACGAAAATCTGCATAAATTTTAATGAATTCAAGTATCATCAATATTGGAGTCTATTAAATACTTCTTAATCGTGTGATTGGATAAGGATGGCATTCAACAACATATTAATGTATAAATATCCAATAAATGTAATAATAATTGGTGGCCAAAATCTATTAAAATTAGACAGTTCCCAATGAAGCAGAAATTATCAAACTAAAAAAGCTATATCATGCTAACGTTGTTTAAATTTATGAAGTATATTAAAATGAAAAGGACGTTATTATTATTATGGAGAAATGTCACTCATCTTTAAGGAATGAAATGAGATTTTAGAAGGAATATGATGAGATAGAGTTATTGGCTATTTTAAGTTAAATTTTGAAAGGCTATAATTATATTTTGGATCAAGGTTTAGAAATAAATGAATTGAAACCAACTAATATTATGATAGATGATAATGAAATCATTAAAGTAGGGTTTATTCTATTTTAAAAAGATCTCGAATTATGGTATGAGTTACCTCTATAACCATTCTGATGTAGAAGTTAGACCTTATGCGGCCCCAGAAATCTTCTTTAGCAATAAGTAGACTGATGCCAAAAACATATATTCGGTATTAAGCTTTAAGATATTTTAGCTAGGTTTGATTATTTATTAACTTGTATTTCACCAATTACCATTCTCTTTAAAGTAGAATGGTGATGTAATAGTATTTCTATAGAGAATTAAAAAATCTAAGCTCTCAATTCCTAAAAATGTAAAATTGATTCTATATTAGAAATTCTAAAAGATAACTGAGATTATTTCCCAAATGATAATTTATGATTATTAAGAAAGGATTGGTCGAGAGAAATTGGGAGAATTATTACTTTAGAATTTCAAGAGAGGAAGTAGAAGAATAGCTAGTATCTAGCCAATTGCTGCAAAAGCTGATGATTATTTATACTTCTGATTTTTTTGAAATTATTTATTAATTTATTTATTCAATAAATGGATAGACATCTACGTAAAATAGGCAATTATACCTTCGATGCTTAGAAGGATATTATAGTAGAGGGTAGGAGAGGACCAATAATCAAATGTAAAGACAACTAGGATTAAGTCTATTGTCTAAAATAAATTAGAAAATTTGGGGATAATTATAGAAATGAAATAGAGGCTTTTAAAAGACTCAAATTAGAAAAATAAAAACATATTAATACTTTAAGGGTTTACGACTTTTGGGAGGATGATAGCAATTTTAATATCATCACAGAGCTATGCGAATTTACCTTTGAACAATACTTGATTTAAAGATGGAAAACCATGTCGTTGAATTCCGATGAAATTCATGATTTTCTAGGTCAAATTGTAAGAGGCTATTAATATTTGAGAAGGCTGAAAATTAATGTGAGAGATTTTACTCCTAAAACTATACTTGTCTAGAGGTTAATAAATGATAGAATGATTTTAAAAGTAAAGTTTTAATTTGATTTAGATATCTGATTATTGTATAAACGAAAATGGAAGAATAGATCCTCGAACTCGAACTCCATATTACTAATCCCCAGAATTGTTTAATCCTAAATCTATGAAAATAAAACAATCTGATCTTTGTGACATTTATGCTGTAAGCCTTTTTTAATATTATTCAAATAGCTTGGATTGATTCACTACATGATGTGCTTCAAAGGAGATAATATAGTAAATGTTGAAGACTTCTCTAAATTACAAAAATTTCACGAAGACCTACAAGTTATGAATGCTTTTTAATGTCCAAGGAATTCTTTTATTCCAGTAGAATTACTCTCTTTAATATCGAAAATCGTTGTCTACAATCCAGAGGATAGAATAAATTGGGACGATTTGGAGTAAAGGTTGCCTTCTCATTTTTTGATCTTAAAAGATTAATATTTTGTCAATCTTAAATCGATTCTTGGATCAGGAGCTTAAGGGTCTACATACAATACATAAGATTTAAAAAATAATTAATAATTAGTTTGCAAAGTAATTCCAAACACGAAAGAAGGAACCTCGAGAGAAAAATAAATTTTTGATTAAATTAAAGGTAAAGATAATGAAAATGTGATAAAAATTGTCGATATAATAATTAACACTCAAGATACTTACCTAATTATGGAGAAATGTGACTAAAGTCTGCAAAGTTATTTGAAAGAAAAATTTGATTCTAAACAATAATTATCTGAAAACGAAATCATTGAGATTCTTTTTTAAATTGTTTAAGGCTATTGTTTTCTGAAATAACTTGGAGTAATTCACAGAGATCTTAAACCAGATAATATTCTATTAAAGAAAAATTAATAAGGGAAAAATGTCATTAAAGTATGTTTATTATACTAAATTAGATTATCGACTTCGGAGTTGGCAAAATTATAGGCAAAGACGTTACTTTTACTGAGGCAGGCACACCATTATTTGCCGCTCCTGAAGTTTTGTTGCATGGAGTAGCTTACGATTATTAATGTGATATTTTTTCAGTATTATTTTACATATAAACTTTAGTTAGGAGTGATATTACATTATTTGGCATTTCAAAAAATGTTTAAGGAGATAAATAGTAGAAGAGAACTAATAGAATTTCATCAATCTATAAAAAATAGACCTTTTGAGTGCCAAAAGCATAATGTAAATTATTTAGATAGAGCTTTAGAATCCATTATTCACAGAGCTGATTAAAAAAATGATTGTCTATGATCCATCTAAAAGAATTACTTGGGAATAATTATAAGTTCATTCTATTTTTGATGAAGTAAGAAAGCCTTAAACAAATATATAGCCTTAATAAATTTAAATTCATACTTTACCCTAATAACCAAATCCTTTACCCTAATAACCATATCCTTTACCCTAATAACCAAATCCTTTACCCTAACCGAATACTAATAGCTTCATAGAGATTTATAAATACATTTTTGCTTTATATAATTTGGCTAATAAGATAGTATAATTATTTGAAGAAATTGAAAAAGAAATAATGCTCCAAGAATAGTTTTATATTTTGAAATAATTCATAATCAGATTCTAATTATCTTGCTTGATATGCATAAACCAACTTTAGAAACAACAATAAATTATTTTAGATGGAAGGGTATATTAAGTAAAATCCTAAAGAGATTTTTCCGAATGGCTTCAATAGATTAATTGTTAATAATTGTATGACTAAAGCCTTAAAAACTATAATTCTATGAGGAACATATAGGCACCTTAAAATTCCTAAATCATAACTAAGGGGTTGGAACTATTAAACGAGCTTAAAAATCATTTCTAAAATTAGGATATCACCTTTTTACTTACTCATAGTTACTTCAAAAAATTTTTCCAGTTAGTCAAGCTTTAAATTTTAATATCGAATCAATCATTAAAGCTGAAATACTTCTTGCTAAAATTTTAGAATGTCTTTTAAGAATACCCTGTGCAAGATTATGTAGCTTTTTCAGAAATAAAATTGACATTAAAGATACTTGAAACAAATTCTATGTAAAATTATATTGAAGGTGAACTAAAATAGAATCAATGATTCATATTTTCATAATATATAGTCAGTTTCCAATTATTTATAATTAATTAATTATTTAATTGTTATGCAAAGGAGTCCATCATCATAATTGTCAATTAATTAACTAACAAATTCTTTATTAGAATGCATTTTAAAGGAATAACATGGAAGCATTAAATTTGATATAATAAAAAAATTTTAAGAAAACATCAATAATAGCGAAATTCATTAAATTATTTTTTAGCTCTGGTAATTTTTATTCTAAGATTATAGTTATATTTTCTATGTAACAGGTAACAATTATCTCGAGGAATTTTTGAAAAAGTATGGCTTGATGAATTCTTCAAATTATTATAGATTAGAATGGACTTTAAAAGCATTGAGTGAAGATTCCAAATGTTTTCCCATTCCTGAATATTTCGCTAAATTCTTAACAGTAATCTATGTAATAATTTTAGCTTATGAAACATGAATATGTAAACAAGGGATTAACTAATACTAACAGCAGAGAAGATTATTTTTAGGATAGTAATTGATTTATTTTACGCATATAGTGTATTTGATCAAAGAAGCCAGAGCAAATTATCAAGACAGATAAGATTAATTAATTTTTAATTTAATCGAATAGAGTCTGAGACTGAAAAGCATTGAAATTGAGGAAAGAAAAGAGTAGATGATAGCTTTTTTAAAAAAGATTAATCAAAATATAAATTATTTGTGGCAAATAACTTCATAAGGTGGCATAACAATACCATTTAATCATGGATAAATAGATTCTTATTTAGTAGTCCATATTCTTGATGATGAATTTACTTGTTTCAATACTGCAAAGAGAGTTCCTTACAAAATAATCGTAGAAACTATTGAGTATTTATAAATGAATAAACCTAGTCCATCTGAATTAGAACTCATGAAGAAGGCTGTAGAAATCTATCAAAGTAGTAGTGATATTTAAGAATTAAATCCCTTTTATGATATTGAGAAGGAAATGAAAAGCATAGCATAATTGAAGATACTCTAGCAATATGACATTGATGAATTAAAAAAGTAATGTATCAGGATATAAGAGATTGGCATTAAAAAAAGTAGAATTTCATTTAAATCCTGAGAACTAGAAAGTAAGGAGGAAGCCAAGAGACAAAGACATTTATGCATCTTCAACTAACTGTTCTTCAATTTGGGGTGAAGATTGGAACAAAACTTAGTCTAGAATTCGTAAGTCATCTTAATTTGGACACCTTAAAACCTATTAAATACGACAGATAATAGTTAAAGGAGGTGATGATTTAAGAAATGAATTATTAATCATGCAGATGATAAAGAAGATAAAGGAGATATTTGAGAAACACAAACTAGACATCTTTTTGAGACCTTATGACATTATTTTAACTTCACCAAACAGTGGAATATTAGAGTTCATTCCTAATACTGTTTCAATAGATAAAATTAAGAGAGACTATTAAGGTTACACCTTGAAACAGCTTTATGAGAATTTCTTTGATTCCTTTAGTGAGGCTTAGACTAACTTCTTATAAAGTCTGGCAGGTTATTCATTAATATGCTACCTCTTCCAATTGAAGGATAGACACAATGGAAATATATTGATAGATAATTAAGGACACATCATTCATATTGACTTTGGGTTCGTATTAACTCTAACTCCAGGTAATTTGGGATTTGAAACTGCACCTTTTAAGCTAATTGAAGAATATGAAGAACTTCTAGACGGGAAAGGCAGCTATTTCCATAATTACTTCTAAACCTTAATATTTAAAGGTATGATATTATTAAATCTTGAGGTCTGATGGCATTGTAATAAGAAATTGATGAAATTATGAACTTCATTAAGATTATGAACTTCAGTCCAAAACATAATCTATTGGTGAGTTTAGAGAAATTTAAAATTGAAGACTTTCGCAAGAGGTTTATGGAGAAGTGCTCTCCAGATTAATTATATGAGAATGTACAAAATATTGTAAAAGAATCCAGTAACTCATGGACCACCACTCTGTATGATTATTTTTAGTTTAAGACCAACTCTATATATTATTGATACTAATTATTAAAATATGAAATAACCTGAATATAAATGTACAGAAAAGCTATGGAAGCCGATAGTTAGACCGCCAAGACACAATTACCGTTTAAAAGATATGGGGAATGAAATATTTATGGTTCAGGACACTGTGGTTAAACGAATAGACTTTGAAATTGTCAACAGTCGCGGACTAACTCTTCAGTGCAGGTAACTTCAATGACATTGCTTAGTTTATTTGAGCCTGTAAGAATGTAAGACAAGCCCCATCCCTGCATGATTTATTTACATGGGAACTCCAGCAGTAGAGTGGAGTCTCTAACAATACTTGAATATTTACTTCCTTAGAACATTTCAGTTTGCGGAATTGATTTGTCAGGTAATCAAATATTAGATCTTAGGTTCTGGCTAATCCTAAGGAGAGTACATTTCATTAGGATTCTATGAATCAAGAGATGTAAATGATCTCTATAATTATTTACGTTCAAATAAAGTAAGTTAACTTCATTATTAAAAGTTGCTTAGCCATTTATCACTTAAATCGGTTTGTGGGGTAGATCCATGGGTTCGGTCACAGCCATCATAGCAGCTAGTTTGAATTCTAACTTCAAAATGCTTGTTTGTGATAGTCCCTTTTCAAATTTAACTCATTTATGTTAGGAATTGGCTTCTAATACTTATAGCATTCCAGGATGCTGCTTCAATTGCTTTTGGTGTTTTGTCAAATCTAAAATAAGAAAGGAAGCCAAATTTAATATTGATGATTTGAATATCATTCAAATAATACAAAGTTTTAAAATAGAATTATTTTATAGCTTTATCAACTGATGTTGCTATTGTCTTTCTATCAGCTAAAGGTGATACCCTCATTAGAGAAAAACACCCTAAACTTTTATCAGAAAGGTTTCGAGGAATTAAGGAATTAATTTAGTTTGAAGGTACCCACAATTCCAAAAGGCCAGTCGAAGTTATGAAAGGCACAGTCTAATTCATAGTTGCTTAAATGGAAAAACATGATTAACACACTTGTTTAAAAGATACCAAGATTTCATTAAATGGTAAGGATTAGATTCCAATTACTGATGTTGGAGTTCCTCTATTATATTCTGAAAGACCATACATATCTAAAACAGAAAAATGATGTTAAAGTGAATTCTACAATTATAATTAACATCTAAATATACAAATTCTTTAGATTTTACCTTATATAAAAAAGTTGATGGAGAATTGGAATCAAATTTAGGTTCTCAAATCTTTAAATTAATTAATATAATAAATTTGTATTTTACTTAAAAGACACTGTGAGAATAAGATATTCTAATCATCTTGGTTTGTAGAAATACTAATCTATTTAACTTAATTATGTTAATAATTTCAAACAAAATTTATATGTATGTTATAGCAATCATAATAGAGTTTTGTTAAGTTATTGATTTAAAGTTAATTGCTGCATTTTAAAACCTTATTTTACCAAGTTTTAATAACTTCATCAAAAACTATTTTTCTAATTACTTTAATTTTTGATTCGATTAAGATCCTCATAAAGAATAGCTAAATTTTAGATATTTGATTCAGACTTCAACTAGTAAGAATGTATCGTTTTTAATAAATATATCCATCTATTAAGTAGAAAAATTTAATTTGTTCCTTATTCCTTTTTCTTATAAAAGACTTATATAAGAATTAACTTATAACTCTCTATTTTATATGGGCTGTTATAAAGAAACACAAAAAAAGAGAACTAATAAAATAACAGAAAGAAATAAAGTAATTCAAACTAAAAGGATAATAAACCATAAAATTTTGTGATTCGAAAAATTTAATAAATTCATTAGTGAGATAATAATAACCTAGAAGGGCTAGATCAGCCCAAATCATAAACCTTTTACAAGTTTTTAATAATTTATTAGTTGTTGAAATCGTTCGTTTCATTGCTAGTTAAACTTCCTATAAATGGTTTATTAAATGAAACATACTGAACCTTCTTCTATTTTGGAGATTATTAAGTGCTTCTAAAAGTTCTGCTTTATAATTTTTTCCTTTCAAGCGATTAAAAAAATTAATATTCCTCTCTTTTTAGTCCATTAAATCTTATTTATCCATTCAATTTCCTATTATCTACAACACTTTTGATATTCAATCTCTATATTTCATTGGTTTTTTCGTCACTCGAATTTGGATCAAAAAATATCTCATTAAGTTCTTATTGATGCACATGAAAATCCTTAAATTTCTTAAAATAAAATTATGCTCTATTGTGTTTTTAGGGGAAATATTTTTATTCTATTTCAAGACTTCTTTTTAGCTATTTCTGATAGAAATGCTTGCTTTTTGAGATAGTGTCTTTAAAAGCATTCATAATATCTTAATTTTCTTTTACTAACTCAGCCACTTATTACCAATGTTCTTACTCTAAAAGTTCTAAATTCTTTTTAATTTTTTGAATTCTTTCTGATTTCTTCTTACTATCCTCAAACAATCTACTAAAAACACCTTTTTATTAGTGTTTAGATGCTTAGAGAGTCTAAGTTTAAGCTATTCTCTCAAAAGATTATTATTGATGCAAAATAATCAATTAATTAGCTTAGCCTAATGTATAACCATTATTTTTTTCATTGTATACTTTTATATCATCTTGATAATTTGGATTTGAATCTTTGAATTCATTAGCTTAGCCATATCTTCTTTTAAGATTTCCACTTTTTTAAGATGAGTAGACATCAAAGGATTAATTTTATTAATTGCCTAATTTATATTGTTGCTATAGAGCTCCCTCTCCTTCCATTTCATCTATAACTTATGACAAATTCTTGATTTATTATTTTAACTCAGCATTTTGCTTTATTAATTCTTCAACATCTATTAAATCAGTTTAGCATTCTACATCATGACTTTCCTTTTTGATACATCGCAAATCTTCATGAGTATTTTCTTTATTGCTTTACGTCTCATGTATTTCAATCGCTTCTGCCAAACTTTTACTTACATTAGCAATCATAGTTTAGGTTGCTTTGTTTTCATAGGAAGTACTTAAAAAGTCTAATGCCAAATTATTCTTTTGATATTACTCGTTCACTTCCTAGATAAATTTTAAGCCATTATGTTATTGTCTTAGTTGTTTAAGTTTATCTTTAAAACTAATAGTAGTTTCTCTGTTATTGTCATCTAGATTGAGTAATTCTGGATTGATCTTAGAATCTATGTGTTTAATTGTTTATTGCAAACATTTCTAATGATTTTTGATTTTGGCTTTAAGATCTTGAATGATAACTTTCATTTAAGAATTTTCGCTCTTAAATTCGTCATTTGATAATTACATCTGTTCTAATTTATTATTCAATTCAACGATCTCTTCCTACCTTGTTTTAATAGCGATGATACTTTTGAGATAATTATTTTCAACCTCCAAGAATTGTTATGATGTCAATTTTTCGTAATCATTCTAACTAATTTATTAACTTTTTGCTTTACTATGCATATAATATCAACTCTTTTATATCTCTGCCTTTCTTAATTTGACTCACAATATACCACAACCTTGTAGCATACTTGAGTTGAATTTTCTGTAATTACTACAATTCTTTAGATTTTACCTCCATGTATTCCAATTGATGTTATTTCACTATTTAATTTAAAGATCAAAATACATTATTTTTTAAATTATTCAAATGATTGCATAATTTATTGATTCACTCTGCCTTCAAATTAATTAAATCTTTCAGCCTCTTTTTTCAATTCCTCAATTTCATCCAATAGATCCTAGTTTTAGAGATTAATTATTCCACAGGCTCTCTCCAAATAGATATACATTTGATCTTCAATTCCCTTTTTAAAGTATTCTAATTCTCTATCGTAAGCTTTCGTTACCATCAATAGTTTATTCACTTCTCTATATCGGATTCCTGATGCTGGCTTTTATTTTTCAAAGACATCATGAAAGAAATCATTTCCTTTGATGTCCTGAATGTATCTCCATATCTTATAAGGATCTTATTCCAATGCAAATACACGATTCATCAAATACTCTACATTCTCCATCAGTTTCATCTTTTGTTCAAAGTTACCCACTGTCTGCCTCAGATTCTAAACCTCATTCTTTTATTTTTAAACGAATAAATATCTAACAATTAGATGTTCTATACATTTCCCTTGTCTTGGTTTCATATTGACTCTTTAGATTGGCTATCTTGTTATTCACCAAATCTCTGTAGCGAGGATCCTCAATGTCTGTGACATCAAAGTAAGAAACCTCGTAGTAATCGAAGTCATCTGACTTTTTATACATTTGTTCTCTCATATTTTATAAGTCTTTAAGATAACCACTGGCTAAATCCAAGAGTTTCTGCTCTTTTAACTATAGTCTGGCCTTGAGAGTCGCAATTTCGTAATCCTTCTATTGCAACACTACTTTGTGCTTATCCAAATCTGCATCGTTGGAATAATCTTGGATATTTTACTAAAATGATATTTGTTGAACTAAACGTGTCTCTTCTTCATCTGAATTCATGAACCCTTCTTATTCACGATCTCCATGTTCTTATCGCTGCTTTAGAAGTTTGCTTACAATCTCTTATTATTTAACTGATATACTTGGCAAACTGTCGATTCTTTATTGTTCTGATAGTGTTTTCGTAATTGCTGAACATATTGGATTAATATGGTTTTATATTCAACAGGCGTTAGAGTGCAAGGACAGCAATTACCTAAAAAAACAAACTCAAGTATGGACAACGCAAACTATTGAGTGTGTGATTGTAAGATTTAACTGTTAACTTGATCAATATTCTAAATTATTTCTTTAATGGGTTTAAGAAGATTATCCACTTATAATTTAATTTCCATTATTATAATATTAATGAAAATAGAAATAATATATATCACCAGTATCAAACTATGCTTCCGACACTCCTTCTTTTATTACGTAATTCGTTGATTTGCTATATTTCCTTCTTGGCAGTATCCAGTTCAACATTTGTTAAAACTAATTGTTCTGAACTTTTATTATAAGTTTTATTTAATTATAAAAATTTGCTTCTCCATAATTAAGATTCATTTTAGTATAGTGAAACTTACTTTTACTGATTGATCAATTAAAGTTCCAATTTGGTAATTTGTTTGTTTAGATTACGAATTTCAATATTTAATTGTTCGATTTTGGTTGACTATTCGATTTGTGTTAATTTGAATTTATTTCTCATTTCATCATATTCTTTGATAATAATGTTTTTTTATTCCAAAATGTTATTGAGACTTCGAATTTGTTAATTTGATTCTTCGCTTTCAGATTGAAGTTTGGAATTGAATAAATCTAATTAAATGTAAATATTTACCTGTGCTATTTGTTAATTACAAATCCTAAGGCCTATGGTTTTGTTCTAGATAGGAGATCTTCATCTATAAAAATTGGACCTGATATTCATAATTTTTGTTCAGCGCTTAGACATCCAAAAGTTGCTCTTGTAGATCTTTCAGTTGATTGATGTATTCATTCTCTTTCTCGAAGTTTTTAACTCTCATCTCTTCCATTTGATCAAACAACTACTGATTGTCCTTTCTTAAATCACTCACCAATTATTCTAAATAAAACACTTTTAGTACATCCACCTGAGAACTCCTACTATCCAATCTATTTGGATAGGATTCTGGACTCTGATTTAAGATTAATATTTACTTGATAGGGTTTAGAGACAAAGAAAAAAGGTTATGATTTGATGTGCATGACTGACTAAAATATATATATATATAAATAAAAATTTATCATTTCTCTTGAAATGCAACTGTTCAAATCAATTAGATACATAGATGACAATGAATATCATTCATTATTATTGTTTTATAATTATTGTTGTTATTCAATCATTATTTGATACCTGCCCTGTCAAAACTTTATTTGACTTATTGAATAAGTGATAGATCATTGTCATATTATTAGACTAATTTAGAGTTCAAATTAGCTCTAACGATCCAAGCATCCTAAGTGGCTTTCAAGTTATCTTGAGCATCTTACAAATTGGATTTGGCATCATTAAGTAAATTTGACTTGGCCTTGATTTCAGCTACATTATTGGATATTCAAACACATACCATCCTTGATTTCAATGTTCTCTCTCAAATCTGGTAAGACAACTGTGGATAACACATTTAATTTGTCATCGTAGGTAGTCAACAATTCCTTATTCAATGCTTCCAATCCTTAAGATGACACTACCAATTGTAATCTGCTTTCCAGGAGTGAAGTTCTCAATTAGTTGAGAAGATTAGTGACTTTGCTGATCAATTCTTGATTTGCGAAACTATAAAGTAATCTAGTATTGTGTTTTACTTAGATTAGGCAATATCAGCAAGAGCAACAATCAAGGGTTGGAAGAACACCTTTTGTTGACTTAAATGAGTCTTCAATTTGTCATTGACTTATGCCAAACTATCAGCATTCTTCAAGGAGGTCAACAAGTTAAGAGCTTCATCGATTGCAGCAGCAGAATCATCAAACTCTTGTAATTGGGCAGCAGTATTAGCAGCATCAGTCTTTATCTATTGATCCAATTGATTTCTCAAGAGAGTAACATCCTATTGTTCCTTGATTGAATCATTCAATAAGGATTGTAATGAGTTCCTAGCTTCTGTAAGATCAGCCAAATCAACTTCATGTTGAGCCACTTCCACTTGATATTGAGTGATTTGATTTTCATAAAACTCTTAATCTGCATTGTTGGATAAAAAGTCCTTGTTGAATGAGGCATTTTCATCTTCCTTGTTCTGTGCGATTTCAGATTCAAGATCGTTGATGGCATTGATCAGACGAGAGTAGTCCAATTATTATGATTGCTCTTGTAATAATGCCATGTTTTTTAATGCTCTAAAAAGAGAAGGATGTTATTCCTCAATTGATTTTTGTCTTTTTATTTATTTAACAATTACTTTGTCTGATTGTCATTGACTGCGATTGTCAAAAGTACCAAAGCAAAGAGCACTATATATTTCATTTATACAATATATTAATTAAAAACGACTATTTAATTCATTTATAATGTAGTGTAAAATCGTCAATACTAAACAATGGGAATCTGGATTCTAATTCCTAAAATAGCAATTATTAACCAGATGAACACTAATTCGGCAGATGCTATCTTACAATTGTATTTTTACTCCCAAAATCAAACCAAATTCAATGTGCAATTTGTGTCTAATGTGCTTGACACTCAGATTGATTGGCAATGTCCATTCCTGATAAAGCATCTCATTAAATTCTGTCTGCAAATTGCGATTACTCTGGATACCACTCAACAGATGCTCCAAATATAAACAGATCTTCAGATTCTAATGATGAGATTACATCCAAACAGTTTCACCATCAACTCTCATTATCATTCTCTAAATAAATTGTTATTATTACAGTTCCGAATCTCCAAAAGTCAGTCAACATAACAAAGTTTGCTGTCACCTATATATAAGTATGATTCTATGGTAAATCATTATATTAGAATATCAACTCATCATTCCACTTCCCATATATCCTATTGTTGTCATTCCTCTCATATTTGTATTTATCCAACTGACTCCTTTTGAAATGCTCATGTTTATAACTGAAGTAACTATTCTATTTTAAAATCTGTCTCAATTTCTCATGATCGTTTTATAGATTTTTGCTCTCCCTCTTCCAACCAACATTTTATTCATCCACTATTATGGGAATCCATTGTGATTGTCCATGAATCTAAATGAAATCGGTTACAATTGTTCTGTGATCAGTACTTTCATCCTCATCATCCCTGTAGATCTCCTAAAAGTTGGCACTAATAAATATTGTATCCTCTCTAGGTTCTTCAATGAAAGCAGATGCCCTCGTGTCACTTCTAAAAGGACTCAAACTATTCAACTCTAAAACATCTGAACTAAACTCTGTGGGAATATCAATTTCTTCTGTCACTATTCTGTCTGCATGAACCTCTTGGCATTTTAGTTCCCCTTTTAGTATCAATTACTTGCACACCAGGTTTTCCCTTATATCCAATTATTTTATGTCACCATTAACGAGTAAAACGAGAATTGTGATAATAAATAATTTCATTATTATTAATTTCGATGTTATATTCCTTTTTAAATATAAGGCAGAATAGAAAAACAAGTTTGAGAATAGGAAGATAACAAGGAAAACTCAAAAATGTATACTAATTTGGATTCTTTCATAAATAGAACTATAATTTATAAATATCTTAAGAAATAACTCAAGTTTTTGATTCCTAATCACTTTACAACCAAAACTCTTTTAGAGTGTCTGCTATGTCATTTATAAATAATTATAAGGACTTGTGATTTCCCTTGTAATTTTCTAATTTTTAGATTTAAGATTGGTCTTGTTTCAATTAGGTTTCTCTCTTTTCAATCACTTTATACTTCTTAGTTGGATTCTATTCATAAACCATATACTTCTCTTTGAATGATACAACCTATAATTTTAATAATTCCAATTTTTCATCATATGCCATATCATATAATTTACTCCAATTGATAACTTCCTAATATTTATGTTAGTTAGTTAAAATATAATTCAAAAATCCTTTCTTAAATTCATCTTCATCATCCTGTTGTAGACTATACTATTTGACAAACTCAATCAAAAAGATTTAGAGCTCAGGATTTAATTAATTACTCACTAGTTCAATGCTCTTTAGTACAGAATCTTTTATATTCAAATCTTTGAACTCATCCTTATTTAGTTTAAATTTATTGAGATCAACCAACTAATCATTGGCGATGTCATATTGAAGAGTACAGCTATCCAAGTCTTTTAAGAAGAAAGTGTAATCCTCTTAAATTTTAAGCTGTTCTCTAAGCTTTGATTGCACTTTCTCAACATTCTTCCTCCTCAATTTAATTTAATCATTGTTTCTCTCCTTATTAGGTCCTGTTTTTGTTAATAATCTATAAGTAGCAAACTACGAGAAGATTTCCATCAATTTCAATGCTAACTAATTGGTAGCAATGTAATTGTTATCTAAAAAGATCTCTTACTCATCCTCCTTTGGTTTTTGAGGTCTACCAGGGCCATTCGTTCTGTTTCTGCTCATAGAATTATTTTTTTTAATATTTTATTAATTACTATATGAATTCAAATATAGAATTTTATTCTATTAACATCAAGATTAATTTTGATGGCATAAGTAAAATATTTAAATTTAATAAAAATAATATAAATCAATTTGTTACTTATGAATTATGCTGTTCTCTCACGGTTTTACCTCCTTAGTAGTACTGATTTGCTTGGGTTTAACGACATCAATTGATATTGATTCCATTTGATCCATAATTGAATTTGAGTATGTTCTTGAATTTGCCATTTGCTGGTTTCCTCGAAATACTTATTAAAACACCCATTTAAAACTACTCACCTATTCAATATGCTTGTTTTATTTATAGTATTTATTTATACATCTAATGTAATTACTATTCTTTTTAATGACTTAATTTTTTACTCTGTCACACTTAGCTTAATGGCCATCAACATAATAGTTGCTGATGTGGTATTATCTTTCGATTCAAACACTGGAAACCCAATAGATTTCATTTACTTTTGCTCTGCCTTAAGAATCGTTAGGAATTATCAAATACTATTTTTAACGCCTCCTAAACTGCTCCATATATGGTTTATTTTTCATCATCACTTTTGTCACTATTCAATACAATCTCCTTATCAATAACAACAGCCAAAATCTAATTTTTCTATTCTTAAATCCTAGATATTTAATGATACTCTTCCTAGCTGCCACAAACACGCATTTCCCATTTAATTATGTGAAGGATGGCTTATCACTCTGCTTAATATTCGAGTATTCGGAATCAGTTGGAATTACCAAGCATTCTACATCCTCATTCTCTACATGACCTGCTGTCAACACAATTTCACAGTTCCCCATATCCTATTTAAGTAGCTGTTAAGGAAATTGAGATGATCTCTCCCCTGTTTAATGACAAAGATTATTCCCCATAAATATTAATATAAAACACAAATGGAATAATTCTTTAGCTATTAATTCAATTCTGTGATCACTTTGTAACTCATCTCCTACTCATCATTAATCAACTGACAATCATATATATACTCAAATATTTCAAACTTTATTGGAGTTTGTTTATTTATTTGCTTAATTATTATCCATTTTTGATTTCATTTTTCATTATTACCCATTGTGGATTCGCCTTTGTGTTTCAATAGATAAAATGAAGTTTGAATTTTAGAAAGTCCCAAATGTATGAATCATCTAGGTGTGATATCGTTTTTTCAAAAGAGAACCGTTTTAGCTTTTGCCATTGAAGTAATGAACAAAACCACTTTATTGATATATTTCCTTGGCCAAATAACAAATTAGAGGTTGTTGAATGTTCACTTATTTTTAGAATGTTTATAGTAATCAATATCATCGTATTGAATAAATTATAAATTATAAATTAATAACATTAAATTAATTAAATTTATATTCAATCTGGGTTGTCAAAGTAATTAGTAATTATTCTTTAACGATAGGTGAAGTAGAGTAATGGATCTATGATCAATTTAAAGTCCAATAAGAAAACCAAGACTCTTTCCAAATGGTTGAATTCCTCATGTGAAATCCCAGCTACCTTTGCATAATATGAATTTTGAAAGAATCTATCATCGTAAAACTTTGCTGATAACATGACTGCCACAACGTACAATCTCTTATTAATTATAATGCATTACCGATGGACATTAATTGATTTTAATACTATTCTTCCCCATTTTTATGACAATTTATCAATGAATATCAAACCCATTATCAAGCATTCCTAGGAACATTAAGCTTGCTTTAAGATTCTGCAGAGGTAATCATAAATAGAAATAGAGGGAATCTTAGAACTATTAAAAGCTTCAAGTTCTTAAGTGCTATTAGCATCATTGTCACCTTCCTCACATAAATCCATTAGCAAATAAGCCATAGCACTTGACAATTATTTGTTATCAGCGATTTGCTAATTGTATAATTCATGTTATTATTCGTAGCTCAATTCTGTTGTTAATCCTAAGTTTTGCATTTAAGTATTGTATTATTATTATTCAATATATAATTGTTTGATGTATCAATTTTCTTTAATAAGGAAACATATTATATTTCCATATTCCACATTTATCTAGAGTTTGGTGATATGACACACAGCCTACATTTTCTCAATTTTTAATATCTTGAATCATCAAAACCACTAATAAAAGAACAACTTCTTCAAGAAACTCTATTTATAAATCAATTATTTAATTTAATATAATAATAATCATAATAAATTATACTATTATATTGCAAATATTCGCAATAGTAGTTATTAATTGGGTATTACTATTAATGATTTAGCTCTATTGTTGTTATTTATTATTAGGTTTACTATGGGTTAACTTAATCCTCATTCGATTAAGATGTCAATATAATATACTCCCAATAAAACTTCAGATAAATTTTATACATTTGATATTATTGTAATTATTTAATCCATTTAACAAGTCAACTGAATTATTATATTGTATTGTTTCTAAATGATCTTTCATGTATTGAATCACTTGATTGAATAAATTGGAACTTAACATTTTTACTTATAATTGTTATCTATATATATTTTGATATTTACGTTTTGATAGATTTACTTGGAATTTATAATAAATTTTTAAATACTAATTAAGTACATGATTAGGTTAATAAGAAAATGAATTTAATATTGGATTCGAATAATTATATGGAGATGTGTAATTTTATTTGCATAATTTATTGATGTATAAAATTCTGGTGAGTACCATATAAATTCAAAAGAATGAAGAAAGTGGGTGGATTATATGGAGAATATTGATTCTAATTTGAGGATTAAAGAATAAAAATTAATATCTTTTAATTAAAAAAAATATATTATGGCAGACGTTCAAAATCAAAGAGCATTCTAAAAATAAGAAGGCATTTTCTAAAACTCCAAGAAACTCTTAGCTAAGAAGACATCCAAAGGTGTTAGATACTGGAAAGAAGTTGGTTTGGGGTTCAAAGTACCAAAGGATGCAATTGAGGGTCATTATATTGATAAGAAATGCCCATTCACAGGAAATGTTAGTGTTAGAGGAGCAATATTAAAGTATGATTTAGAATGAATGTATTATAGAGGAATCGTCATTTCAACTAAGATGACAAGAACCATCATTATTAGGAGAGATTATTTGCACTATGTTGCCAAATATAACAGATATGAAAAGAGACACAGAAATGTACCAGTACACATTTCTCCAGCATTTGGACCAGTCAAGGAAGGAGATATCGTTGTTTGTGGACAATGCAGGTACTATTCAATTAATATGAAGACCATTATCAAAGACTGTAAGATTCAATGTTTTGAAAGTAATTCCAAATGAAATCATTGGTAATGTTAGAAAGCAATTTGTTTTGTTCTGATTTGCATGGATATCTATATAGTACAATATCAAAATAATTTATGCATTTAATTTAATATTATATATTAATTATGGACGACATGAATAATTACGATGAGTTCGGAAATTACATAGGGCCAGAAATCGATTCAGAGGAAGAAGACAATGTGTAGATTGAAGAGGAATAGATAGCAGAGGATGACCAAGAACATGTAATAGCAAATGTAAGAAAATGCTTCTATCTTTGAAGAGAGTGTATATACCTAATCAATAAGTTGCAGTAATCCTTAATGAAGACAAACAATACTATCCAGATGCATAACAAGTCTATGGTCGAGATGTTGAAATCAATGTGCAAGAAGAGGATGCTTAACCCATTACTCAGCCAATGATTGCTCCCCTAAAATCAAAGGAATTTGATATCTAAGAAACACAGATACCTCAAACTACTTTCGACTATGAGTTTCTGTGTCGTATTTCTAAGAATCCTGCTTTGGTAAGAAATGTTGCAATTGTAGGCGGTCTGCATCATGGTAAGACATCAATGATGGACGTCTTTGTTAAACAAACTCATCTTAAGCAATTTAGTTTGTAGAAAGACATCCGATACACCGATACTCGTCAAGATGAACAATAGAGATTGATCTCCATCAAGGCGATCCCTATGAGTTTATTATTACCCAATAGCAAAGATAAGTCATATTTGATTAATCTCTATGATACTCCTGGACATGTGAACTTCATGGACGAGGTGTGTTGTGCCTTACGAGCCAGCGATGCCATGTTGCTCATAGTTGATGTGATCGAAGGAGTCATGATGACTACTGAAATGTTAATCAAGGCAGCTGTCAAGGAGAAGATGCCTATAGTAGTCTTGATAAACAAGATAGATAGATTAATCATTGAGTTGAAGTTACCTCCTTCAGATGCCTATTTGAAGATCAAAAACATACTTGATGAAGTCAACATCATTATATCCGACAATGGGGGTAATTAGATCATATCACCTCTCAATCATAATGTGATATTTGGTTCAGGTTTATTTTAATTTGTTTTTACAATCTAGAGTTTTGCAAGGAGATACAACAATTTCTTAAATCCAGAACAATTCACTCGTCTATTATGGGGAGACATCTATTATGATAATAAAGAGAAGAAATTTGTTCGTAAAATGTCACCTTATGCTACTTAAAGGACTTTTGTTGAGTTTGTTTTGGAACCCATATATAAGTTATTTGGGTAAGTAGTTTCTAAAGACAAGGAACAATTGGAACCGTTCCTATTGAGTCAAGGCATATCTCTCAAAAAGAGTGAATTCAAAATGGACACCAGACCATTATTGAAATTAGTTTGTTCTATTTATTTTGGTAATACATCCTCTTTAGTTGATGTTCTGGTTGAATAAGTGCCTAATTCATAAGAAGGTAGTAGAAAGAAGATGGAACTATATTATTAAGGCGATAAATCAAAATAATCATTTATTCAAGCGTCTCAAGGTTCACACAAGGGGCCATTATGTATAAATGTTGTGAAATTGTACAGTAGACCAGATTGTATGAGTTTTGATGCTCTGGGGAGAGTGATCAGTGGAACTATTAAAAAGGGATAGAATGTTAAATTATTAGGAGAAAAATATAATATAGATGATGAAGAAGATATGGCAATAAGGAACATCAAGAATATCTATATCTATCAAGGCAGATATAGAGTAGAAGTCAATAAAGTACCTGCTGGTAATTGGGTGTTGATTGAAGGCATTGATTAATTTATTAGCAAGAGTGCTACAATCACAGAGGATTCTTAATAGATGGATATCTTGAGACCTATTTAACATAACATTTTAGCAACGATGAAGATTGCAATAGAACCATTAGTACCAAGTGAATTACCTAAGATGTTGGAAGGATTACGTAAAGTAACTAAGAGTTATCCTATTTTGACAACTAAAGTGGAAGAATCTGGAGAACATATTCTATTAGGAACAGGTGAATTATATTTGGATTGTGTTATGCATGATTTAAGAAAAATGTATTCAGAAATAGAAATTAAAGTATCTGATCCATCAGTTCGTTTTTGTGAAACTGTTATTGAAACATCATCAAAAACATGTTATGCAGATACTCCCAATAAAAAGAATAGGGTATTTAGATTAATAGTAACATTAATTAGATTAAAGCATTGGCAACTCCATTAGACAAAGGTTTGACTCCTTAAGATAAGGGATTGGCTGAGAGAATTGAGAATGAAGAGATTGATTTATCATGGCCTAAGAATAGATTAACTGAATACTTTAAATCCAATTTTAATTGGGATATAATTTAGAGTAGATCTGTGTGGGCATTCGGTCCAGAGAAAACAGGACCCAATGTGTTTATAGATGACACCTTACCATCTGAAACAAACAAATAGTTATTAACTGAAGTCAAAGATTATATGATTTAAGGTTTTTAATGGGCAACCAGAGAAGGTCCTTTGTGTGATGAGCCAATCAGAAATGTGAAATTCAAGATCATTGAAGCAAACATTGCTAATGTAATCATTAATATTTAATGTAGGAACCCATTTATAGAGGAGGTGGATAAATAATCCCCACAACAAGAAGAGTGTGCTATTCCTCATTCCTAATGGCAACTCCAAAAATCATGGAACCAATGTTATTAACAGAAATTATGTGTTTTCAAGACTGTATTCCTGCTATCCACAATGTTCTATTAAGAAGAAGAGGACACATCTTATCTGAGTAAGCAAAGCCAGGCACACCATTTTCAGTTGTGAGAGCTCACATTCCAACGATTGATCACTTTGGATTTGAAACTGATCTTAGAGTACACACTTCAGGATAAGCTTTCTGTTTGAGTGTGTTTGATCATTGGTCATTGCTACCAGGAGATCCTTTAGATAAAACCATAGTGCTTAAACCTTTAGAGCCAGCACCTTCAAATCATTTGGCAAGAGAATTTATGATAAAAACTAGGAGAAGAAAGGGTTTGAATGAAGATGTGTCTATTTTGAAATTCTTTGATGATCAGTTCTTGATTGATTCACTCAAACAAGACAAAGACTATTAATAGTATATTTGATGAGTAATTATTTACATCCCAATGAGATAATATTCCTGTAATTTCTTTCTAATAATCTTTATATTGTCATAACACCAGTATTCAATCAGCTTGGATATAAAAATATCCACTAATACTGATACTGATAATACATAATTTAATATAAGAGAATATATTACATAAAATTATAAAAGATGATTATTTACAATTAGTCTTCATTCATAATTACACATTAATATTTCATTATTCTACTTGTGGCTTGTACACTTATCTTGTGTTGATATTAATTCTGTGTTCGGATAAGTAATTAAAAACATGAAAATCAGTATTTAAATTAGCATCAAGTTGTGATTACGGGAAGGGGTTTCTAATTGTATGATGAGAGAGAATACTATATAGGATGAAATGAATTTGCAAGGATTCTGGGTACTCCGTGATAGCATCTCCTAGCATGACCACTCATAACTAGTAAATCTCCAGAGTCCAACTTGATTGCAATAGGTTTTTCATCTTTGGTTGGTCCTCCTATGACGAAAACACTTGACAATCCAAAACTAAAGGAGTAGATAGGAGAATCTTGATCTAGTTCGGCATCATCTAAATGTCCTGTCATGTAATCATGAGATTGATAGAAGTTGATAATGACTGATTCACTTTGATAGTGATTTTGCAATTATAAGAAGTTGTTGGCTCTTTGTGAGATTTCTTGTATTGGATCAGGCACTTGTGTTTTTTCTTGAGGATAATGTCTAAATTTAAATGAAATGTTACCTATTGTTCCAATCATATTGATAGCCAACATTTGCCCATCTGATTTTATTATTGAAGTGGTATTTTTAATCATCGTGGACTATGAATTTGTCGAAGTTCTCGTCTTCTTTGTAGATGAAGAGATTCGTTCTGTAGGGTTGATTGATGTAATCATTCATGCACAATTTGGAGATGCGAATTTAATCGTCTAGATTGAGGAAACCCTTGACTAGGATGACTCCTTGAGGGTAATCGAATCTATAGACGGAGCCATTTTTATGAATTCCTTGTTGTTCCATTTATTGTTCATTTAGATTGTTGAGATCGATGAGTTCACTGAAATCTGTTTGGAGACCAGCATAGAATTTGTATTTTTTTTCTGTTTCTTTAAAGGGATTTAAATTTTAGTATTGGATTGGTTTTTATTTGTTTTTTTTAATCTTCTAATACATAAATTTATTTAATGAAAGAATTCGCATAAAATTAAAAATAATCTGATTGTAATTAATTGTATATAAAGTAAGATTACAAAATAATTTTCTAAAATAAAATTATACAATTTCAAAAAAATGTAATAAATTACATCATCAGATATAATATAAAAAATGAGGGACTTTGTTTTCACATATATTATTTTAAGATGATAAGCCTTTTCATTCTAGGTCTCGTTGATTTGATACTCTGTTAGAATAGATTTTATTACCATGACCCAAGTAATGACATTGCAAAACCAAGAACTCATGCTAAGATCTCTGACAGCGGTAACTGAGTAAATCAATATTCCGTAGACACTCATTTCGATTTTTACTTTGAGTTTAGCGAAGATAAGAAGGAAGTGATAATGTTCATAGAAATAGACAAAATTAGCTATTTTTCGTTGGGACTCGGAAAAAGCATGTCAGATGCAGATTTATGGGTATTTGAGGTTTACGAGAATGCGATAACTGTTAATGATTCGTATTGTGTGAAACATGGAAGACCTCCAACTGATGTTTCCGAAGGAGGGACAGAAGATATATAACTCTTGGGTTACTACTACAATAAGGATGGCAAAACAGGTGTGAAGTTCAAGAGATCGGCTACAACAGGTATCAATATAAATCTAACAATGTTAGGCGACCAACATGACAAACCCTTAGTGGAGGGAGAAGCAGTGGAATTCATATGGGCTCATGGTAAAACCGAGGCTAATTTCACAGTGTCAAATCATGGGAATGTGAATAGAGGAGCTGTGGTACTAAATTTCACTGATGATGGAGGAAGTAACGATGTCATCATAGTGGATGGAGACAACACTTATTACATTCACAAATGGACAAACTTTGCCTGTTGGGGCATAGCCAGTGATGTTGCTATAATAGTCGGTCGATATTACAAGACTTGGGGATATCGAACATATCTCCATGGGTTCTTGTTCATATTAATAGTGACAAGTTCAATCACCACAGCCATGATGATGTTGAGTACAGATTGGGCTGTTTTGGAATGGAGCAACTTTAAGGAATAATCCATTAAAAATCAATTCCATATTATCATTTTTATGATAGTGGCAATATTTATGATTGCATAAAGCATTGGAGGCGTTCTCTATAATTTAATGTTAAGTTCATTGAAGATTAACCAAAAGGTCTCAGTCAAGCCCTCCATTCACGCTATCTTAGGCAATGTTGTATACACACTAGGCAAATTGCAAATCATAGCCGGACTCTTCATGGACAACGACATTCGTCTCATGTTGATTTTGGGAGCAGTTTTCACTACTCGTCTCATATTAGAAATCCTGTATCAAAAGGGTAGTTTGGTTAGTGTAGTCATGACTGGAAAAGACTCGCATTCCAATAAAGTGTATGAAGAGGGTCAAAATCCCTTATTGGATATCAACAATAGTCAGCATGATGACAGTTTCGAAAAGAAATCTTCTAAATTATGGTGTATCTATAAGAACCAAGTTGTTGATTTGTCATAAATGATTCATCCAGGAGGCAATTATATTTGGAAACTGATTTAAGGCCAAGATGTTACTCGATATGTTTTAGGAGCTTACACTCTTGATTAACTCAAACTTCAACCCTATAAACACAGCATCTACACTCTCAAAATATTGGAATAATACGTTACTGGAGTCTATGTAATTCAAGATCCAGAATTCTTTGTCAATAAAGCTAATAGAAGAGTAGTCAAATAATTAGACGAAACATGGACATTGAATACAGTCAATCCCTATACTGATTAAGTTGCTTACTTTGGATTTGTTAATGAAAAGTATCAATTCAAAAATACTCTATCTGGTCTCCAAACATTTGGCCAATACTTTGTGATAAAATCATAGGAGGACTCTGATGTTTCTTCAAGATAATACACCATGGTCTTGAGTATGACTTAGCAAAGAATCAAATATAGAAAAGATATTTCAGAACTCTTTAAAAAGATTCTCTCTTTGCAAACCATACAGAAGGAAGTACCAAAGGAAGAAGAATACTTATCCGAATTACCCTTAATAATTAAGAAGTATCAATCAAAAAATGGATTCTCCTCTTTCATTCATGATGACAATCGCAATGGACAGTATCTTATTCAAGGACCTTATGGAAATAATTTCACCATTGAAAATGGCAATCATTTAGTGTTCATCGCAGGTGGCACTGGATTGTTCCCTTTCTTAGACATACTTGAATATCAACTCAAAATGACCTACCATAATATACTATATAAATAGTTCGGTCAAGATGCTGTGTAATTTATGAACCCAGGAGTAATTAAAAATTTCAAAATCACTCTATTCCTAGCTGTCAACTCAGCAGATGATTTGGTATCTATCTTATTCATTATTCTTAGATTGGAAAAGACATCTATTTTACTCTGTTATCATTACAAAACCAATTGGACACACCCAATTTCAAAATGATAGTCAAAGGAAACTTTAAATTAAAAGAATGCGAGATCATCCCCCAAAGATTCAATGCCTAGATTTTGAAGTCATTCCTTGGCGATTTCAACTCTGTATCCAACTTCTTTATCTGTGGACCACCAACTATGAATACTACAACCGAGAAAATCTTAAGAGATGTGGGAGTTAATAACATAACTGTTCTTTGATTATTTTATATTTAGATATATTTACAAATTTCATTGTTTTATGTACAATTTTTAGTAACAAGATATACTAAACTTACTGACACACACACACGCCAACAAGAAGAATATCGACCATTCTATAGGTTATTCTAGATAATTGAACATACATATATATAAATACATGCTAATATTATCGAAACAACAGTAGATATCATCCCTCCACAACACTATAAAAAGTTAAAGAGACCAAAATATTGGATTTGATCATTCCAATCCTATGCAATTATGGCCAACAAAGTAGACGTAGTACCACAATCAACCAATCCCCAAAGAATGGCTATTAAAAAACATATCCCGTATTTCTATTCGTAGGTGTTAATTATAGCCAATAACAAGGCTATGGATATTAAATGAAATTGCAATAGCTGGCTTGTGTATTTAGGTGTATAAGTGTTGAATACCCCTATGAATATCTATAAATAGGAATAATATTATACTCCTCCCAAGACTTCACAACACCCTAAGACTGTCATAACTAATAGAGTATATTTGGTGATCTCTTCATCACTAAGCGATTAGGTGTCAATAGAATTTTCAATGACATAATGCATAACATTCCATTGAAAACTCAAAAGACACCCAGTGATCATCATTGGAAAAATAAAGCATTTTACTCTAAATTCTTTCATAGTCAAAATGACAGAAATTGGATTCAACTTATTCAATTCCTAAGTATCCGCGACTTCTTACCCATCTTCCTGTAGTTAAACAACACTGTGGGCATGTTGCTTCGGTTACGGTACCAAAAGAAAAGATAAGGAACCAAAAGTTGCCACAGCGACCATCAGACAGTAAAAATAGAATTGCTTTATTTGAACAATCACAAAGGCAGAATATAAACTACCTATGACTTAGGATAATTATAGAACTGCCCAAGCAATACCGTAATATAATCCAGCTTTTTTGGAATACTTACTCAATTACGCGACGTAATCATTCTGTGTTATAAACAGACCAGAGGATGTGAATCCACTCATGGCTGATGATACAATTGTCACTAAGTAGATCCAGAAATCATTGCAGATTCCATTCTCTTTATCTGCACAATGACAAACCAATAAGCCAGATATCAAAAATAGCAAATACCCTAGGGAATGAATAAAAAAACTATGACGGTATTGCAATTTCCTGATGTATAATATGCCTAGAATAATAGTATTTGTATTTACAGACAAAGTTTCCAATCATTCCAAATAAGAAGATAGTGAAAATCGAAATGTTACCCAAATAATCGAAGCCTTTCTACTCGAAAATCTGGGTCATTACATTTAGACCAGTCGATGTTGCTGATAAATATACCGCAAACACTAAGCTCATATAAATTAAACTACAGAGCATGTCAAATTTAATAATAATCACATTTTTATAAATAATTTATTTTATCATAACTTCACATCATTTGATCATAATAATTCATCAATAGATTAGTATTATTCATCATTCCCTTAAATTAGCGATATCAATTCCTTCTCCTTTGATTTGAAGAGATACTCCAAACGAGTTCTTTTTTCTTGTTGTTGATTCCTCTTCAACACTTTAACAGCTTAACTCAATGAGATCTATTTGGCCCTTTTTGCATTTTGCTTTTACTTAGAACAATATACTTACATGTCTCATAAGCAATTTAGCATTCGGACTTTCAAAACTCAACTAATCTACGAATTTCTTTTATAAGTCTGATTCCCTTTATTTGGAATCAAATTTAGTTAATCTACCTAAGTATATTTTCCCAGAAATTCTCTGCTTCCTCTCTTTTTTCATTTGATTCGTATCAAATGGAGGAGGAGACAAATTCGCATTGGCCAAAATAGGAGGCAATTCCTTCCTTTATCTGCTATGATGACTCTACAAAATCCTTTTAGGCGATTTCATTTATTCTCTCCTCTCCTCAGGTACAAAGGTTGGATTCGACAAAATCAGTTGTTCTTGAGAACTCTTATTCAAAATCAATTTGGAGAGACTCTTATTGTGCTTTCTGCATTCAATGGATTGAGACTAGTGCACTAACGACTTCTAATTTTCATTTTACGGTAACTCAATTAATGGTTTACCTTGTTTGAATTTAGGCAGTCTGGAACTTACTTATCTTAATCCAAACACTGAAATAGTAGTGGCATCATATACTTTCCAATTTGTTCGGATTTTAAATGAACAGATATCCTAATTTAATCTTAGTGTCAGTTCTAGCTGAAATGAATTCTGCTGGTTCCAAAAAACTCTCCTGTGAAATCATTCTCCTTGTTGTTTAAGAATCCATTAAAAATTAACTAAAAATTAAATAAAATTCCTATGACTTAAAATATACTTCGATATTTGGGTCTTAGAAGAATTCCAGAGAACAATTAGAACTTAGAAAAAACAATTATAAATATTTTTAAGTCTGAATATTGAATTAATTATTGATTTTCCATATTGCATTCAATATGGATATAATAAATGCAAAAAACCAGAAAAACATAAGAATCCATTTGAAATGAAATGGTTTCTCAATTTATATAGTGTTCAAACTTAAAAGAATAAAACATGGATCTAAAACTTATTCAAAAATTTACAATGCAGCAAATATACAGTTTAAATTCATATCATAAAAAACTCTTCTAAATAAAGATTTCCTTAATTTTTCCTATAATATATTAATAATGATATTTATTTATAATAATATATTAATTTCGTGATAGCTTAAACTTCATGTTAAAATTCTACAGCACTCTAAACAATAGAATGTTTAAATTTCAATTATACTCAATCAAATATATCAGTATCTATAGTTATAACAATATATCAACTTATTCAAATTTTCATTTTAACTTGACTAACTCCGCATATTCGAAGTGTAGAGCTTCTCTTAATTTATTCTTATTAATTTCACATGAGTATGTATTTCTATTGAGAAGTTTAAATTGCAAATAAATTGATGATACTAAATTTAGAATTTTCATAAAATTCTTTGTCTTTGTGTAAGTAAACACAGTATTTAAGCTTTCATAAAGATCATCTGAGCCAAAAGTTAGTTTTGAGTAACAAAGCTAATTTTTAAGAATATGTGTAAACATTAAAATAATCAAGATAATTCTCATGATTAAGAAATCATGAAGATATCGATACTACTTTTCTGATGAATATCTACTAATAAAATATATCATAATGTCATATTTTTTTTCAAAACTTAGATCTTTATCAATCTTTGTACTATTTACAAGAATGAACTCTATATTTGGTCACATTTGTTCCTTTGTTTTTTAATATCCCTTTCTTAGTTAGAGATTTTGATCTGACATTCGCCCTCTCCTCTCTAACCTTAGGGATGATTATTATTTTGTTTCCAAATTATAGCAAATCTCTCATGATTTGAATGCCCTCTTCTTCGCTTAATCATTATCACCTGGATATTGTTTATTTAGACACCCTCCTAAGGAGACTCTTTAATCAAATTTAATTGTTGACTGTTAGCTTAGATGGTTGAGTTTATGCTTTGTATTCCAGTTTCTAAGGTGACTGTCTGCAATTACTAAGTGTCTTCAAATTCAGTATCTTTTTATGACTTACAGATGTTACCCATGAATTCAAAATTTTAATCTTTTCATTTCATTTTAACCAACCTATTAACCAAATAAATTTTAAGATCCCACGTTTGAAAAAATTCAAGTCAATTCAATTTCCAAAATATTATATTTTTAGAATGTTTTAATAATGATAAAAACAAAAAATTAGTAACTTGTAGGATATTAAAAAGTAAAATTTTAATATAAGGGGGTTAATGTAAATTAGAAACAATTTATTACTATAAATTTTAATTGTCTAACTTTTTTTATATGAGCACTTATTATTCAAATTAATTAAAATAAATTTTATTTCTTGCTAATCCTCATATCAATTTTAGGGCAAGTGTAAGATATATTCGAAATTTCATTGAAAGCCTTAACGATAATTGATTTCCCCCATTTACAAGACAAAAATCAATGATTCTCCATCTTTTAAGTCAAAACTTATTACTTAGAATAAACAGTATGCAAAATGAAAAAAAATACATTGCCTAATAAATTTTGAGAAAAAGAAAGTATTAAATTTAAGAAGGATTACTATTTTTAAAAATGAGACGATTTTTTTTGTAAAACCTTGAGAGCAAAAAGAGTTCTGCTGGAAATGATAACGAAGTTGACTTATTTTGTGAGCTTTAAGTAATAGATTCGATGGAGAAGTCGGGTTAACCATAACTTAAATATATGATGTAAATCTGTTTGTTTTATTTACAGGAGTTCACACTCTTCTCTTGATGAACCCATTCAAAATACATCTGAGTAGGAATTTCATGCAAATCAAAGTGAGCAGAAACTATACGACTCGAATTAGAATGAGATGAGAATTTAAAGTAATTATGATAGAAATGAGAGTGTTTAAATTTTGAACTAAAAAAATGAACAAAAAAGACCTATAAGAAATAGAAGGAAATTAAATGCTAGTTCGTAATTAATGGATTTTCAGTCCGAGAATAATTCATCCTCTTAAAACTTAAGTATTATTGCTTGTAGGTGCACTAAATCGAATTGCTTGAAATTGTATTGTTTATGCTTCCATTAAAATCAAAAATGCTCTGATCTTTGCAAGTGCTTTGAATGTAAGAATAAGGCAGAGCATTTTGAGATCAGATTCAATGCTCTAGAGAAGGTCAAATAAAAATTGCATAGATAGAAAAACGATGATGATTTATTTGATAGATCAAGGGTTTGGGGCTGCAAATGCCAAAAATCCTAATGCCAAAAGAATTATTGTGAATGCTTTGTCAGAAATTAGAAATGCTCTTCAAGTTGCAGATGCAAAGATTGTGCAAACAAAAAAAGATTTCCATTCTAGCAAAAAAAGAAATAGAAGAACCAAACTTAGGTTTGAGTATTTGAAGTGATAATAATACAATTTTGATTTTTGAATCCCTTATTCAATAAGTATTATTCAATTGTGATTTCTTTCCCATTAGAAGTGAAATACAAGAAGTATTTATTTTTTGTTATAGATAATTTAAAGCTGTTAAATAATAATTTAAATAATAATATGAAACCTTATCAGACTCCAAATTCTGGGCATTCTCGCCAAGGGAGTTTAAGAGTGTAACGACAACCTTTGGCTGTAATCAGCAATTGCCCTGAATTTTCATAGTGTGCTAATTACCTGCAATAAAAAGTTTAGGGATTGGAGTAGCGAGTTAAGAACCTCAATAGTTAGCATGCAGACAGAACAGAAAATAGATCAACGACCACATAAAAAAATGAAGCCTCCCTATCACCCTTTGTGAGGTAGAAAAAACCATGTAGTTCAAATTAGAAAGTGGATTCGTAGAGCTATTATGAAGCCATCATTAATAAACGACTGGAAAACATCAGCAAAATGGATTAATCTCCCGTGCATATCAAAACTGATAATACAGTGGCTTAATAAGACAAATATTCCATTCATAGCTAATTATCTAATTTAGGTCCATCTTCAGGAAAATTGCACTCTAACAGTATTGTTAGAATTTAAAAGTTGACTAAAAAATTGAGAAAGTTTAAGATGATCAAGGACTAAAACTAAGATGAATGTGCTCCATCTTTAGCAAAAATTAAATGTTTTTGTTAGGAATATTATAATGATTGTTTTGATTTCTATAGGTGCACAGACTTAATAGCTTTAAAATATTTTATCTATTTGCTCGTATAAGAAATCAACACTCTTTATAGTTAGGATGCTTTTAAGATGGCAGACAATTCAATGCAGTACCAATAGTAAATTGAAATGCTCAAAGAACAATTAGACAATTAGAAGAGTGATTAGGTGAGCTTCCAAAACCAATTGAAATTATAAAAGATGGTTGTAGATACTCAAAAATTAATACAAGATATTATTAATGTGCTATAAACTAAACACAATTAAAGTACGTTGATTAATTAGGTTGAGGTGTTGAATAATTAAATGAAAAATATCAAAGAAAATATGTCGACCAATTAACTGTAACATCAAAATGCTACTTCATTTGGATAGTAATTAGCCAAATGTGGAATTGATGTCAATTATCAATAGAGAGTAACAAATGATACATCAGTCGTGAATCAATCAAATTTTAAAACTCAAACTGTAGATGAAAGAAATCAAACCTAATTTAGTTCAAAATCAAAGTCTCCTTATAGTAGAAATCAGAAGAAAATAAATTTTGAGTTAGAATAATAAGTTGACATGAATAAGAAGTTACTTGATGAACAAGTAGTGACAAATAGATAGTTAATGGAGAAACTATTCAAATTACAAACTGAAAAGCAGTAGAATGATTAAATATTGAAGTAAGTTTAGGAGGAATTGAAATAAAGAAATTAAGTTATCATGGAGTTGGAAAACAATCTGTAAAGGGAGAGTTCAATACTTAATGAGATGAATTAAAATCTAGAGGAGGCTGTTTAACAGAATAAAGAATTATCGAAAGAAAATGTTAATTACAAACATAGCATTGATCAATATATGTAGATAGAATAAAAATACTATGATTTATTACAAGAGAACAATAAGTAATTCTAATAGATGAATTAAGTTATTAAAGAAAACGGGTGTCTATAGAAGGTTCAATAGTAAATAGAAGTATTATAGTAGATTAATATTAGGCTGAATGTAAGGGGTATTAGTAACAAATTTTAAAACTGTAGGAGAAGTGTTAAGCACAATATGCTCAAATGTAAGATCAAAGTGATGCCAAGTATCTATAATAGTAAATAAATGAATTACTGTTATAATAACAAGAACAGAGCAAAATAATTGTAATAAATTATTATATAAATTAGACTTTGATTACTGACGAAGCTCTATATCTAGGCTAGATGACTCTTTATGCTAGTGACATCCTATAGAGACAACAGACAGATGGCATTCCCACCACTCTTGTGATGTTGTAGAAGGATTTAAATGGAAAGAGGAGCACAATTCAATAGAAGATGAACATTCTGTAGTAATTTGGGAACAATATGAAAAATCAGCAATTGATTGCACACAGTAGTTCTAGTTAATTTAATGATAATGTGGATTTACTGGAAAATCTGCATAGTGAAGCTTCGTCGATTAGATAGAAGAATGTAAGTTCTTATGAGGAGACGGCCAGCACAATTCACAATAATAATATCTAATCGAATGATTTGATGACGATGTTGTTGGTTTAATGCAACACTTTAGAGAAAATGATGGAACTTTGACTTTTCTTGATAATTCAATTTTTTTATTATATTATAATGTTAACATTTATATGGATTTTAATTATGCAATAGGTTAATGCCCAGTCTTGTGTGTGCAATGAAACATATCCAGATGGATGTTTGATAAATTAAAATTGCTCATTAGTCATATCTCATTCAAACAGCACATGGAATGCAGTAGACGAACTTGTAATAGAGAATTGCAATGTGACGATATGTCTAGAAAAATTAGTGGGTAAAGCAATATTGAATTTCAGCTAATTAACAGTCAACAATGCAAGTATAATATAAGATGACACTTGTTATTTCATTATGTCGTAATAATTAATCTTCTTGGGAAATTAAACTATTATTTCAACCTCTAACATTTTGTTTTATGGGAATATACAACTTTAATTCATAGCCACTAATATGAGTATAGGCCATGCAAATGTGTTGTCAAACAGTTTGAATATTTGTACAGATTACTTATAGGTTAGCAATTCAACTATTAGAGCTCTAATGTAAAACAAATCACAATGTTCTTGCTTAAGTAATCAAAATTGTTCTAATCAGATGTATATTAAGACCATTTTTAGCTTTGTGGGTTACATCACTCAGAACTATACTAACTTATCTTCTTAATATATTGAGTAGTAGTGGATATCACAGTTTCAATGCAGTTTTTTCAGTCCGAAGACTCTCACCTACTTCACCTCATTAATTTCAGTCAAGAATCACTTCAGTTTGACATAACATTCAAAAATCAAAGGGTTCTATGTCGGAATCTATGCTTATAGTTTAGAGGTTGATCAAACTAGTTAGATTTTGACTGATGGAATGGGATATTCCACAAATGAGGGATTTGGCTGTGGATACACTGATAAAATAATAGGGTTGAGGTAGCAATGTGGAGGCACTGGAGGAAGTCATGGAGGAATGGGAGGGTTCTCAATAAGTCCAAAGTCTAATTACAATTAATTATGCTTACAATTATAGAGTAAGCAGATCTATGATTACTCATTCAATCCAGTATTACCAGGAAGTGGTGGAGGGGGAGTAACATATGGAAATTAGTTTTATAAATTTGAAATCTAAGGGTAAGGAGGAGGAGTCATGCATTTAGAAGTGTTGGATTTATAGAATGACGGGATAATAAGTTCGAATGGAACTGCATATATCTAGCAACCATTTTTTGGGAGTGGAAGTGGAGGTTCGATTTAGATAAGAATAATCTATTTCAGTGGAAATGGATTGGTAACAGCTGATGGTGGTGGTTCTTAATCTGGTAATGATTATGACACGGATTAGTTTGCCAGATAGAAATTTTATTAGACATACCAAATCTATGGAGGATTTGGAGGAGGAGGAAGAATCAGATTGTTCTTCTTCAACATTACAGAAATGATTAATAGTTCTTATTATTAAAATTGCAACAATATTATGCAAACTAATCCTGGTGGTTTATCAATCCAGTAAAAGGATATACTAAATATGTCAAATCAAAGTCTTATTAAATTTCAAGGTTCGATTACACCGACTGGGTGTCCTTAAGGTACACAAGGCAATTATTGTTAACAATGTGGGAAAGGATATTATAAAATGCTTTTTGGACAAGCACCCTGTAAACCTTGTTTTAACACTATAAATAAAAACACTAGTTACTAAATCGAGGGAGAAAACACACCTTTTTGTAAAGTTGTATGCAATGATGGTAAATAACCAAAAGAAGATTAGTGTTTAACTGGATTGGCAGAATTCTCTCAAAAATTAGGAGGGTAAAATGTCATATTTGCTTTGTTTGTAATTATCATTTTACTGTTGATTAATATTGCTATTGTTTGGGTGAGTAGGGATAAGAATAAGAAGAAGGCAAGACAATTTTATGGTTCCTATGATGATTCATCAAGCTTCCAGCAAATGACTAATTCTCTATCTGAATTAAATAACAAAACTTACTTAATTAGTTAGGATCTCCATTTTCATGTGCGAAGAATATATCTGGCAGGTTGCAATACTTATCAAAACCCATGGTAGATTTATTAAGAAACCTTGGTTGATAGTGATCTTAACCAAGGAGAGAACAAGGAATGGTAAGTTCTCTTTGAAACATTCAACTAAAAAGCATTGTTTACTATTTTTGAGAAATACACTTTGATATTTTTCAAATTCTATTATTATCCTCTTTACATTTGGATTCTTTAACTGATACAAGTAAATAAGTTCAAAACTCTATCCAAATTATTTGTAAAACAGGAGCATCTTTATAATGGATTGGATTCTGATAGAGATAAGATGAAACTCAAATTCTCATGTTCTAAAGATAAGACATTAGCATTCATTGATAGACTCAATTTAGCTTTGAAGATTGTTGAACAGAGTAATACTTTAGAATTACCAATCTACTTAGTATTAAGTGGTTATGGTACATTCTCTTACCCATTTTAGATAAATATTCATGATGCTCTCATTAAGAGATTATGGTAGTAATTTAGCTTTAACACAAATGAGGAAAGTATCAATCTCTTCGAAAAGTTTGTCACTGAATTCAACTATTATGCAGTGAAGATAGATTTCAGATAATCGTAATCCTCCTTTATTAAACGATTTCTTGATCTTGTTAATTACACAAATCAATATAATTATGAAATCTTTAGATTGCATCATGTCATACAGGTTGATATTTGTATCCATATCATAGCCATTTAACCCTCTTCACAAAGTTAGGTATATTTACTTGGAAATGCAAATCAACGAGAACTTGAATTTCTTTTAAAATAAATTCACGTAATGAAGAATTTACCGGAAGAATTCACTATCAAATTATCTATTATCTTCAATAATTATAACAAAGAAAGAATTATTAATTTGGAGAGTTTCAACAACTTGGCCTACAATATAAACGAATAATTGTAGATCATTGTTAATAAGGACAAAGACGATCTGAAAAATCAAATTTAATAGGAAAAGAAAAAGATGCAATCAAAAATAAATTGCTTTAAGATGGATGGAATGAAACAATATAAATTGAAAGGCATACAAGTAGTTAAAAGATTCTTCACTTGGCTTTTTAGTTAGATTACTCGATATCGAGACAGCAGAGTCAATCAGTAATTCCTTATTGCTGGAATATGCATAACCCTTGCAATCTAATGGGTATTATTGTTTAGCTTATTAGAAAGTGTTTTGTCATCGCCTATCCTGTGCTCTTATTTATTGTGAATGATTTAGAAAGTGATCAAATATTTGTGGCTGAGTTTATCACTTAACTAGTGATATTTCCTGTAGCATAGATCATTAGTTTAGTGATTCTCTCGGCTTGGGTAATGTGATGTAAATATATAGCTTTTAAAATCAAGAAGGAATTATGGTAAAATGTACCTTTTATTCAATTTATGTGCCTTGGCAAGTTCTTTAATTGAATTCATTTTTGGATGCTATGATCTTTTCAACTTCAATTCTAGTGCTGAATTTAATTTATTTAAATTATTCCCTTTCTTTTTCATTATGCTTTCATCACACTTAGTTTGTTTATAGATGAACTTTAACGAACTCAACAAAACCAAATATTTTGAAATTTGATTTATTTATAATAGTAATAATTATTTTTAAATAGAAACAGTTTCTATGTATTTTTCATTTGTTATGATCTTCAAAATAATTATAACGCAGTTCCCTTTTATAAAAGTACTTTCTGCAAAACTAATCAAATCTACAATGTAATAAATCAATTATTACAATATTTGAGTGGAGATTAAAAAAATAAATGAATAAATACACCTTAAAATTCAGAGACAAAAAAATTGAAGAATAATTTTAAAAAATCCATCAAATTCCTACTAGATAAAAACACATAAAACTTATTTCAGTATTTTTCTTAGCTCTTTAAATATTTAAACTTATAGCAAGTATTTTACAGCATTAGAAAGAATAAATGTACATTTTAATCTTTTTAATTGCGACAACTCTAGTATTGTGCTTTGCTAAGATCACATCTAGCTTCTCCTCAAATATGGCTCTATGTTTTATCAATCTATCTTTCACATTTTACACAGTTTATTATGATCCAAAAGATGAAATCACTAACTCCTACTATAGGGGAGCTAACCAGATGGTTTTCAATATTATTAACATCCTGCTTACTGACTTTTTAGAATCAGCTTTCATAACTATGATTATATTTGCCACGAGATCAATTCATGTAATCCTTTATGGAGATAAACCTGATATCTCCTACTTTGTACTTGGATTTATTATCAATCTGTCATTTCTATATATCATCTACACTTATCGTAGTGCCATGCGTTCCTAATACATTCTCTCACGCACAGACAAGCAATGGGAGAATATTCTCAAATAAATTATTCATGATGAGTAGTTTTTGTTAATAAACTTTGATGTGGAAAAATTAAAGTTTTCAAAAATTTTATCAAACTTTTTTAGAGATGAATAGAGGAATGATTAAATTGGTGATTTTTTAAGAAACTCATACATTAATTAAGAGACACTTGAGAACTATTTATTCAATTAAATAAAATTATTTCAGACTAATTATCATGATGTGTTCAATAAAATTATCTCATTAAAATATGAGAAATATCATTTATCAGTTACTTATTCAATATTTTAAGGTTCACGACCAACAATTTTGATCCAACTAGTTAAAACTCAATATAATAAGGAAATATAAAGTCTGATCATCAAAACCTTGATCAATCTTAAACTACTGACTAATTTAATTAGAATTATTAATGGCAATTAAACTTACAGCAAAGATAAGTTCCAAAAAATAGCTACAATTCTCATATACTAATATTTCCAAGCCAAATTACATTCCAAGCGGTTTTCATTCAAAATTTGCAATCTAAAAAACATCATACTAGATTTAAAATATTATTTTTATCCCAATAGTATGGTCAGATTATTGGAAAATAATGTTCATATAAAAACAATATCATGTATTTTGAAGCTGCTTCTTTTAATCATTGTTGAAAGTTCAATTAGTAGAGTGATGTTCATAAAGACAAAAGGGATGTAGAATCAACTAAAGATTCATAGTACATTTAATGTTTAAATATTCAAAGTCAGATATCTTTAATTTGAATACTTTCTTTAAGCAATTGTAAAATCAATCTCAAGTGATGAAAAATGTACAATTAACTTATTATATAGCAATTGAATTTGAATTACATCAGGAATCTTTTCTACCTTATTGTAGGCCGATGTCTATAAAAGGTTGTTACTACGATTCCAAAAGGAATGGATTTGATTGATTTTCAGTTTAATTTAACAATTTTCTGTGTTTCTTCTGTGATTTTATAATAAATGATAATGAAATTAAATTAATAAAATTAATGAAATCGTTTAAAGTTTCGAGTGGCATAATGGATATCATTAAAAATTAATCGAAGGATGTGAAATCCTCCTAAATGATAGTGGATAAAGTGAATGAGATTGTATATTTCAATATAAGACATAGCATAGTGGAATTGATGAAAACAATCTGAAATTAGTAAATCAACATCTCATAAACCATTTTCAATTGAAGCCAATAGTCAGTGCAATAGAATAGCCAAATAATCCTTTGCAAAAAATACGGAATCGTTCCAAACCCAAATTTTAATCATTGTTGCATTCTTAAATTAGTTAAGAGGTTGAGTCAGTCCAAAATTCATACTAATATACAGAACTACTTAGTGAGAAGGACAAGGAGATAAATTATTACAAGAATCATATCTAACAACTGACAGAAGAATTGTAAAAATTAACTGAATTGTTTGAAACAGTTAGAAATGATAATTAATCTCTTAAAAATTAAGTTGATCAAACTCAAAATTATCAACTAATCATATCTAATCAACAGAAACAGATTTTGAAATTGCAACAAGACAATGTAGAATTAGAAATGATATTGAAGAACACACTTTTGCAACAGGAGAGACAGAAATTTTAATCGTAATCATCAAAACAATCAATAATAATTAAGAAAAACTCATTTAATGGATAGAAATTAAAGCTATCTAATAACCTGAGTTTGAGTGAACAAATGAACAATTCGAACATGAGTACTAGTTTTATCTCCTGTCCAGACAATTACAATCAAAAACAAAAAAGTCACAGAGCCAACGAGAGAGTGAAAACTAATTAAACGGTTCCGACTCTCCCGGATTCTAAAATCTATTCGAATGATCAATATTATGTGTAGAGATAAGGCAAGGAAAATATCAAGATGAGATATTGATGATAAATTATATTTTTTTGTTATCTATTAGAATTCACATCATAACAGTAGTGGAGATATTTGAGTAAAGTTCATAAAGTTTCTATATTTCTAAACCACTTGGAGTTTTCAATACAATGTTTTCATCTTGAATCTACTGCAATTGAAACTGAAAATAAAAAGGAAATGGTTAAGGATTCACAATGTCCTTAAGCAAGATTTCCATTTTTACTTCCATATTCTGTATAATAAGAAATCGATCGAATTTAACTCCTAAAATAGAGTAGGTTTCCAGTTGAGACTTGAGTAATCTAAGTAAAATAATAATATAAACTTTTGTAATATGTCTTTGCTTGCATTTGGAATTTCAATATTAAAATTTTGGAGCCCATAGAATTAGTTTTATTGGAGAGATTCCATAAAAAGCAATTCAGCGATGTATTAGAACTACTATTCGTGTGTTTTTATTCCTTGTAAATTCTTATCATGTTATTTAATTATGTATTCGATTTCCTACTTTACAACTCCAATGGCTGTATATATTTCAGAGACCCAAGTTTTCTCTTTCTCTTGTTTATAAATTTTTTCAGGAATCAATTACTTTACCATATGGATGGGCAAAGATTGCTTCGTAAAAGTCTAAACATTACTAATTATCATTACATGTTTGAAATGTTCATAATGCTTAATGATTAGATAGTAGATGGAATACACGCAATATTATGAGAAGGTGAGCTTAAACTTCATATTTTTGATATCGTCAAATGCTTGATGACTCATTAAATTAAGTCTTACTGGATCTGATTAATAGTCTTTTTGCTCTTGCTTTGGAGGTAAATATAAGTATTTTTTGAGTAACAATTTAGTCTCTTACTTTTCTCGTTCTTTGATTATGAAAGAAATCCTTGAGACAATGCCTTCAGAAAATGATTTATTTAATTCAATTTGAGGAATGCACTCCTAGTCGTCAAGCATTCTAACCTCTTAGCCATTAATTAAGAAGAATTTAAAATCTTCGAAACTTTATAAATTAATAACTTCAGCTGCCATCTCTATTAGATCAGCTACTCTTAATTCAGGACTGATTGGTAAAAAGATATAAAGTTCATTTAAGAACATTAACTAATAGTATAGAAGGAGATGATACTTTAATATTGATAGTTTGATTGCTAACTTTTAAACTTTTGTGATGCATTGTTTATCTTAATGTATTGGAATTTCTTACAAATCTCAATGTCTCACTAAGTGATATGTCGTCTGAATTAAACGAAGAGCATTTCATTATTTTTCTTAAACTTTCTCTTTCTGGCTATGTCTAACAAGGAATAGGTTTAATTGTCTAGTAAAATGAAGGGGGCAATTCTAGATATTTCAGTACTTATTCTGGATGTTATTTGATAAGAGAAGAATTCAGAACAGCTTCAAGGAAGTTTTCAATAATGATTTTCCTGGCTTCTATTAGTTGGGTTTTTTTGTTGCTGGCCCATTAATTCTTACTTAAATGTGGAATTTAAATTTCTGGGTATTGCTTTCTTAATAATTGTTCCAATTTTATTAAACTACTGTATCTGGTTAGTAGTGTTAAATTTTAAGCTCCTGTGGAAATCTATTGTGAATTCTATATTTACAATCATCACATAAACTGTATATGATTTAAGGATGGACTTTCTTAATTCCGTACCCTTGGCGAATACTTATATGGGTTAGACATCATACTCTTAAACAATTTCCAACTTTTGATACTTCATCTTGATGTCATTAATTAAGGATTCACATAAGGTTAGTAACTTCTATTTTTGTTCAGCATCCTAACAAATGAATGTTATAGATTGTTCCTAAGAGGAAACCGTAAATAAGAATTTGCAATATTGAGTTTCAGGTTTGTTTTTGCAATAAGATTTCTCATTAAGGTAAAGATATTCATACAATTTTTCGTGTTATTTAACTAAAGCATTTTGATTTCTCTAGGTAAGGATTATCATGTCATTGCAAATATACACAATAACTGACTTCTATTATTTTGAGACAAGCACATTAATGGTTTCACTTTGAACATATTTTCTAGTCGATTCTACAATGGATACATTGATTTAATCAAAAAATTGTTTCTACAATTCGAAGAGCATTTGATTCTTGAGTACACTAAATAAATTGTTAATCTTACTTATCCATCAAAATATCAATTTTGTAATTGACTTCTATGAATTTATTGACACTCACTTGAAGAGACTCATAATCTGGATGAGATTACCAAGTGTGTTTGATCAAATCCTTAAGTAAAAGGACATATTTGGGCAATCTTTACACTGGTTTGATAAGATATGATTCTAGATTGCCTCCTTTAAAAATATCTGCTTCCTCCAATTCTAAAATAAAATCATTCAATTTTGGAATCTCATTTCTTAAAGTTGAAACAACTTCTATTGAGAAACCAGAAGTGTATTCAAAGTATATTTTAAAAAATTGGACATACTTATCAAATATCTTGCCAAAACAAGTATGCTAATTAAAATTGCTGAATCTTTCTAGTTTAATAAGCATGTGAAAATACCTGAGATTTCAAATAAAAATTGTTTATTCAGTAAATATATTTGTTTCAAATTTCTGAATAATTATTTAGATTAAGCTTCTGTCAAAATTCCTTATAATGGAATGTAGAAGTTCTAGATGATTAACTCCAAATCTTTCAGATATGTGAACTCGCTGTCTACTAACTCTTGAATTACGCATTTCCTATATCGAGCCCATTTCTTCCTTTTTTAGTACTTGATCTTGCAAGAATACATTCTATAATAAGATTAGATCACTATAATATATTTTCTTGGAATTAGATGAATGTTACATTGAACCCTCTGTCTTCTTATAGATTTCTGCTTAAAATAGATGATCTGGTGGTTTTACTTTCTTTACAAGTTTTTGTTTCTTTTGATCATTTTTAATCAAAGACAAGCTCCCTTCAAGCAATATTATTACACTTTCAATTGAGTCAGCTATTAATATATTTCCATTTTACTCTAATGCTTATAGACTTATCCTTTTTTCAAATACAGAAGTTAGATATACTTAGAGGCACTTTGCGTGAATGTATTCGTTTTTAAAACCTATTTGTAAAAGCTAAAGAAGGGGAGGCGATTAAGTTGTTACTCGTATTATGAAGCAAACTTTGGATTGTTCAGATTTTTTAGAATCATTATAATCGTTTCATATTAGTTTATTTCTGTCATGAAAATTAATGAAAATTTCACAATAGAAATCAAAAGGACTGGTAAAATAGAAGTAAACTATGATAAACAAATAATATAGCAATTAGCATAAAATGTAAATCTACAGGAATATGAAAAGCCCTCAAGGGTTGCAAAAATAAATCCAAAGGACAGTTCAAGCAATCTCAACTATTACATTCTAAACTATAAGTCAAGATGATGCACAAATTTATACTTATTTTTACAAATATCTCCCCGAATTAATTGATATATATAAATCTAGATAAAATAATCAATAATAAATTTATACTAAAAAACCCTCAAAATAATTTAGGATAGAGTAATCAAAAAAGAATCCTTTTCCAATAGTACTAAGCCTTATAGTAATAACTTTTAATTAGATTATTTATTTTATGTAAGGAAAAGATATAACTATAAATATTAATAATTTATTCTATTTAAAAATAAACTATGAATTACTAAAATTAATTAATAATCAATATTTGAAATCTGTTTATGATAAGAATTCTGATTGTGTTTATGTCAAATCATTTTGGCATAGTCTATAAATATATTTTAGAGCTATTTCTGTGTTAACAATATTTTGTTCAATTTAAATTGACATCAAAATTTTCGACAAATCATCAAGCAATCTAAATTTCAATAATTCCATCCTCTTTATTGTATAATAAATGCAACAATAAGCAATAGTGCTCTAATAAAATATTGTAGTGTCATAATATTATGTGACATATCTTAACAGATTTAGAGTGCATTTGTATATAGCCGATATTTTCATTTTCATCAAGGAATTCTTAATAATGTTTGAGCTCATTAGTTAGAAGTATCGAAACTCCAAGTCCCGCATGATGTAATCAAAGTTCTTAAAGTAATTTGGTAATTCTATTTGGTATTATAAGGATTTTAAGATTTGAAATTGGCATTTTGCAAGCTAATCTTCAGTCATAATTTCGCCACTTATTTGTACAAGTTATGAGGCAGTCAAACAATATATGTCTTTTTGCTTAGAGGCCAAACTCAAACAACTTATTCCAATGCTTAAGAGTTCTTAATTGCTTAGACTGTAGGGATACTGCTGAAGGAATTTATCGAAAATTGAGATGGCTAAAAAATAAGTCTCATTTGATGTGCTTTCAAAAGAGCCTAAAACTTAGCCCATCCAACATATTATTTTATTTCTTCCAAATTCACAAATTGAGTGATTTTTGAGAGACTCTTAGGTCTATGAGAATTAAGATTGTATTCATACATTGATGTGATCCAATTAGAGTGGATAAGATAAATGAAGATTATAATTTTGGAACCATTACATTTATTCATTGTTACAGTATTAGAATGGATTACGATCAGTTTAATACATGATTTCCAATTCAAAATCATCTAGGTAGATCCACTCGAATTTAAAGTTATGGATATCCATGTAATTCACAGACGGTTTTTTCTTGGGACTAGCAGGAATGGTTTTCTGAGAAACTTAAGACTTAGTCTTCAGATTATGAGATGAATTTTCAAGGTTTGTAATATCAGAGAATTACATGTTAATTAATTTAAATTATAAAATACTTCATCATTATAATTTCCCTTTCTTTTTACCATTAATTAACTCGTAGATTTCATCATTATAATATATTTCTAATAATTATTAAACTGATTTCTTTTTTCTAGTTAACACACTCATATCAGCTCCATTTTATTAAAACAGCTTAAATAATTATGGATTCTTATATTTGATGGCTAAATGAACAGGGTAGTACCCTTTATGATTTGGACTGTTCAGAATGTTTTAAGTTATTTCCTTTTGTTTGAATAAAGATTAGAGTTCCCCAACATCCCCCTCATCAATCAATTAAAAAAAATACTTTTAGAAATCACTAAGTTTTGATTCCTTATATCTATCCCTTAATTCTTACAAAGTTAANTCTGTGTTAACAATATTTTGTTCAATTTAAATTGACATCAAAATTTTCGACAAATCATCAAGCAATCTAAATTTCAATAATTCCATCCTCTTTATTGTATAATAAATGCAACAATAAGCAATAGTGCTCTAATAAAATATTGTAGTGTCATAATATTATGTGACATATCTTAACAGATTTAGAGTGCATTTGTATATAGCCGATATTTTCATTTTCATCAAGGAATTCTTAATAATGTTTGAGCTCATTAGTTAGAAGTATCGAAACTCCAAGTCCCGCATGATGTAATCAAAGTTCTTAAAGTAATTTGGTAATTCTATTTGGTATTATAAGGATTTTAAGATTTGAAATTGGCATTTTGCAAGCTAATCTTCAGTCATAATTTCGCCACTTATTTGTACAAGTTATGAGGCAGTCAAACAATATATGTCTTTTTGCTTAGAGGCCAAACTCAAACAACTTATTCCAATGCTTAAGAGTTCTTAATTGCTTAGACTGTAGGGATACTGCTGAAGGAATTTATCGAAAATTGAGATGGCTAAAAAATAAGTCTCATTTGATGTGCTTTCAAAAGAGCCTAAAACTTAGCCCATCCAACATATTATTTTATTTCTTCCAAATTCACAAATTGAGTGATTTTTGAGAGACTCTTAGGTCTATGAGAATTAAGATTGTATTCATACATTGATGTGATCCAATTAGAGTGGATAAGATAAATGAAGATTATAATTTTGGAACCATTACATTTATTCATTGTTACAGTATTAGAATGGATTACGATCAGTTTAATACATGATTTCCAATTCAAAATCATCTAGGTAGATCCACTCGAATTTAAAGTTATGGATATCCATGTAATTCACAGACGGTTTTTTCTTGGGACTAGCAGGAATGGTTTTCTGAGAAACTTAAGACTTAGTCTTCAGATTATGAGATGAATTTTCAAGGTTTGTAATATCAGAGAATTACATGTTAATTAATTTAAATTATAAAATACTTCATCATTATAATTTCCCTTTCTTTTTACCATTAATTAACTCGTAGATTTCATCATTATAATATATTTCTAATAATTATTAAACTGATTTCTTTTTTCTAGTTAACACACTCATATCAGCTCCATTTTATTAAAACAGCTTAAATAATTATGGATTCTTATATTTGATGGCTAAATGAACAGGGTAGTACCCTTTATGATTTGGACTGTTCAGAATGTTTTAAGTTATTTCCTTTTGTTTGAATAAAGATTAGAGTTCCCCAACATCCCCCTCATCAATCAATTAAAAAAAATACTTTTAGAAATCACTAAGTTTTGATTCCTTATATCTATCCCTTAATTCTTACAAAGTTAATTCAGAGTCGTGCAATCTTTAATTGACTACTTAATTAATTTGTTAGCCATCTCTTAAATTAGCTTGACTTGGTTTTCGCTTAATGGCAGGAAAGTAAATAAATTATTAGGGTTATTTAGACTTTTAATTGGTCCTTTAAAGATCTGATATGGATGGATCTACAAGATAGGTTCCATTAAAGACTTTACAGGTATTCAATTTAGATTTGAGCACGATTTTGCTATTTTGATTATTGTATTCGATACAGATGATCTTCCAATTAATTGAGTTCTTGATCTTCATGTGAATAATCAGGTTTTTTGAAATAGAGTGGTAATCCATTAGATTTGACTTTTGGTCTAAACTAAAGTGTATTAGAATAATGGAAATACTTTGGATAATATCTTGCCTGCATCTCCTTCTAATTTTTAGTTCTTGGCACTAAGAGATTTGTGCAGTACATCAAGTTCTTCATTCTTCAATTAACTTACATTTAGTAAATTCATTGAAACAATCCTTTGATCTATGTTGCCACTTTTTAGATATTCTTGCAAGGCTTTTTTGTGGATTTAATACATGAGGTTTTCTCCCACATGTAACTTGTTTTTAATTTAAGGAAGTGATGATGAGGATTATAGAGATGAATTACTCATTATTGTTTATATTAATGTTTATAATGATACATTTTTGATCATTTGCTTGGTACTAAACCTAAAAGGGATTTATAGTTTGTCAATTGATGAGGAAGTTCTGCAAGCAATTCCCTTTGTAAAATAGGTAAACTATGAGAAAAAGGAGCAAACGGAACAAATTAAACAACATTCCTTGTTAAAACTTCCTTTTGTAATTGTTTCTAATCTTGATCTAAGAATTCAAGCTTTTTGAAATCAAAATCTCCAACTCCTACCAAAATAATTGAAATTGGAACATTGGCACCTATTGCTATGAATGATTTCACATACATTAAGAAATAATTTCTGTAGTTTGATGTAAATCGTGTATTTATCCACATGTCAATATTAAGAGAACAGTGTAGATCTTTTTTTTAGCATTAAATTCAGCTATCTGCTTAGAGTAATTCAATAGTTCCCCTAGACAACCAGGTCCAGAGAACTGTAAATTTGGTAAGGTTTATTTGTATAAATTTATGAGTCCTTCCAAACCGTAGACTTCTGGTTTTTAAAAGTCTCCTGTTAATGGGAAACTAATTGTGTCATCATAATAAATACCATTGTTCAGTTTCATTAACATTGTAATTTGGCAAATGAGGAACAGCACCAAATCCATACATAGCCACTTTCTTATCAAAATCATAATTCAATAAGATTTATGCACATGCTCTAATGGCAGTTTCATATTGATTTCCATTTTAGGACTTGAAGGCATGCTATGAATCTGGGAAATTGGGATTACCATTCTAAGCTGTATAATCTACTCCTATGATTAAATTAATCTATTCTCCATCTCTCAAAAAGTCCATAAATGTAGGTCTCTTTGTGACTTTCTTCTCTTTCAAAATGATCTTACCTCCAGACTTATTGGCTTGATATTCCAAATTGAATTCACTTTTATTCTCATTGATTAATTCATGGATTGAAGTTTCAAACTGCCCCATGTATTGATTATTTGTACCCTTTTCATGAACATCCCAACATTCAACCTTGAACTTCTATTCCAACTTGCCTCCACATAATCTTCTAAAAGATATTTAAAATGGTTTCCATTCAGGATTTAAGTTATCCTTTATCATTTCTGTTTTATGAACGGGCAACCAATCATCTCCAACTTTTTTATAGAATTTAAGGAATGGATCACTCTTGCCAAAGAAGCCATCTGTACTAGATTATCAATATCGAATTGCTTACTTAATCAAATCTTTTCCTATCCAAGTCAACTACAAAAATTGATTATCCTCTGGCTGTTTGTCAATATTTACTATTAGAGTACCAACGGCCTTGCCTTTTCTATCCTTCAATTCAAATTCACACTTCATGTCTTTTGCTCCCACAATATCTGCTACTGTTGTCTCAACTTGTCCCATCTCAGTATCCTCAGATCCAGCTGATTAGTTCTTGTCCCAAACCTAAAACACAAGCTTCTAATTCAACTCAAAGATGTAATCGATGACAAAGCTCTTTTCCCAACAAGGATTCAGATTATTCTTCAAAAACTCAGTATCTCCTTCGCATTTTTCCTTTTCTCCTTAAATTGTATGTAAAAGTCGACAGAAAGGATCACTTTTTGAGAAAGTGTCCATATCTTTCAGATTTTTGGCTTTCACAAAGATCTCTAACTAATACCTCTCTTCTGGAATGCTTTTATTTTAATCCATCAATTATTTTTTTTATAATTATCAAATGAATATACTATGACCATTATTGATGTAGAAAGTTACCTAAATCAATGTAAATGATATCATAAACTATTATTATATAGATTTCTTTAAGGTTTTCAATAATTACCTATTAATTACTTTCATTTAGTTGCCACTTAAAAAAATAGAATAAACGAATATTTTAAACTATTTATCATTTTGGACAACACTACCCAGAATTAAATTTAACATATAGATTGTAGTAACAATTAGAGTCGGAAAATAAATATGATATAATAATAATATCTTTATTATTTTTATCATTTTTTAATTGAATTCCATGATTGAGGATGAAACTCTTTGGGTAATTTAAGGAGAGGCTTCTAAAAATTAGTTTTAATGGATGATTTCTAATGAGTAGCATTTGTTATTCTAGAAAATTAAGATTTAATTTTGGTATCTCGATCTTCCTCTGACAATTTTCCAAAGCTCCAATTTTGGTCAATTCTTGTCACCTTAGGTTAATTTAATTTTGAATGCAAAGGAACTTGAAATTCATTTGTTTGAGGAGTGGTTATTAATGGGAATCGAGTAGTAGGAGAATACAGTTCAGCAGATTTAGGAGGTTGCTATGGAGTATTATTTGATTTTGAGGGTGACTTATTATGCAAGAGTTTGGCTATAAGATTTGCCTTCCTCTTGTTTTCTTCAATTAAAGTCTTTTTTTTAAATTCAAGATAATGAATGGCTTCCACTTATTCTTTTGGAGACATCATTCTAGGACTAGAAATAAGAGTAGAATTAGTATAAGATTTCTTTAACTTTGCACCCTCCTCTCTGCTTGTATCAGGGATTTCTCTTTTTGGTTTGTCTTCTTGCATAGGATATTTTGTTAATTTATGTGGATTCATAAATTTAGTAAAAGAGTATTCTATAGTTGTGGATTAGAATCTGCTCTCCCAAGATGTCTAGTCATCGTGAATAAGTTCATTAATTTGACTGCCCTTTAAAGAATCTGAGGGAAGCTATGATTTCAGTTTCTTTGCTGACGTTGGTTGGGTGGCGATTTTTGGTTTCGTCTTCATTATCAAATATAAAAATTTATTTGAAATAAATACAAAACTAGACTCAATCCCTTGCATAATGATCTTTATTCAATTACAATTAATTACTGACCATATCAATAAGAGAGGCTAATTGGATAGACGATTAAATAATATTATCTATAGATCAATACTGAATTTATTTGATATTGTGTATAATACAAAAGTAATTTAGTTATAAATAATAAAAACAAAAATCATTGACTGAATTAAATTAGTTCTTCATATTGAGTTGATTTCTGACTGTTTTGAGAATGAAAGTGAACATAAACATATTTGGACATATGGATAGATTCACTTTTACTTTACACTTTGATTTCAGTAAAAATTGAATTTGCAGATTCTATTTCTTGAATTCCTTCGCTTTCAGATTCTGTAGATGATTTGCTACTATCCATTTAAATGAATTTCTCTGATTTAATTTTTGGGAAGTACTATTTCTTCACCTGCTTATAGAACTTCTTAAAATTCTCATCAGAACTATCAAATAATAGCCCATAAAGTGAAAATAAATCTACTAATTTCATCAATCCAATTTGACTCCTTAGATTTTTCAAGAACACTTTGTATTTAAATGTTTTTTGAATAGCTTTGGATATGCATTGATAGAGGAAATGCAATTATTAATTTTGGTTGATTTATGAAATCTCCCCATAATACACAATAAAAGCCACTATCTTATTGGACTCATAGACAGATTGTATTTCTACGCTGCAGTAGATATGTGATTATGCACAGTTCTTGATTCCCTGTCTCAACTATGATATCATTTCATGATACTCTAACTTAGGAGACAGGATTAGAATTAGATCGTGTGCCAAAGTCAGGTACTCTTAAATTATACTGAATATTGGAACATCGTGCAAGAATAGCAAATCTAAAAACATACATAGCTTATTTTACTCACAATGGCAGTGTCTTATTTAACTGTGATATCAGATTTAGCTACAAAGTGTATCTTGTTATGGCAATTCAAAATATCTATTCCCTTATTTATGATTGGCCTGTAGACTTGGGTTTCTTCAATGAAATATACTTGTTGACTAGAGGAAAGGTGTTTAAATAAAAAGCTTCCTGTCGGATCATGAGCAATCAATAGTTTGTCATTCTTGATTCTCCGATAAATCAACTCAGTAATGATATTGGGCACAAGCTATTTCACAAATTTGACTTCCTGTTGAGGAGTAATCTATTAAACTATGCATGGAATTTGAGTACTTCAAAATAAAATTTTATATCATAGAGAATCCTCATAATAAACGCTGTAAACGTATCTTTCAATTTAACGATGGATTATTAATTAACATTGCTCAATTTAACTAACAATCCATCTCCTTAGTGCATTAACACAGATTCTTCTGAATTAGTTTTTGATTCCTTTGTTTAATGATTTAAAATGCTACCTCAAATTTTTAACAAGGTGAATATACATTAACTTCAAATAATTATGACTTTTCTTAGTAATTCTTATCGTACTCACATAAAAAATCTGTGTATTCTTGACTGACTCTATTGGAGTCCTGAGCATTAAACAAACTATTTAGACTTCCATACTTCTCTAATCTCATATTTGATTAAAGGGAAGTTCCATGTGAATTTTATACACGTTCCTATTCATTTTTTTCATTTCTTATACCACACAGACAGAACATATAATAATTTTTTTATTTTTTAATAACAGATTATGAATGGTATTGAATAATCTTGCGATACACGATTAAATGAATATATAATCCTTCATTTCAAATATAAAGCCAAAATTTATGATGCTTTAATTTCCATCAAGGATTGCCTTTAATTAATAAATATATAGGATTGTAATTTAACCATCCCAAGTCGTTGTCTTGCCTCTCGTATGGAAATTGATTGGCTTTTTTCATTCCATAGAATTAGAAGCTGAAGGTAGGATATCGAGAAGGAAAATATAAAAATTAATCTATAAAATCATTTGTCAAAATTCAGCCTTGTCATAGAAAATTTCAATTAAAAATTTTTTAATTGTGGAGAATGGTTTAAATAATTATACCAGATTTCTATGTCTAATATAATTATGACGATAATAAAATTGCCATTTGATTTAACTATCAAATAAAATTCGATAAAATGAAATAGAAAGAATAATGGCAAAGTAACAAAATTTAATCTATAATATTATTAAAGAATCCTAGTATATAAAAATAGCTTATTCTGGAGTTAATTTAAATTTATAAAAAATTAACTGAAAACTATTAACTAGAATACAGAATACATCTCCATAAGTATGCTGAGAAATTTATAAAGGGTTAAATAAAAAGAAAGGATTTTAAAATATTTCCTATATAATTTAAGAGAAATTTGAAATATTGATAAGCACTAAAGTATCATTTCAATTATTTATCCTTTTTCAAAGCTAAACTGATATAAATTCAATTGATTTCATAAATTGGTAGAAAGATTAGATCATTTTGAATCTGAGATTTACCACCTTTGAAATCCCTCAAACATGATTACAAAAGTCAAAAGTATTATTATCGGAGTAGCATTGATTTCGAAGATACTACATAATTTGATTATTACAACATTTGAATAACAAATTTGATTATAATATTACAATTTATTGAATCTGAGAGACCTAAATTGAAGATAAAATATTATACAAGTAATTATTTTACTTAAAGGAAACTTATTCTTTGAATTCCTCTACTATATGTACTCATAAGTGAATGATAAAATGTCAATAGATGTTAATAATTGTTTCATATCTGTTGCATTTCATTTTTTATATGTACTAAAGTATAAATTGTAAATTAAAATGACAATGACAAAAAGGAAGGAGGAATGTTTTGAAAAATCTCAATAAAGACTAAATTCAATTGAAAGATACAGTGGAAGACTCTCTGGATTGAAATAAGAAGTAAAAATTCAAATTTAAATATTTGTGAGTTTTTGATCTTTATATTTAATATGTTCAAATTTAGCTTTTTGTGTCTGAACTCTTAAGTGGCTTGAGCAGAATAAAGAATTAATAAGAGACTTGAATCATTGGATGGATTAGGTATAGGAATTAATGATGTTATTAAAAAAATTTACTCTCGAAAAACAAAATTTAAAATCTTTTAAATATGGGCAAGAGAATTAGAGCATAGAGAAAAGGAAAGTCCAACAGTGTCTTCAAGGCTCATCAAAACTAAAGGGTTGGTAGCCCATAATACAGACATCTTGATTATGCTGAGAGACACGGCTATGTCAGAGGTGTGATTTCAGAAATCATCCATGACCCAGGAAGAGGTGCTCCATTGGCAAAGGTTGAATTCAACGATCCATACAAATACAAGAAGGTCACCAAACTCTTCATTGCTCCTGAAGGATCATACACTGGCTAATACATTTATTGCGGAGCAAAAGGTAACATTAATATTTTGAATCCTAGCTTAATTGGCAACAGGAAATGTTCTCCCCATTGGATAAATCCCAGAGGGTACAGTAGTTTGCAATTTGGAGGAACACCCAGGAGATAAAGGAGCATTGGGAAGAGCAACTGGTTGTTATGCCACCATTATTGGTCATTCTGATGATGGAACAACCACAAGAGTTAGATTACCATCTGGTACCAGAAAAACACTCAGTGCTCTCTGCAGAGCTACAGTAGGTAAATTGTTTGAGTTTATTTTAGGATTGATTGCTGGAGGAGGAAGAACTGAAAAGCCAATTCTCAAGGCAGGTAGACAATTCCATAAATACAGAAGACTCAGAAAATGCTGGCCAAAGGTTAGAGGTGTAGCAATGAATCCAGTCGACCATCCTCATGGTGGTGGTAACTAATAACATATTGGTCATCCATCAACTCTTTCCAGATATGCCCCACCAGGACAAAAGGTTGGTTTGGTTGCTGCCAGAAGATCAGGTCTTCTTAGAGGTGGTGCTTAACTCAAACAAATGGACGAAGATTTAGCAGCATAATAAGCAAAAAAATGAGATTTATTATCTATAATAGTACAATAAAATTAAGGATTTATAATAAATTTGATCCTCTATAATATTCATACTGGATCATAATCTAATCTCAAATATTGGTTTTATCTTTGAATACTACCTAAGATTCATTTGATTGTTGTGTGGTCATCAAAAATTGAATGAGTTTTAACATGGAGAGAAAATAATTTAGTAAAATAGATTACAATATATTATAATTGTGTGATTTGAATTAAAAAGAAGTTTAACATCCACTAACTTCTAATTACCCTAAACTAAGATCAATCTTAATTGATTTTAAATTCAAGTCCTTTATGAAATAAGTTAAACTTGTTTTATTAAGGTTTAGTCGATTTTGATTTGAATTAAAGCGATTCTAATTTGAAATTAAACAATATAGTTGTTTCCATAACCTTAGCTATTCGATAAGATATCAATTCAGAGAATTCCAAATCAAATTTTTCAAAAAGTCTAAAGAAAAATTAATGAAGAAAATAATGTGAATTAATTAATCTTTATGATTTATGGCCTTACTAAAATATAAAGATAGTTTTTACAATTTAAATTGAACAAATTAAAATCTGTTTTGTTGATACAATTAATTAATATAGTGAGGAATATAAAAGGAAATAGAAAGAACTTAATTTTATTCTATCATATATCGATTAATATCTGAGTAGGAAAAGAGATTTTGGAAATCCTCAGACAAGTGAAAAATTTGTTAAAAAGATGTTCAATAATTATTATCAGCATTTATAGAAGTATTTTCCAATAATCTATGAAAAAGGTTTAAGATTTACGATCTCAAAATTCCTAAGAATTATGATCAAGGAACTCAATAGAAAAAGTTAAAAAACTCATAATAAGAGCTTGAAATATCAAATTTCAAGATCTAAGGTTAAGAGATGAACCACATAATGTAAGAATAAATTAATTAGTACATTTCTGAGTATTTAACTAAGTCAAAATTTATTACTATAAAACTTACTTTCTTTCATTAATGATAATTATGCAGCCTTTCCTGTATGAAAGTTTAGTTAATAATCACTTTTTTTGATTTGAAAGTGTACTTTAGAAGAACGATGAGAATGAACAAAGGGATTGGTTGATTAGATGAAAGTATATCAGACATAGATAGATTTAGAGATCAAAGAAATGAGTCTCTTTATTGATGATTAATTCAATGATAATATAGAAATTTTCTAGACAGACCTTTTATTATTATTTAAAATTTATGATGAAGTTTTGAGTTGCTACATATATTAAGACGTAATTGGATTAAAAGAATTATTCATAAATTGATCATATTTCTATTACAATCTTGATATATTGAATTATATTTCATTTCCTAATACATAAATTTTTTATTTCTGTATCAATTATCAAAATGATACCTCAAAATGACAGTGAATAGCCCCTAATTACATCAGCTTAGTACTAGAACGAAATATTACAAAACTAATCTTCCTAACGTCTTTAATATAGTATGAATCAATCTTTTCAACCTTTTGTTGAAAATGTAGATAGCAAGGAACCATTAGTCACCAATATAGCTGTAAAAAAATGAGTTATTTAATTAGGATATTGATCATCCAGATAAAATCATACATTTGTTGCAATAAACCTTCTAAAGTGGATAAATCTACATAGATTAAGGATACTAAAATTTGATATCTCTCAACCCTTTTGAAGTTACCTAGCATTTGAGCGACTAGTCAATACAAAATCATAAGAAGGAATACCTGAAACTGAGTAAGAATATTTATTAAATTGAATAGGTTATTCACAATTAAGTTTGTCTAAACCTCATCTCTATAAATTGGCAGAACAAGCTAAATAAGCTTGCTTTTCTCCAACAAATATACACAACACCTGTTCTATTCTGACCTAGGGAATTAGTGGATCTGGTAAGACAGTGTCTGCTAAGGGTATATTGGATTACGTAGCAGCCCTTTCTACCAGTGGATTGTTTACATCTACAACTCTAAACAAAGTTGAAATTGAAAAAAGGGTTATTGCCGCCGATGTTATTTTTGAGGCTTTTGGAAATGCAAAAACAATAAAAAACTCAAATTCTTCTAGATTTGGAAAGGTTGTTTCAATTCAATTTGAGAAGAGCAAAAAATTAAGCAGCGCTAAAATAGTAACAACTCTTTTTGAAAGGACAAGATTAACACAAAAAGGATTTAAGGATAGAAATTTTCATATCTTTTACGAATTATATACAGCATATCATAAAACTGAGGATATAAGTACTTAATAAAATTATCACACTAGAAACCTTTGCAAATGAGCATGAGGAAGATATTGAATTTAAATATGATCTTGATTAATTGATAAATGAAATAGAAAAATTAGCACTTGATACTGAGTTTATGCTTCTCGGAACTCAAAATTAATTTGTGTCCAGTCAGGATAATTAATCAAATAAGTTAGATGAAGATTAAGCACAAGCGAATGAAGATTTTGGCAAGTTTATGAGACTCTTGTAGGCTTTTGGCGATCTTGATTTTACCCTGGAAGAAGTGGTTAACATATTTTAATGCATTGCTGGCCTTATTCATTTGAAAGAAGATAACTATGAAAAAGCTGAAGAATTATTGAAGATACCAAATATAAAGCAGATCATAGATAAAAATATTGAAACTCGTTCAAGTAGGAAATTTTAGGCAGAATCGATCATCAATGGAATTATTATGGATTTCTACTATAAACTATTCATGTGGATCTAAAATAGGGTGAATAGCAATATCTCTCAAGATTTCGATGCCAATAAGAAATTTGTTTTAAACATCTTCGATAGTTTTGGATTTGAAATATTTGAGAATTAAGATAAAGTTTAATAAAATCAATTCGAATAGTTGTTGCTAAACTATATAAATGAAAAGTTATAGAACTTGTTTTATTAATAGATTGTTGAAAATGCACAAAGTAATTATATATTATTACGTCAATAGAGAAATTCCAATCTGAAGATATAAATATACTCCCAATAGATTTTCAAAAAAATGATAGAATTGTCTTAGCAATAGAGGATGTGATGTTCAAAAGCCTAAAGGATAGTATCCTATTGTAGAGAGGTACGGAGAATTATAAGGATACAGTAAAAAAAAATATTCAAGAAAAAGGTTTTTAAGATATTTTGATTGACGAAAGCTAATTGAAAAAAAAACAAGGATCATTAACATAAAGTTAGATTACACACAAATTTTAATAAAATATTATAGGTATCAGACATACCGGAGGAGAAATCTATTATTAACTTGATGGTTTCCTTTCAAGCAATAAGTATATGGTAAGTTAGGAGATATAGAATCTCAATCAATTGAGTTAAAATTAAATTATTAAGGCATTCACTCAATAATCTTAAAGCCAAACAGTGGTGGATACCACTTAAAAAGAGATTAATGATATAATTCAAATGTTTAAGAAGTCTGAAACTTGGTTTGTTAAATGCATCTAAACAAATTATCAATATAACCCAAAAGAATTTAATGAAGGTTAAGTGAAAGAACAGCTGAGTTTTAGTGGAATAGATCTGTGTGCTAATATGTTATTCTCGACATATTTCTTAAGTATACCGAAGGAAGAATTCTTTAATACTTATTTAAAACTCAATCCTCAAAGTTAAAGTTTGGGTCATTTGGTAGATTTTATAAATGCCAAAATAAAACAATCAAAAGATTAGACCGCCATTTAACCCTTGCTGATCGGGTCCAATAATATACTGATAAAGGAGTTGGTGAAGAGAAGACTCGATTCAGAGTTATAATAGATTTTAAGTAGGGAACAGCAGTAACAATATAACGCACCCTCAAGTTTGCGCGATGAATTAATTGAAACTCTATAAGCACAACTTTAAAGTTAAGCTTCGGAAATCCATAGTGCTCTTAATAGGAAAGATGAAATAATTTAAGGGCTGAATCAGAAAATTCTGGAGTTATAATAATAGAATAACGACTTGATTAAGTAGAGTTAGGCGATCTTTAAATTTATCAATGAGGCGGAAAAAAAGTTTAATTAACTTCAGATAAATAATAACTAATCACAATTACATTAGCCTCTTTAGAGCCAATAAGAATAGGGAAGCTTAGAAGGTAGGTAAAGTATATAATTTGGATAAATAAATTGATGAAATTATCTATAATTATATCAAAAAATATATATATATAAAATTTTATGTCATTTTAATAATATTTAAGATAATATAATGATTAGGTCCAAGAATTCTTATAAAATTCTCATTCATTTAAATATCCAAGCAAACTATTTGTTGCGGATTTATTACCAAAATCAATTAGCTTTTATGATTAATATATTTAAATGCACTCATTTTACAAATTAGCATTCCAGACACTTTCGAATTTCCACTCTATGGGATTAATAAGTGATGAGGAGAAGTCATACCTCAAAGACATGATAATTAATTGGGCTAATCCTTAACTCAATACTTCTTAGGATTAGATGTCAGTTTTACTTCTTCGAAATATCTTGGTTCTTAGAAACTAAGTCAAACAAGTATGTTAGATGAAGAAAGTTCTGTGGTTGATTGAGGAAGAAACTGATGAAGATGAGAACTTTTGATTATATATAACTACTTCTTTCTCTTTTTTATGCTAAAAACATCTATCTTTAAATTCAATGACAGTAAGTATATGTCGTCAAAGGCATTATTTATTGTTGAATTCTAACCAGAATATACTTTCTATATGTTATGTATTGTAATTATATCAAAGGGAGAATTCCATTTTATTCCTATATTTGAGCAATCCGACATTAAGATTTTATGTGTTAAATCTTTGAGTCAAAAAAAAATACTTGAATACTGATTCCCTACTCAACATAATCAGAACAAGGCAGCAAGCCCAATTCAATTGAATGTAGTGTGTTTAATTATGGAAAATTTAGATTATATTTTCAATGATTATTCCTATATATCTAGGTAAAAATTTACAAATTTTTTGAATATTTTAACAACGCTTTATTCATAAAATTAGAAATATAAAATGAATATAGAAAATAAAAATTTAGAGTCTAAGGGGGATAAATAAAGATGAAATTAATTTTTGATGCTCCATCACTATGAACAATTTGATTTAACTGTGAGAATATTAATTTGGATAGATTTACAAGAGATTTTAAGTTGAATCTAGGATATTCTATGCAGTCAGGACAGTACTTAACAGTTTTATCATACTTTTATAGACAATTCAATCATAGATACATTTATTGGAGATCATTTGTTTTAATGGATGATTTGTTACAAATAGAGTTATAGAAGATTATAAATTAATAATATGTAATATAATAGATTAGGAAATACAGGATTGCTTGTATCTTGTTTGGGGTTTGGGAACATGATTAACTTCTAGCCAGAGGACGAAGAAGTGAATATAGCAATAATCAAAAGGGCGTTTGAGGCTGGGATCAACTTTTTTGATACTGCAGAATTGTATGAGTTGTGATGAGTATGATAGCTATCAACATGGCGAAGCAGAGAGGTAGTTAGGTAGATCAATAAAAAAGCTGAATTTACCAAGGGAGAGATTGGTGATCACAACAAAGGTGTTCATTAATCAGACACCAGGAGGTAATTGATGAGTTAGGAATTGTTTAGGATTGAATGTTAATAGAATGTGCACTTTGAACAGGAAACATGTTATTGAAGCAGTGAATACAAGTTTACAAAATTTGTAATTGGATTATGTGGATGTTGTATTTGCACATTAATTTGATACAGACACACCAACAGATGAGATTGTTAGGGGATTTAATCAATTGATAGAAGATGGCAAGGCTTTCTATTGGGCAACAAGCAATTGGAATTCAGCTTAGATTTAGGAAGCAATTAATTATGCTGATTTACACGGACTTATAAGACCAATAGCAGAATAAGGAGAATATCATATGTTACAGAGGAAACAATTTGAATTTGATTTGGTAGGTTTGTATGAGAGATACAATTATGGTACAACTATTTACAGTCCTCTGTGTGGGGGATTCTTGACAGGAAAATACTTGGATGGAATACCAGAGGATAGTAGATGTGCTAAGGATAATGGATGGATGACTAAGGAGAGAGCTTAGAACAGGTGGTTATTGAAATATAGTAAGGATAAATATAATGAATAGTCAAGAATCCTAAGAATGTGGAAGGAGTCAAGAAGATAGTGGAGTTGGCTAAGGAGTTGAATGTGACACCAGCCCAATTGGTGCTGGCTTGGACAATGAGAAATAAGGACATCAATGTGGCCATAACAGGTGCACGAACAGTAGCACAATTGGAGGAGTCTTTGGGGAGTGTTGAGTTGTTGAAGAGATTTGACGAGAAATTAGATGAGAGATTGGAGTTGATTTTTGAGAACACTCCGAAATAGGACTTGAATTATAGAACTTTTTAATAAAATAGAAGGAGAAGATGAGAGATGATGATTTAGAATCTAAAATATCATATGATTATTCATATTTAATATTTGGCTGGAGAGATTCGTTTTTTGTTTTAATTATATTAATGAAATCAACCTTAGTTGTTTTACTCATAGTAGTGGCCTCTGCTTCGACAGTTGCAGACATCACATAGAGATTATCCAATTATGCTGATCATCCCTTTGGATCTTCAATGATCAATTTGGTGAGTGTCAACATGAAGACAGGGGGATCTCTCAATGAACTCAAACAACTGTTATAGTAAATTAAGGATGAATTAATTGCACTCACCTAATTGTAAGACCAAGAGAGTGCAACCTTTACCAGAAGATCATAAGTTGATTTAGCCAAACTTCAAGCCACTTTGGAATAAGCACAATCAGACCTTGATAATTAGAGACAAGAATAAGCCAGTCTCACCAATGAATTAACTACACTCTAAACTAGAGTTAAAGAAGATTAAGCTGCATTAGACAGAAATAGCAGAGGCTCCAATGATGCTTAAGCTAGATTAGATTCAGAAAATGCAGATTTCGGTACAAAATTCTAAGATTACAGTGATGCCATATTAGCATGCAAAGAAGCTTAGAGATTGTTATTAAATTTAAGAGGAGAAGGAGCTTCCCTTATTTAATTGACGTAATTATTATGATTATCAACTTAGACAAGACACCAAATCTAATTTAATTTAAACCAAAGAGAACTTCCAGAAAATCAAGGAGATTCTTGAAGCTCACACCAAGAAGAGTTCTCTCACCTTGTTTTAACCCATCATTGAAGGATTAGCAGAAATGACTACCAAGGTTAATCCTGAGACTTTGAACAATGTTCTTAGTCTTGTTGCTAGATTGATTACTGCATTACAGGAAGGCTAAGATCAATTGGAATCCAATCACAAGACTCAAGTCGATAATCTCAGTAGATTGGGGGACGACCTGAGAAATGAAAAGCAAACCTTACAGGTGTCTTTGGCCACTGCCAATAATAGATTGAAGGAGATTTAATCAAGATTAAATGAATTGGATGGATTGATTAATATTTCAAATGCCATCGTTGAGGTGACTTAACTCAACATTCAAGATGCCACCAGAATCAATGAATTAGAAGATCAAGAATATAGCAATCAAAAAGTTAGCAGGTATCATGTTATATTAAATAACTAGATAAACTGAGATTGACATCGTTGATAGATTAATAGAATATATTAACCAAAAACTATCGGAATGATTTATACATATAATATGCATTATATTTATTTAAATAGGATATTATTAAGTTATCATTAGCTTGCATATTGTACTAAATAAAATAAATAATAGAAAATGTATAACTATCAATAATAAACAGGTCCTGGAAGATTGATTTTCAACAACCTAAAACCTTTGGCTGCTGTTAAATATTTGAATCAAAACAGTCTTAAGTCCATCATCTATCCCTTGAGGAAACCTAAACCCCCTGTCCCTACTAATACCATGTTCAGGAATCTACCCTCAAAGGGAGATTTATTTTACGATCCAATCAATCATGAGGGAGGTCAACCTTTGTGCACTATGTCAATGTCAGATTACAAGGAAGATGGAACATGTCCAAATTGCAATAAAAAATGTACTTGTTATTATGCATTAACAAGACCCCATTAACTAATGGTATTACGATCTCTCACTTTCGATGGTAATCCTGTAATTTAGGAACAACCAAAACAAAAAGGATATCATAGAATGTGTCAAGTTTTACGATGATGGAGAATATGAAATACTATATAATGATTATTAGGAAGCACAAGAGACGGACCAATACTTAAACAACGACCCTATTATAGATGAGTTGATTGGAGTCCAAAAGGAAATCTTGCAAAAAGTTGGAAACAATCAAAATGTCATTCTAGAACAAAGTCCAGATCTGATCGAGAATTTCACCAAAATCATAGAGAGTGCCTTATAATAATGATAGATATATATCAAAAAAGATCAAATAAATTAATCAAACCTCTTTCTTCTCCGAACTTCCAATTCTGTAATATCTTGCTTATGTATTTGATTCAAAGACTTGTCTGCCTATTCTTCGTCCTCCTTCATTTGATTCCATTCGGATTTCTGATCGAAAGTCAACTTAATTTCAAAGGTTTCCACATTCTGGATGATTTCTTTCTGTTTCTGAAGTGAAATATATTCATAATCAGCCACCAATCTCAAATTATATTTTAATAATTTAATCGACAGCCAAACATATCCTTAATTGCATAGAGCCAAATACTCCAATTTACTGTTCTTTACTCTCTTGCCAACTATCCTCTGAATTTCCAATTTCTACATCCTTAAAATAATTTGTCTAATCAACCAATTATATATCGATTCGCTCTTCATTGAATAATGCTTGTGAATATTTATACCCCTTGCTCGATTTTGAGATATATCCTTTCACTCCTTAACAATTATTTAATATAAATAAAAATAGATATGCCAACTTGGTTTGAATTATTATCTCCTTTTTTAATCGGAGGTATATCAGGATGCACAGCCACAACCTTCGTCCAACCAATGGATACTGTGAAAGTCCGTATTCAAGTCCGAAGCGAACTCAAAGGACAGGGCCAGAGCATCAATGTCAGCACAATTGACATCGTAAAAGACATCATCAAAACTGAAGGACCATTCGGATTCTACAAAGGGTTAATTATAATAGTATATCATTAGAATTGGAGCTGCCTTGTTGAGACAAGTCACCTATGCCACAACTCGTTTGGGATTATATAGAGCCATCGATGATCATTACAAAAGAACACATGGCAGAAGCATGATCTTCTGGGAAAGATGTTTAGCATCCTCATTTTCTGGCTTCGTTGGATCCATTGTTGGAAATCCAGCAGATTTGTGTTTGGTTAGATTTCAAGCTGACACCCTCTTACCAGAAGCCCAAAGAAGAAATTATAAAAATGTTTTTGACGCTCTCTATAGGATTGTTAGTGAGGAGGGACTCATCACTCTCTGGAGAGGATCATTGCCAACAGTCATCAGAGCCATTGCTATGAACTTAAGTAATCCAACAATTTATTTTATTTTAGGCATGCTAACAACCTACGATCAGATCAAAGACATCATCGTGTCTCTCCATGGCAAAGGAAAGGAAGACTACATGGACAAATTACTGTATCTAATTTCCCGTAATCACATAGATCCTCTGCTGCAGCTGGTATCGGATGTGCCATTGCCTCTTTGCCTCCTGACAATCTCAAAACCAAACTTTAAAGAATGAAGAAAGATCCCACCACTGGACAATTCCCTTACAAAAACATAGGAGACTGCTTCTTGAAGGTAAAGCCAATCTTAAATTCTAGACTATCTAAAGAGAAGGTGTTACTGGGTTATGGGTTGGATTGCCAGTCTTTTACACAAGAGTCGGGCCTCACGCTATGATTACTCTGTTAGTCTAAGATACATTGACTTAAATGTGGAATCCTCCAAAGAAGAAAAATTGATATTAATCTAACAATTATCACATTAGATCACAATTCTTAACCAAACATACTCATAAACTAAACAATCATTGATCTTCTTTAACTATGGCTTCTTCCTCCTCGATCTCCCCCAAATGCTTTATTTCAAGTTTATTTAATTTGTTCCGAATATAAAGTAAGGATGAAGATACTACAATAAATACAACAAACCCCAAAGATACCATTATCAAAAGTAACTTAGTCTAATTAATAAATTATAATTCTATTACTTATCCAGATCTATTATAAATATTTGCTTGAAAACTAACCCATTTCCCAAAGTCATTCGAGGCATTGAATGTTATATTTTGTGTTTGAAATTCCTTGTCTTTAACTTTTATTGCCAAATATCTAGAAAGAGTCAAAGAACTTAACAAAGGCCCATCTTATAAAATGATACCATATGAAAACTCATCATTCATCCTCTTAAAATGTAGAAAATCAAATAGTCTTAAAAATATACAGATAATTACATTTGATTATTCGAAAATAACTTGAATCCCCCTAGTATCTTTCTCAGCTTTTCCTTACCTTTACTAAATCTATCATACACGACCAATAGTTTCTATTTTTCATCTAATGGATTTTAGTATATCAGCCCAAAGAATCCCTGTGACTCCTCAGAGACCCTGATCTTCCCATTAGCGTAGAAGTATCCATATTGCATGTAAGCTCTAATGAATTCTAAATTAATAAGAGTGTCCTTGTTCTAATACTCGATTGTTATTTCTAATTCATAGTGATGAAAATTCTGATTGGCCACAATGATCCTGTAAAATTGCTTCTACTCCTTTTGTCCTGCCTCAGCTACTATCAATGATTATGGTACTATGTTGGAGGGTATGTCCGTGAATCCCAGTTCATAGAAATAGGATATCAGATCAGATGTATAAGCATCATCCTAAGGATAGGTGTATATGATAAATTCTATGATAATTTATATAGGTTTTACATGAGGAATTTGTCAGCAAAAACAACAGATAAGTATTGTCATTATATGCTACATCAAAACTAACAAAGACCTAACCTTTATCAGCTGTGAATTCTCTCGCATTGAGTGAATTTATGACTCTCAAATTATCTGTCTGATAATCCTCAATAGTTAGATTGAACATGTAAACATATTCAGTAACAACATCCAAAATAAACAGTATTTCATGCAACATTCTTATATGAGTGATTTGATTTATTACTAACGGAGAATAGAAAGGACCCATGGCAACAGGCAGTGAACCTATGAATGAAGTAATGTAAAACTGAGCTGAGGATGTCGTATTGCATACGGAAACTACTAATTTTGTTTTGGTTTCTTAAGTATTGCCAGTGATGGAAGTGCATTTAGTCGATTTTTCAGGCAGAGGCAATGGGATATAAAATTTGACCATACCAAAATTATCAATGGCGATAATACTCTATTCTTGCTATATTAAGACATAATCATAGGTGTGTTTAATTTGAGTAGTATTGGGAATTTATGTTAGATATTGGTCGTAATTGATGTTATTGATAAGTTCTAGTTCCTTTTTACAAGAGAAACATTTGATGGACCATTCACTCACGCTTCCATCAATGTAATCATTGTACCCATCCAATTAGATGAAATTTTGAGCCAAATCCTCGTAGATTATAGTCTAGGTTTCGTTGATTAACAATGAAAGATTGTATTGCTTTTCTGCAGTTTTCACATTGACATTTACATCCATTAACTTTGCATAACTCGTAAAGCCCTAGAAGAGCACTTTAATTATGTTTGATTACGATGATTTGAATTGCAAAATGACTGAACTATACAATTTTTATGCTTCGAACAATTGCACCAAAAATATTTCATCGTCCTAATTTTATATAATGCTAAAATCAAGATGGTTAGTTTTAAAGAAGTAAGTATGAAAGGAAGCAATCTAAGGTTCATCCACTTTATAGACGATAATAACATCGGAGTAATTGGAATCTTTTGCTTATAAATAAAAATAATTTTGAGAAAATGCTACTTATGAATTTGTTGTGTTTGTGATCGTGAAATCATATTTAGGTAATGCTTTTTCGTTATAATAGAAATTTTATTAGACTAAATTGATAATCATGATCTAGTTGTACTATAAAGTTATGATACGATTTCTGATCACTTACAAGACGGTGTCAAATTATTAATTAAATTTTACGAACGCAATTAATTGGATTTGCTGAAATCTCTTCAAACCTGGGTCTATAATGATTAAACCTAAATTAGTCGAAATGTAGAGGTTGTAAATGTTGATATTGGTTTTAACATTGAATATGTTGATAGATCTGCTACTATTTACAAGATCCTCTAATTCAAGAGAAGTGACCTCAAACACCTTCTCTAGACTACAAGTCACAGATGATTTAAACACCGGCAAGAATACCTAGATTAAATGAATTCATACCTGAATCTTATTATTCTCCAATTCTACTAAGTATTTCTCCAAGTGCAATTTGATGGTCTAGATATTGTATTGGGACTCAATGAAACAATTGGTTGCTATAAATCTCCCATTGTTCTCAATGTAGAGATCTGCTCTCTTTTCCTACTTTATAACAAAGCATTCAGTGGAGCATGTCAATCCTGTGACAATTTGCAAGATTGGATTTAAATATTTGATGTTTTGTCTGTAGTTGCAATTGATGTCTTTATCGCTTTCATAGATGATGCAATTGAAGATTTGAAGAGTTAAGTCTTTCCATTAGATAATTTGAATATACTGATTCTCAGCAGCAATTCTGAAGGCTCGATTAAAAATAATAGAAGTGATTTCCATCGTTTAGGCATAGGAGATCCTAAAGTTTTCTTTGAATTTGATCCTCTCAAAATCATCCTCATTGGATTTCCTGCTAGTCTCCACAGATGATGTATTATAGAGGTAATAGTCTACATTAGGACCAATCACATAGTTGTTCAGGTATAAATTATTGATACTTTTATTTAATACAATTACGGAAGCTTCGAGTTCCTATTTGTCATAAATATCCTAGCTTCCCTCTTCCAGTTTATTTATATAGAATGTGAAATTGCATAAGGATTCCATCTCCAAAGAAGGGAATGAGGCTTGAATCTCAATGATATCACCAAAACATTAACCATCGTCTATAGTTATATATGAAACCTGTGGGGTTATGATGAAGATGGACTTGTTGTTGATTGCAAAGACGTGATCTAAATTAATAATTCATCATACTGTTTAGACTATCGAAATAGAAGAGCTCATTTTAGGATGTGATTTCAATAGTTTTATATAGATTGGATGTTTAATCATCCATCTGAGAGTAGATATCCAGAAAATACTTCTTGGTGTTATTGTTTTTGGTTCCTATTATGAAACTGTATTTATCATTGTGGAATATTTTAGAAAAGGTCATGTTCTTCTACAACTTGTACATCTGGATGATTTTGTAGGTTTAATCATCAAACAAGTTGACTTTAAAGATGTCCAAGGTAATGGTAGAACCCAAGAGTACACTATGATATCCATTTTGCTCTATGTACACACTGAAGACATCGAAGATATCATTCATACTCCAACAGTATTGATTGATGTAATTCTTGATTAAACACAAGCCGAGTTCTTTTGATAGGAAGTAGAGAGCAGAGTTGTAAATGAGGAAATCGAATAGATTTAAGGATTCGATTTAATAGACTTGTTTGTCAATTCTTGTGGAAACAATCAGTTCTTTGGATGTAATGTTTATGGTGTATATGTCGATTCGACTGTCATTCAGAACATTGATCATTTTGTAAAAACTCACTAGGTCCTCGTTGATATAATTTATAATTCCTGCTCTATGAATTATGATGTCAATTACTAGATTGGACCCAAATCATTTGTTTGTAGAAAATGGATTTAAGTTTACTGCGAAGTTGCATTAATCAGAAAGATGTTTGATTGCTGTCTGGTTTTGTGATTACATTCGACCAAGCCCATATTCAATCTCATGCAGAGGACATTGTTGCACACCATGTTCTACATGATAAGTCAATATTTATACTGAATCGATTTTGAAGGAGGTATTGTAGATGGAGGTTGAAAGAGTATCGCTGATATTATAAAATTATATTGTGGCTTGTTACTTTATTACATGCATTTCCACCATCTGTCCTAGTTCTAGAATAATACTAATAAATTTCATTTTATTACAAACTCCACTCTTAGGGTCATAGCATAAACTATATTCTGAGTACTCTGACGGCACTTAGTTAAATAAGCTGATATTGTTATAACGTATCTTATTCTCCAGGCAATCATTAGAGGATGAATATTGAAGTTGCTTACCGTATATGTAATTTTACAAATCTAATTTTAAAGTTTCTCCAGGAGATAAATATATCGTCTAATCCTTATACTTCTAGTAGCACTAGCAATATATTTCATGGAAGAGAAAGTAGATAATCAAATACATAAAGGTTGCCGATGTAGGAGCTTTTTAAAATTTAATAATATAATGACATATAATTTAGATAAATTAATTACATACAAATTAAGTAAGCTACGTATCCATTTATAAAATATCTAAATAAATAATAAATTCAATCATTCTTCTTTTATAGATTTAATGTATGCAACCAAGTTCATTAAGATTTCTTTTGTTTGCATTTTTTTTTTGTTATTATCATTTAATTTTATCAATTCATTGTATACCTTAATGAAATTCTAATTCGCATAAACATCCAATAATTAAGCCTTCAATTATTCTCTGCTATCATAAATAAGTTTAGCCTATTTCTTGATTAATCTAGGCCAATTAAGTTCATATTTCTTACCATTGTTACTCACCTTAATAGGGTATTGTCTCGCAATAATGTGATCTAGATTCTCATCGGGATCTTCCCTATTCCAAACAACCCCATGTTTTTCCTTCATGTGTTTTTTGAATTTGGGATCCACCACCAATTCCCTCATCTCAGTAATTCTATATCCAACCTTCAAATTATAGAGATCCATTTTCAATGTTTTGAGCAATAATGGGAATGGCTTTTTCCTATGAACCAAGTCGGTCACAAATGTCTTGAATAAGGGATTCATACTCCTTTCCGTTACTCCATATGTGCGTCTTTCTAATGATTGCTCATCCACATCATACCCCTTCTCCATTATGTTCATCTTCTTTTTCTCCAATTTGAATTTGATTCGATACAAAAATGTTCCAATTCTCAAAATGTTTGAACCGTATTTTGCATATTCCAAATCTTCGATTAAGATATTCTATAACAATTGTTAGATCTCTTTCCCACAAGTATTCCAAATTTATTCTAAGAAATCGTTGAATTCTGGATTCTCAAATACATTTAAAAATTGCTAAGTGTTTATATGAGTTACTTAATGTAGATATTCGATGTATGATATGAGGGCTCCATTAAGTTTTAGATTGAGGAATACTGGGTATTCTCTTTAGCACAATGAATACAATTAATCATACCCAATGGCTCCTTTGGTGAATATGCTGTCCTCAATTTTTAAGTGATCCAGACATGGTTTCAAACGAGGAATTGCAAACATCTTTAAGATTTCCTTCACTTATGCTTTTATTGCAATTGATTTTTTTTTCTCGTGAGTTTCTTTGAAGCATAAGAACAATAGGAGTTCAGGAACAACGATTTATTATTCCTTAAGTAACATCAAAACAACCTTGAGCACAAATTAAGGGAATTTTTCAGATTTCACTTGATCCAAACTTTACCTCTTGTTTTTGAGTTTTTCTTGGAATTCCTGAAAATTTTTGACAATTTAGATTATAACTTCTTTGGATTCCGAGAAATCAATTTTATTGAATTGGCTTGATATCTTATCAAAGACTTCGAATTGTTTCTGATTCAATTGGCTGGCTAGTTCAAATTTCTTATTTAAGAGCTTTATAGTCTGCAATATGATTTCTTCATCAGTGGTTTCTATCAAACTATCGTACATCTTTTGATAGAGCTCAGACTTTTAATCCAAATTGGCTTTTTATAACATGGTATCTAGGATTACCAAGAAGTCCTCCTTATAAACGATTTCGAATGACATTGAGGAGATCTTAAGAAATACGAAAATAGCTGGCACTGGTCTCTAGAGATATAATAATTAGATGAGATTCTTCCGTATATTCTATTTTAAGGTGTCTTCTCCGCTTCTCAACCCATTTTTTACATTCCTTAAAATTTCCTCAGTGTTATATATTGGTTCAAAGTTGGTCTTATAGACATCGTTCAGCCACTGGAGGTAATTAAAGTCAATGTTCGCATAAAAGTTTTTCAATTATTAGAAGTCTTATTAATAGGACACCAACATCTGATCTTTAACACTATCAATTTCTAAGAGTTAATGAAATTAAGCAAATTTTTGATGCTATTTGACTTCTGATTTTTTCATTTATATAATGAATGCTAAAAATTAGAAAACCTTTCTTCAATTAATTGTACAAAAATTTTAATCCTATTATTATAATATTTTAAATGAGGTTAAATTTTGTTTGTATTATATATTTTATGTCATAGATCATGCCAAGAGTCCCTTTCCATCCTATTATAACCAACTTGGAAGAGTGGCCCTTTGTTTCTTAACTTTAGTGCTAGTCTTTAAAGCAACCTATTGAGTGAGTTCTGATTTCAATTAGGCAATCAAAGATGAATCAAATTTGCTGAGGTCTCTATTATTATTGATTGCTTCAAGAGCATAGAATCTTTGGAAATCAAACTTCTCACTAAAATCTTAAGATAATAATATTACCCCTCTCTTACTATTGCTCCTGGATAGAGATCAATAAATCTGTTGACATTGACTTCAAATTGTCTTCTGCCTTCCTCAGTGGCTAAAGAAATTGATTAATATTGAATTTGTACTTAATTAAGCCTTGAATGGTTTAGGAATGTTGGCCAACTATTCTTTTGAATATTCCAATCCCTTGTACATGACTTCATTATAGAAGTATCTATCCCATGAATCAACTCTCAAGAAACCGAAAAAGAGGAACCATTCCAATGGCAATAATTTCTACAATATAGTTCCTCTTGCTGTTGGTGTCATGTCACTCATGTAATTTTGATAAACATAATTGTCCCATTCGTAAATATTTTCAACACTATCACCCAATGTACGTTCTCTTGCTTCAGCTTATAACCATTCTGGGGCAGTAGAGCCTCTTACACCTCTCTCTACTTTTGAAAATCTTGCTCTTCTCTTATTGAACAAAATCCAGGTGTATGGATGGAATCCCTCTCTCTAAATATGTTCAAATAATGGGTCTCTTCTCAATTCTCTATCTTAGAATAACAATAAGTCTTCCATGGCCAATCCTCTATCTAATCCGATATTTCTCATCCATCGGTAAAAGAATCTATTGGTTGTATTCAACTGCCCTTTACCTTGCAAACAGAGGCTCAACAAACTTGTAGATTAATCCCGTCCATCCTGTTGTGAATAACTTGACGGCTGAAAGAGTCATTGCTGGAGTACGTGGTTCAGAGTACCATTTTCTTGGTGATCCTATAATTCTCTCTCTTTTCAAAGCACGGATATTGACTAATTGTTCATAGATGAGCTTCTCAAGTCGAACCATTGATGCAAATTAAATCTTTTATATATATATTTATTAATTAATGGATGAAGGGACACTTAATACAATTCAGAATAATTACAATTATAGGAAATTCAAATCAAATCACTCTAGCAGCAATACTTAAATTTACATTAATTTTAATTATTATATTTCATTAATTTAATTTCCGCAAAACCCAATGTTTTTGCCTGTCCTCTATTCTTTTGAGAATCATTACTAAATATTTTGTTGGCAACATCCTTTATTTTTTTTAGTTTTTATTTTGCAGCTTAACAAAACCCAATTTATAATCCAATTTATTCATTATTTTATTGAGATCTTCAAAGCCATACGAGAAAGACTTGATCATCCTCTTCTATCTCAACATATGCAACTACAAAATCTTTAGGCTCCCTCTCAACAAGTTACTTTAAAATTTATTCATCAATTCAAAAATAACTGGAGATCGAGGCCTACTCATTTGCATTTATTAGAATGGACCTCTCAACTATCGTATCACCACCTTCCTCAAGCAATGTTGCAAATGCAAATTGTTTTTCACTCTATTCAAATTTTGTCCATATTCAAATAATTTTGTATTTAATACCCTCACCAAATTTTACGCTGCCTCCCTCTTAGCTAATTGCTGCTTCATTGCAATTAAATATTCATTCAACCTATTTTTGTAGATCTTCTCTATTTTTGAACCAAAATGATCAAAAAATATCAGAAGTTGTGTTTGTTGTGACCAATACTTCAAATACACTTAAAGCAATATTTATTCCTATTTCGTTTTGTTTACAATAATCTTACGCAATTATTCTTACTTCGCATATTCAAGTCTTTTGTTTACTGATCTCAAGTTTCTTTAAAGTATGAAAAGTTTGATTTCTTAGAATGAGATGATCATTTTCTTCTTCCTAATATTCTGAAGCACCATAAACAATAGTATCGGCGCATTAGTAGGTTGAATACTCTCGCAATCGACTATTATTTCCTATTTGATGCTCAAATTCGCAAAGGAAATCTTGAACCCTTCACCAATGTCACTATTCTCACTTACACCCATCGAACAAACCTCATCAAAAATATTCCTCTCGCAAACTACTGACTCTTTGATCCTAATCAAGTCTCTCAAATTTCTTAATATAGGTTTTTGCAGAGCTTCTAATAATAATTTTGCTGCAGCATCCTAATGACTCTAATTTGGATTAAAATTCTCTTTGTTCTTTCTGAGCAACTTGCTCTGCAAAAATTTATGAGATAAATCCTTAATCTATTTATTAGCCTTGTTGAAATCAATAGTTCCAATATTTTACAATCTCATTTTTATATTTAAATTATATAACGTTAAACCTCTCTAAATTAACAAAATTACATTTCACTTTCCTCCCAATCCTTCTAATCCCATTCAGAAATATAAATCCAAACGCTGAAAATAAAAGATTACATCCAATTGAAAATTATTGAAAAACTCTGAAATAATCAACAATAAATGAGTCAATCAAAATTTATTAATTTTCTAATATATAAATGAAATAGAATAAGAAAATTCTAATAAGGAGTTTTACATTCTCTTAAGAAGAAATTCATTTTTGAAAGCTATTACAGAAATCCATAATATGTTTATTGATCCTTCCAGGCCTGTAAGATAAGCATAAAAGAAAATAGTATAAATTAAAATTCAATTTTTATAATTTTTCAAATATCTATAGTTTTTTAAGAATATAGTAATTTACGAAATTAGATTCTAATTAGAACATGCTGAATTGTAAAGTTGCAAGTCCAATCCATATACAATATATTTTAGATTATTAGAAAATTAGCAATTTCTATTTAGGAAAAACTTAAATACAATCTATCTAAAATCAAAATATTGTATAAATAAATGAATGATATATAGAATAATCTCCTATATTTGAATTGAAAGTTATGAAAAATATAATTTTTTATATCCTTTCGTTTTTCTAATTATAAGACCCAACTTGTATTTATCCATATATAAGATACTATTGCATTTACAATCTAGATTATATTCTTAACAAGTCTATTGAAATTTATAGAGAATAATTTTAATAGAAATAATATTTATGCAAATTTCATTTAGAGTTAAATGGTTACGAGTCAGATAAGATCTCCATATTTGTGTATATGCGTACAAGAACATCTATGATTAAATTTAATCTTACTCTCTTAATTAAATATTGCCTAATCGAAAGGACCCAGTATTTTTAACGCTTTTCTAAATTAATTATTTTTCTTTAACTCTAAATTAAATGTAGTTAATTAATTTAAAGATATGAAAATATCTAAAAACCCTGATTATTCTTATAATTTAAAATCAACATATTTCTAGTTCAGTTTTACTAGAATTTGCATTAAGCCAAACAATAATTTATTAAGAATTTATTAATTGGTAATTATAGTATAATCAGGTTCAATATGATATTCACATTTAATTTTAATATTATAAGATGATTCATAAAATTGAAATATTTGTTTCATTTTCATTTAAATTGAACAAGATGAAAGTTTGTTTTCAGTTTAATGAGAAAGTTTATTAATCATTTAAATGTATTTAATTTATATTCTACCATATTTGTTTTAGTTAAGCTAGGCCTAGTAAGTTAAGGCCATTTAAGATTTCAAGAATTTAGAAAAATTCTTAGAGCAAATTTAAATCCAAGTACATAGCTGCTCAATTTTTTCTGATTGTGATTTAATGAGTTTAGATTTTTAATCCATTATTATTACAAAAGTCAATTCAGTAACTTTAATTTCAGAGAGTCTTACAATAACATTCTGATTTGCAAACTTTTGATGATTTAAAACTAATTCCTAATTGGTCATAGAGTTATTAATAGAATATTCTTTAGTTCTCTTGAATAAAAAGTCCTCAAATTTCATATCATTGAGTTTGTAGCAACGCAGAAATGCTTTTAAATTATTTTGGTTATTGTTCAAAGGATTGAACTGAGGAATTAAATTAAAATTGGATTATACAACCTGAAAAGCAAGAGCATTTTAGTCGAAGGTGAAGATGGCGAATGGGTTATCAAGTAAGACTGGGATGAATTTTTCTACAAAAAATCATAGATATGTAACTTATACCTCTAGATGAATCCTAAATGATAAATAAGAATGATTATCGATATTATTTATTGATCCTTTAAATAACAAATATGGCCATAAACGCTATTAAAATAGCATACAAATAAATTATTAAAGATAATTCACCATTACTTAATTCAGCAATTAAGATTTTAATTATTAGGTTATTAATAATTTAAATTGCAGCATACTTAAAATCAGATATTAAAATTATAATGATATGTAAAGTCATCATAACTTATCCAAAAATAAAGGATTCTTAAAAATCATAACTGTGATTGACAGTGATCTAATACATCATTAAGATATGGTTTATAGTAAACAAATAAAAGTCTATCCATTATTTTTAAAGTTTATTAATGATGAAGTGTGAAATAATTATTGCTATTCCAAGACCAAGAAATACAAGGGCAAAGCTAAACTATTACGCAACACTGGATATAATCGCTTTAATCACACAAATTATCAAACTAATAATACTGATACCATTGAAAACGGGTAGTGTGAATCCTCTTCTGGTTTCTTAATATTTTAATTCCAGATCTGTGGAATTGAATGTAAGAGTAAAAGAGTTCATTCAATTTAATTATAATTTAATCAATTTTTTTAAAGCATATATAATTATTCAATCTTGTTTAAGTATTATAAGTGTTTCAATTAAAATTCTTCAATATCGCTGTCATATTTCTTCAAACTAATCTTTGAATGGTCAGCAGAATAACTAAAATATTCAATGATTAATACATTTTCTTTGTTTATATTTATTATTTCTGTTAATTAAAATTTTATGTTCTATCTACTATTTTATTTTTAATAGGAGGTAATTTATAATAATAAGAATTTTTGATAGGAGATTTGGAGTTCAGATTAATGATTTTTTAAGGACTTTTATTGTTTGATTAATCTTATTACTTAATAGCAATAAAAAGAATACCAGAATATAGCTATTTTATTTGAGATCAGGGGATTGATTAATTCCATATTTTGAGATGTATGACATTTTGCCTTTAAATCGATCCTGAAAACTTATCATTGGAATATTTTATATTTATTAATAATTATATCAGGAACATTTATAATCAGTTGTAATAGCTGGGTTATAAACACACTGTGCTCCTTATTCTATTGATAATTTGCATTACACTTCAGTCTTATCAACGCATTTCCCTGGACCATAACTAAAATAATAATTGATTCTAGTAGTTGCTGTTGTTATTGGTGTTACTATATTTGCAGTTTTACATGTCTTTGTAGAAGATACGCAAGTGATTGTTGTTGTAACTTACTTAACAACATCAGCTGCTGTGGCAGCACTTTCATCAAATTAATACAATTTGATATCCTTTTCAACAACAACCAAATTTGTGTCAGTCCAAGTCCATTCTAAATAGAAACCTGTAAATCCAGTATCTAAACTGATGGTTTAAGCTGTGGCTACAGAAGTAGTTGGTCTCAAAGCGATAATGTCTGTAAGAGCATTTCTAATACCAAACTATTCAGCAGCATAAGAATAGACTTGCACAAATCCATTTGCTGTATAAGCATAAGCATTCCAATCAATTCTAACTGTGTTTAATTACCCATTGACCTTCAATTCTCTTCTGGAATATGGACATGATGCAAAATTAATGAAATAATAATTGGTTTGATAATAAGCAGGGGAAAACTTGGCTATTCTAAAAAGGGCTATTTCAGCTACTTACCAAATCTTAGGTAGAATTGCTCTCCTCATTGTATAATCAAATCCTACATAATCCTATTATTAATTTTATTTATAGTACTCTTATTAATTGTAATGCTTAATATGTAGTTCTCTCCAAATAGAATGGATGAGAATTTGTAGTGTCTATTAATACTTAATAAAATGAAATATATTTATCCAATATTGCCTCTAACTCTGTTTTCAATGTAGCTGCAGTTTGACTTGCTTCTGGCGATTTCCATGGGTTTATTGTGTATAATGAAAACATATTGGCCTCAACAGCAGTCAATGCCCCAACTAGAGTTGTGCTTGAACCAGTTGTTTAAAGGGCTGATCCATCAGTGGTTTTAGAGAAACGAACAAAAGCAAAATTCAATTTACCATCTCCCTTATCCACACAAACATTGTCATATTGTAAACTAAACTACTCTAATGAGTCACATTTGGATGATAGAGCACCTGTTGGGATACCACTTCCTGAGGGTCCAGATCTGCAAGCTGCTACCTCATTTACCATATAACAAGGTAATGCAATACAAGTACCTGCATCTACCTTACAATATCCTGAATTTTCACAATCATTCACTACATTCAGAGTGCCGCAAAGTGCTTCTCCCACGTAAACTGATCTTACTACTGCTAGAAGAACAAAAAAATAAATCATTTAATATTTATTTATTTATATCACGTCATTTAACATATATAGGATGATCTTTAACATTTAAATATTTATATTTCTCTAAAAATTTCATTTTCATCACTTTTCAAACCTTTTATTTGTTAAGATGATTGAAAGATTTAGCAAAATGTAGGTTACAACTTTGAATAAAAAGTAAAGATAATAATATTATTCTTAATTAATCTACAATCTCAATTAACAGAGATTGTAGAATATATTCACTCTCCATGATCTGAGACTTGTGACTCTATGAAATATACTGAACAAAAATAAATAACATTGATTTTATCATTAATTAGCTTCAATACTACACACCACAGTAAAATTTCTATTTAGTAAAAAATATCATCTAAATTATTTAGGTCGAAACAATAAGGATTAAAGGGATTAATAAAAATTTATTGTACAATGATTAATTTTATTAATCTACCACACCATCTTGTGAGTTATATCGCCTCTAATTACGAATCCGTATTTTTCTTAAATATGTAACAGTAACTAATTGTGTCAAATCTATTCTCAAATATAATATTAAACCCAGTTTATATTATAGAATATTTGATTATCCTACCAAATTGATAATCATACAGCTGTTCTCATATTACCATCAAATCTACTCAGAGTTTTTCTAATCTATTATCTAATAATGAATCAAATCTGCAATATGATAATTATTGTATTCTAGATCATTTTTTCTCTATTTAATAAGTAGGAGTTTGTTCCATCCTAAAAATTTATCACCGTTTCTGTGTATAATTATTATGACCAATAATACATAAATTTATTCCTTGGTACATTTTAATCATAATAAATAGAAAAGGATAATCACTAAATATTATATAATATAATAAATACATAATTATATAATTGTGCAAATAGAAAATCTTAAATACAATTAAAATTCATTTTAATTCCATTTTTTCTGGTTTTAATAATCATTTAATCAATTTGATGATTATTAAAACACTTTTTATATACAATTCCATTTATCGTACATTTTCTACTTGACTTTATTTTTTCGAATTCATATCAGATCCTATTTTCAATAAATTTAATAATAACTATAAACCTATGCACATTTCATAATATAGGTGATAAATTTTGGCAGTTATAAAAATGAAAAATTAGCAAAATCTAGAAAAATTTCTTTTGTGATTATGTTTTATTGGACTAAAATATTTTTCTCATACATTTTTAAAGCAATTTTATAGACTCAACATCAAAATTTCATTACATTTAGAATACTCTGCTTCACTCAGAACAAAAATAACTCATCAGTCGAAAAATATCTAATAATTAAGTTTTTATTTTTGATAGTTTTTAGATTATACAATAAAAACAATTCCAATTTAAAAATTATATTTGGAACGTTCATGTTCAAATTTTAGAATAAAATTCTTTTTATACATTAAAGAATTTCTATAATTAAAATATTACAGCTTAATAAATCTTAATACCTATTAAACAAGTCATACATCTTGATTTAAATTATTTCAATCATAGGGAACTAACAATAAATCATTCTATTAATATAAACTTCATCTTTCGAAAATCATATGTAGTTTTAATGTCGAGGTCATCAGAATTTATCAATCATATATATGTAATTGAAGTGAATTTTTATTAATTATAAGTCAATTTTAATTAAGATCATTAATCTAATCTTCTATTCTTCTGGGCTTAATCGATAGATATGGCAAAGGTGAATTTATTTTTCTGCTTGAAATTTAGGTTGCTAAAAAGAATTGATTTCATAGTTCTGAATAATTAGATATTGATAAGGTATTAACTAATTAAAAAAATGTGTTATGCCTTCAAATAACAATTCTGTCAACAGATATTTTAATTTCATAAAAAATTAAGTTCTATATAACTGATTTTATTATCTATATTTAAAATTTAATTGAATTTCTTGAGATTTATATTTTCCTATAAGTGATTTACATTCTCTAAAGCAATTTTGACTTTAAGTTTACAAAAGTTGCAGTAATTATAACAGTTTTCTTCCTATAGATTATGTTTAAAAACCAGGATTCTTATAGCATGATCACTTTAAAATTGAAATATGTGAAGCATTTTGTTTTATCTAAGTCAAATTTTAGATTTGGAAGCAGATTTTCCAAAAGAATCTTCAAGTTTCAAAAAGATGTGTTATGTTATTTGCATTTTTAGATAAGACTTCGTATTCTTTGGTTATTATTTGTTAACTAGTTATTACAGAAGAAGTGGAAATGGAAAAGGTGTTTAAAGATTAGGTTGAAATAGGAATATGATTTTAAATATGTATCATTTAATAAAGGAATGTTGAATAATATTGAATAAAACAAATAAAATTTAACATTAAAATAAAGGTCTGTTAAAAAAATAAAAAATAAATAATTTTAAGTATTTACATGTCATACTACAAACCTTTTTATCAAAGTGCTTATGACCGCACAGCTCCAGTTTATCCACCAAGTTAATATGGTCCTTCATACTACGGTCCTTACGATCGTCCATACTCATATCAATCAAGAGCTCCAATGAGAGGTGAATAATGGTCAGAATATATTCCTGTGGAGCAGAGATACACAGATTATGTACCAGAGACAAAGATTGAATATAGACCTGTAGAGAAATAATACACAGATTATATTGAAGGTTTGAGAATTAATTTATAATATTTAGTGAAGCATGAGACAGATTATGTACCAGTTCC